TTTGATGTACAAATACCTAACATCTTTACCCTCAAGGTCATTTCGGTAAAGGGAGGTTTAAGCAAGGGTTTTAGTCTATAATTAACTAGCTCTTATTTTGCTGTCCTTTCCAGAATAGCTAGTTTCTCGGGTGAACATAGTAATAATGCTAGAGCTGTTAACCTTTCCAGAGATTGAATTACATTTGATCCTTTACGGCAATAATCCTTCACTTGAACTCCACGGGAATTACTTCTGGGTAGGCATATATAGGAATGGACTGATTTGGTCCCACAGCTATCACCTTATGTTCCTTGTGACTGACAGTGCCTCTGACTCACTGACATTGTGCACAAAGCGCTGTACTTAAGTCTAGGCACAACCAATCACAGCGAGTAACTCTAAATCACTTGTAACATACATTTTACTGTTCAGTTTGGAAACTTATTGCAATCCAGATGTTGGACTACAGCTCTCATCATGCTTGACCGTGGCCCAGTTGACTAGGGCTGATGGAAATTGGACTCGAACATCACCATTGGAGGAGGAGGAATAGTTTCCTCATCTACCTTAGTGTTTCCATTCTCAAGGGGGCTTCAGCTAAGACTGAACAATGAATAAAACAGTAAAATCAATCGGTAATTCAAAACAAAATGTATAACAATCAAACAGTAGAATATGGGTTTAAAATCCAAGTCAACGAAAAAGTCCTCACCTAGAACTAGAAAGTGATCAAGTAGGTACTGGGTGAGGTTCCCTGGGGGGAGCATTCCATAGGGTGGATGCCACAATCAAGAAGTCTCTCTCCCCACGGTCACTACCTGCACCTCCAGAGGCAGGAGAGCCAGAAAAAGGCTTCAAAGGATGACTGTAATGTAGTCACAGGTTATTGTGAAACCAGAAGGGCATTCAGATACCCAGATCCAAAGCCATAGGGTTAAACACTCAGTCAGACTATCATGGCAGCTTTGAACTGAAACACACACACACACACACACACACACACACACACACAAAATTCTGATTACAAATCTGTCATGTCCAGTTTGGCCCTAGTAATAAATGAGGGCTCACACAATATTTATTCAGATTGTACATACTGTACTAGGGAGAGTGTTTGTTTATAACATCTGATATAGCATCCCTGAGAAATACAGTTTTGTAATCTGAAAGGTTTTGCCACATGTGCTTGGGAAAATAAATGACTGTAATATGTGTTTTAGGAGTGGGACTGATAAAAGTCTTTGTTTCTCTTTGTATGCCTGAACACGAAGGACTCTTCCTCAATTAAGTGTATTAAATGTGTGCATTCAAGCACAATAATTTTCATGTACGTTCAAGTGACAGCATTATCCATGGGCAACAGCTGGGTTAGGGCTCTTAATGCTTAGATAAGCTTTAGTCAAAGGCCTTCATGCCTTCCCTTCATTCTCAAGACACTGGAGGTCACAATGCTGGCTTCTTTGTTTTTCTAAGGAAAAGCCAATTCACGAAGCTGAAACTGGAAGAGCACTGTTTGTGTTTATGTGTGCTTGATCCTTTCCCCTCTTGATATCTGTCGGCTTAAAATAATCCCCAAGTCACTTTCCTATCCACAGGGGGAAGGATATGGAGACACCTTATATTTTTCTTTTCAGGGGAAAAAAAGCAGCTGAAGGAAACTAGTAAAGCAGCCTCATCCTGATAGCTGTCCAATTCCAACGTCTTGTTTCATTCTGCATTTATTTCAAAGAGGAGGCTGCATTTATTTTGCAGCCTCCCCTTTGAAAAGGGTGGCAGGCAGATCTGTGACAGGGGATCTGCCTGCCATCCTTTTTCAAATGTTAAATTAAAGATGGGGAACCTGTGGCCCTCCTGTTGTTGTATTCCTGCTCCCATCAGCCCCAGCCAAGATTTATCTCAGTCCATTTGATATCTGTATGTGGAGTGGTATCATCTTGTCCTTTGCCTCAGCCAGCAAAATATCTTGGGGCTGTCCTAGGCAGGAGTATGTGAGCTGGAATTAGGGGGAAACATAGAACAGCTACTCAGGGACACGGGTGGTGCTGTGGTCTAAACCACAGAGCCTAGGGCTTGCTGATCGGAAGGTCGGCGGTTCGAATCCCCGCAACGGGGTGAGCTCCCATTGCTCGGTCCCTGTTCCTGCCAACCTAGCAGTTCAAAAGCATGTCAAAGTGCAAGTAGATAAATAAGTACCGCTCCGGCAGGAAGGTAAATGGCGTTTCCGTGCGGTGCTCTGGTTTCGCCAGAAGCGGCTTAGTCATGCTGGCCACATGACCCGGAAAAACTGTCTGCGGACAAACGCCAGCTCCCTCGGCCTATAGAGCAAGATGAGCGCCGCAACCCCAGAGTCGTTCACGACTGGACTTAACTGTCAGGGGTCCTTTACCTTTACAGTGGTACCTCAGGTTACAGACGCTTCATATTCCACTAAAACAGAAATAGTACCTCGGGTTAAGAACTTTGCTTCAGAATGAGAACAGAAATCGTGCTCCGGTGGCACAGCAGCAGCGGGAGGCCCCATTAGCTAAAGTGGTACCTCAGGTTAAGAACAGGACCTCCAGAACGAATGAAGTTCTAAACCTGAGGTACCACTGTACCTTTTTTAAGAGTAGCTATTCAGGCTAATGATGTAGCACTACTGTATATTTGAAGAAGAGGCAGAAGACAAAAAGTTTCTTTAAAAAAAGCATATGCCACCTCAGGTTCCATGACAGAAGAAAGCCAAGACATAAACATAGTAAATAACTTTCTCCTGTGCTACAGTTTTAAAAATATTGACACACCAAGGTGCCTAGTCATACATTAAACCTCTAAATAAGGGTTTTCCTCTTTAATTGTTTCTTGTAGAGAAAGGGATTAGCAAGGAGCTTAAGGCAAGTTTCCAGTTCACTGCTGCACCCCTTAAAAAAAAAAAGTTGGCACAGCCTGTAAAACAAATTGCTAAAGAATCTAGCAGAGGTTCCTTTCAGGAGGTAATACTAATCTACTAAAACAGGGATGTACAAGTGATGACCATACCTTGTCCAACCTCTGCAGCCTGCATGGTTTTTTTTCCACCTGCACCAGGCTTTTGTCATGTTGATGAATTATTGTATTATGAGTGCAGAGAGGCAGTATGTCAACATGCAATGCTAGGGCAAATGAATAATGAGATCTTAAGCAAAAGGTGAATAAGTAGGGAGTGGTGCTTGTAAATGGAAACAGGATATGCTTCCTTTAATACTGCTGCGTTACAACATAGCAAAAAGAGTGTTGACACTATGCTCCAACAAAGCCACTATTACAGTTTCTGACTGGTGCCACTTAACTCTCATGAAAAGCTGTCTTTCCTGGATTAGTACAGCAGCTTTGATGATGGTATTCACGGTAGGTGTATTAGGGGCTTGTCATCTTGTGTAACCACTTGCTTAGATCCATAGGCTGCCTCATGCCAGGGGCTCAGGGAGGATACTCAGAGAGTCATCCATCTGGAAGGGCCAGAAGACCATCAGTTCAATGCAACCATACAACAGGGCAAAACCAATTACAGTGGTCACTTCCTCTTTCAGCTTACCAAAGGTTAGGTCTTACCACAGCAGCATCCAATGGTTTGTTGAAATATGCTGTTGAATTACCATGCTTTGGCTTATCTGTACACATGTGAAACTAGCACTGCTTTCTTGCAGGCTATAGAGGGGATCTGTACTTCAGCTGACTTTGCAAACAAAAGTAGGGAAATGGACTAGAGAGGCATGGAAAAATAATAGGATAGATAATTACTAGTCACAGCTGCAAATAGGCACTTGTTTAATGGTGCACTATGCACACAAAAATGTGACTATCCCTTTTTTTTTTAGGAGCTGGATGCTTCCCTATATATTATGCAAAGTGAAACAAGCAGAAAGAGAAGGCAAGGTTAGAAAGCAAGTTGTATGGGTGGCATTGCTGTGACTCCTTTTGCTCTCGACAAACATGACTTGTGAACCATGTGGTTGAACTTCAGTGCTATTGAGCAAACGAGGAAATGATTTGTGGAAGTAAAGTATGAATGCTAACACTAATCCAAGCCACAGAGCTGATAACGAGCAGCAAGTTTTTCTATGGGAGTTTTTTTGGAGCTAACAGGACCAGGATGAGGAAATTAAGAAGTGGGCAAAAAGAGGAAACCTCCCAAATGTTACTGGCTAGGTAACAGGACGGTTAATTACTTTTATGGTTTTATTAATTTATAGACAGGGTTGTACCTCTTTCAACTTAAAGCACTACTATCAAAACAATACATATCCTATGGGTGCCACAGTGATAGGAGGTGCTAATATTCTAGCGATGAAGGGATTCTTAGCAAAGTCCAAGTATCCATGAGCAATGAGTGGTATCCAACTAAGTCGGAGTACATCCACTGAAACAAATGGAATTAAGTTATTCATAATTATTTAAGCCCACTCCTTTCAATGGGTCTACCGTGAGAATGACTGGAAATACACTGATTCATTCATCCCTACATTATACTGGCTCCCAGCATGGCAGGACCATAGGATTACTAAACTGGTTTCTGAAATGTATGTGTTTCTCATAAGAAACATCATCTTCTTTAAAATATGAAATTGATGGTAGAATTGAGTGTATCATTGCAGCCCACATTGCTCAGGTATTTCTTAATTGTTATTTTTTTAAGTGGGCTGGTATAAAGGTAAAAAAGGTGGAAGGAAACCCTGAAAAAAAATGGCAGTCTAAGATGTAGATAAATCATGAACCACCTGAATTTTCTAGACATGTGTGAAAGAATACCTCTGGTTGCAGATCTTCAGTCTCCAGACTAAAACACTCACGGAAGATCAAACTACCTTCATTTTCTCCACACACACAAAAGGGCACAGCATCTTTCTCACTTCTGTTATTATGGGAGGAAATTATACCACATAGAGATATTTTATGCATATTAAGTAAAAGATAGTGGGCTGAAACTTACTGTTCTTATTCAGCCAAATTATTTTGATTAAAGTTGTTCAAAATAGTGCCATGTGTAAATACAATAAACATACAGATTTTTTTTAAAAGCAAATTGCATTTATTTGGCCATAGAACTCTTAAAACTGTAACTTCTTGGATTCCATTCTTTTAAAGTGCTTCATATTCAGGTTTATATTATTTTTGTCAAATGCACACTTATAAGAAAGAGCTGATTCAGCAACCCAACATAATTGTCTATTTTTTATAAAATTCTGCCAACAAGGTCAGATTCTGGTTGTAATCCAAATATTTTTCATTTCTAATTTGGGTAGTGCTTGTCATGTCAGGTGCCTCAGGACTGGCCTCTTATGTCAATACAAGTGTTCTAGTTATGCACAACTGTGGCTGAGAACAGAGTCTCACCTGATTGTATTATGTACAACAGCATTTTGTATTTCACGTGGCTTTATCATATAGAATGAATTGTACACAGCAAAAGCCAAACAAAATATCAAAGCATCTAACAATGGTGGCCCAGACCACAATTCTGAAAAATATATACATCCTTAAACCATGTTAGAAATAAGTGGCAAGAATAACACACAGTTTAGAAGAGATGAAAACATATTGTGGCATTCATACAGTACATTAAGGAGATTTCATCCTGAGGAGATACATGGGGAATTTAATTGACAGGGCACCCTTGCAAGCTGACAACACCATGAACATCTGAAATTTTGCTCACTAAAACAGGTTTGTCATTAATTGAAACACCCTTCAGACAGCCAAGGAACACGTCCTGAACAGGAAGCCACGGTGTTGCCAAATTTACTGTAAAGAGAAAGGATAAAGATAAGTTGAATACAGCACATTGCGGTTTGGTACAGAATTGTAGAAACTGCAGCATTTCTTTATCAGTAAAAATGGAATGAAATCAGTATATGCCAATTCCTATTCAAAATAAACTTTCTTCCTTAGTGTAATATATAATAGCTATTAAAAATTACTTGGAATTCATCTATGTCTTGCAACAAATGTTAACATTTTACAAAGGCTCTCTTTTTTCAGTCCCACTGATTGGACAGCTTTAGAAAGATTAATACAGAACTCTCTAGTCAAGTATCTTCTCTTGCCCCCTCCCCTTCTACCTAAACTCACTGACTGTGGTCCTGTTCCTATCTATTTTCTTCCTGACTGGCCTCTTGGCTTGACAATGCTATATTCCCTTGCAAGCATCAAGCTCCCATGGAACTGGCTGGAACTTTGAAGTTCTTTGTTGGGATGACTTGTGTGTCCCCTCCAAAATCTTGGAAATGCATCATTTGCCCCTGGAGGGAAGCCACAACTGACACCAATGATGATCAGCTTCACTTCTGATATAAATAGCAGCTTTCTTAAGGTAAGGCCACTTGTCATTGGGGATAGCTGGGGTAGCGGGAAGGATTAAACCTTTTCTTCCCCCTTTTGTCCTGCTGCTTTTGTCCCCATGGCTACTATTTACACTTTAAAAAATAATAATAATTGCATTTTCATTTCATTAATGTGCATGTTATCTGCATTAATGTAATTAACTTCTCATCTAGTTTGGCCTTCAAAGAGAAAGGCTTATTCATAAGGAGTGAGAAAGAGATTCTACTTTCTTTTGACCGAATGAGGTTTTTCCGGATAGAAGGTTGTCACATTCATTACATACATTTCTTTAAGAATAATAAAAAAGTTAGCAGTACTGAAAGATTAACCAGAAAGAGTCTTCCTACCTGGAACTCTCCCAAAATAAAGTGGTTGAGCATGGCTGGTGGAGAGCATAGCTGATGGTCCAGTGGTGGAGTTACTCTTTCTATCTACTTCGAGGTACACAATGTTCTGTTTCCGAGTTACTATAAACAATCACATGAATCACATGCCTTTCATTAAGACATTCCCCAGTTTCAGTCACAGTAATACTTCACTTATATCCTTTCTCCTTGGATCTATCTATCTATCTATCTATCTATCTATCTATCTATCTATGAATGAAAATCTTTCCTCACCTGCAATTCCAGGACACCTATTCTAGACAAATACAATATGACTGGAGGTCCAGTCAAGGCCGACTCTGGGGTTGCGGCGCTCATCTCGCTTTATTGGCCGAGGGAGCTTCCGGGTCATGTGGCCAGCATGACTAAGCTGCTTCTGGCGAACCAGAGCAGCACACGGAAACGCCGTTTACCTTCCCGCCAGGAGCGGTACCTATTTATCTACTTGCCCTTTGACGTGCTTTCAAACTGCTAGGTTGGCAGGAGCTGGGACCGAGCAACGGGAGCTCACCCCGTCGTGGGGATTCAAACCGCCGACCTTCTGATCGGCAAGTCCTAGGCTTTGTAGTTTAACCCACAGCGCCACTAGGTAGCCATGTTTAAATATTAGCCTGGTGTTGGTTGCTAGCCCTTTTCTCCCTGAATTACTTCTCCCCATGCAGCTTTTACCCCAAACCTGTTCACCTTGCAACCGCAGGTCTGAAAACCCTGGGGGAAAACAACTGGGGGAGGGAGGATCTAAGGAAAATAGGCTAGGATAGCTACATATTACAGTGGCAGTGTAATATGTAGTTTGGAATGCAGGAATGTTATTTGGAGTACTGTATAGTTTATTTCATTGTTATTCCAGTGAGAAAAGCACGTGGGAAAGCTGCTACAGAGAAAAAGAGCAAATATGACTTCTCCAATCCACCGTCTAATGTTACTTAATAGATCTGTTAACCGAAGCAATAAATCACCTTGCTTTAGAACAATCCAGTATGTTTCCGAGCACAATTCAAAGTGCTGGTGTTGACCTTTAAAGCCCTAAATGGCCTCAGCCCAGTATACCTGAAGGAGCGTCTCCACCCCCATCATTCTGCCCGGACGCTGAGGTCCAGCGCCGAGGGCCTTCTGGCGGTTCCCTCATTGCAAGAAGCAAAGCTACAGGGAACCAGGCAGAGGGCCTTTTCGGTAGTGGCGCCCGCCCTGTGGAACGCCCTCCCATCAGATGTCAAAACGATAAACAACTACCTGACATTCAGAAGACATCTTAAGGCAGCCCTGTTCAGGGAAGTTTTTAATGTATGATATTTTAGTGTTTTTTGGTTTCTATGGAAGCCGCCCAGAGTGGCTGGGGAAACCCAGCCAGATGGGCGGGGTACAAATAATAAATTATTATTATTATTTATTATTATTATTATTATTATTATTATTATTATTATTATTATTATCCTGCTGTAGTCCCACTGAAATCTATGGGGCTACTCTTAGGTTATTCTGAACTAATTTACAGATTGTGTTCATAACACGTGTACAGTCAGAATTCATATCAAGCTAAACTGAAAATGCACACAAATACATCTTAAACAGATACAAATTAAGTTATGCATTTAAAGAACATTAGTTAAAAATGCATTAGAAATCCAGTTAGTCATCTTTAAAAAGCATGAAGTGCTGCTTTTTTTTAGAGCAATGTCTGACTCTCATTTTCTTGCCTCTAAAGAACTGGGGAATGAGATTGCATAGTACCTGCTACGGAGTGCCATTTCCCATCACACAGAGACTGCCGAGGAGTGACTGACGTTGAGAACTCTCCAGCGCCATTATTACCAGAGGCAGTGAGCTGTGAAAACAGACATCTTTTAAATTAGCAGCAACAAAAGGAATAAAATAAAAGCATGGACACAAGAAAAATGTGACGATGAAATATTTGCTGAGCCTGATTAATTTAGCCAATGCTTTTAGGGACAGTTGTCTCACTTGTAAACCCTGGATTGCTATGCTGTTGATCTTTGGGTATACTTTCAATCCACAGAAATGCCAAGAACGTGTGTTTTATATTCGGTGCATTACTTTGGTGAAAAGGAAGTAGCCATGTTAAGAGTTTTCTAGGTGGTTATTGCTATGTTGAAGCTGATTTAATAATTTATACTGACATCACAAGACGTTGGCTTACACTGCCCTTGACAATGCCAGTGTCTGCAGTGAAGCTTAGATTTTGCCCATTGTCAGATGTGTCCCATACTGCTGCCCTGTACCACATAAATATATAGGAACCATGAAAACTGAGCCAGGTTCTATTTGCACAACTCCATCTCTTCATTTGCATGGTCCATCACCAGTTCCATTTGTCATGCTTGAATGTGACAGAAGTCTGGGAGCTGGCTTTTGTAAATACTGATACTAGATCTTAGTAGATGCTCAAAGCAGATGCTCCCTTCCCCTCACCCACTCTGTCTTCACCAAATCTGGGGGGCGGGGGAAAGATGGAATCACACCTACCATGCCTCCTTCCATGTACACAGTTAAATAGTTCCTTTGTTTGCTGCCAGTATGAATTAAAATGCCATTCAAGCTTCTTGAACGAATGTTAAATACAATCCTATAGTCCAAGCTCAATGAAAAAGCATTTTCTGGGAAGCAAAAAGAATTGGGAAAACATGTTAAAGGGGATGCCAGCTCTGTACTGTACATTGTTACTTGCTACTGAGATGTGTATGTGTTCCAAGAGCTGCCAGTCTTTTCTTTTAAGATGGGTATTATATAGTCCCCCATTCTGTAAGATGTCCCTGGTCCCAAAAGGGTTCTGTTTGAATGCACAACTTCTGAATCCCTGTTCTGATTGAATGCACAGCTTGTGTTCAGAACCAACAACTCCTACACCATACTTACCGATGACAATATGCCCCCCTTCGTTGAAGAAAGAGATCCCATTCTCCAAAACATTATCCAAGCAAGGCAGAACGCTGCTGTTCTGATGGTATGTACGCATGTGCTTTCCTTCCACATTAAAGTTTCTCAGGCAACCTGCAAAACTCTTTCTCGGTATACTCTGGAGATATAAATTCAACATAGATTATGATAATATTTACTTGAACAATGCACCCCTCCATGCTGGCCGGCCTAGGAGCAGATACCTAAATAGATCATGCAGTTTTTAGGCTATCTTGAAATGTCAAAATCTCTAGAGCTATATGTATTTTAACTTTACAAAGGAATCAGGGTCAGGCTAGAACATTGGTGAGGAACCTGTGGCCCTCTAGTTGTTGCAAAATGAAACTTGTGCATCCATATTTCTCAGTGGGAGTCAAGTTGGAAGGTGAGATGCCAGTGACCATCTTGGCTGTGAGACCTAGAAGACCAGCTCCCTACCTTGCAGGCTTTTCTACCTAGCCTGGGAGGGGGGAGCCCTGACTGACTCCAGCTACAAAAGCTGAGGCTGCTGAAGAGGCCAGAGACCATCTTGGCTGTCTCTTAGTGACCCAGGTCACTGCACCTGAGCTTCCACAGCCACTACCTGCCATGAGCCACCTTTGGCAGAATTGGCAGCAACAGAGATGTTCTATGCTTCTGATAATATTTTATTCACTTGTTAATTATGCTGTTTTAAAAGTGCATTTTGTATTTGATTTCCTTTAGTAAAGTTTTATTTTTAAATATTTAAGATAATATTTTAGTTTCCTGTTAATTATGTTGCTTTGAATGTATACTTTTTTAAAGTTCTTCAGTAATGTTTTATTCTGGATTGTTTAATTTTATGTTTTAATGTGTTGTAAACCACTTTGAGATTTTTTCCCCCTCTTAAAAATATAAAGTAGTAAAAATAATAATGCAATTGTCACAGATTGGAAGTACTCCGTGTGAGAACTTTGTTGTTGTTTAGTCGTTTAGTCATGTCTGACTCTTCGTGACCCCATGGACCAGAGCACGCCAGGCATTCCTGTCTTCCATTGCCTCCCGCAGTTTGGTCAGACTCATGTTAGTGTGAGAACTAGACTGCCACTATTTTCAGGTGGTATTCAAACACACACCAGCAAATTCAGGTTGTGCCATTATAGCTGATTGGGATGTCTTGTGCAACAAGCCTACTTCCCCAAAAGATTGGATTTTTTATGATAAGGAAGGTATAGGGAAAATGCACTGGAAAACTAGCATTAACTAAACTAACCTCCTTGCTAATGAACTAGAATGAATGCTCATTAAGTATTGTCATCTAATCTGCCTACAAACAAATCAAGATGAATGCTGAATAAGCAGGTCATCTGGAAGCACCCCTGATTTTATGCAGCTGGGAAAAGAAAATGTTACCTGCCTTGAGCCAACCACATCTAAGTCCACATCAACTGAAACATCAGCTTTTTACCTGAATTTTCAATGAAGGAACCCCTCCTAGGTAGATCGGTGACTCAGTCATGGCAGAGAAGGAAGGTTCTGTGTTTACTTCCCGAGCTTTCAGACCATCAACAACAAGTCGTACTCTCTTTCCAGCTCTGCTGAACACCACCTTTTCAGAAAACAAGCACAGTCTTAAACAAATACACCCAAGTTAAAAAAATAAAGCAGTGCTAAATGTCATCTTGGAGTAACACATAACTGCTTTTCTCATGCTAAGTGGTAACAGGACTGTGACTTTTTTCAACTATTTTGAAGTTTAGCATTCTATGGGGGACACATAACTGACCTTCACCTGGCATTGTCCACACATTCTGAAATATATATTCACAATGATGAGGGCTGGACGCTTCAGCTGGTGACAGCGATGCCTGAGTGGATGTTAAATAAACTGTAATTTGCTGCCATGTAGTCATCTGGCAGTTCCTTAATGTGGAGAGTATGAGAGATTCTCTGTGTTTTAAATTTCACCAGAAATTGATCTGAACTAACCAGCCACAGGAGGAGAGGGCAATGAGAGGCAAATCATGGATTGGGTTCCAGTCAGATACCCTCAGCAGATGGCATGAAAATAAAGTGGTTTGGACCAGGGGTTCACAATTAGCTAAATACTGTGCCCCCCCTGTTTTTCAAAAGCCAAGACACGAACCCCCTACTTTTGAAAACTTTGATACCTCTGTGGTAGTTTTTGTGGGTCTACGGCAGCGGGTCCATGACACAATTCTCATGTAGGTTAAGCAGACTCCCTGGGGACCATGGACCACCAATTGGGAGCCACTGGTTTGGACAATAATTGTATCACTAGACTTTGCTGCTTTAGCTTTTGTCCACAAGCTGCCTCCTTCAGAGTTAGAGATCTGTCACAATGGCTACCCTATGCACTAAATGACTGAACCCTTTAGCCAAGGCAGATTTCATACTCACAGTATGCCACTGTCCATCATTGTATTTAGCTTTGCTTTTGATTTTTATCTTCCTTCCATCAGCAGCAAGTAAAAGCACAAAGCGCCCTTTTGAAAGGAAAAGAGCTGTGTAGCTGTTCCCCAGCTTGTCTCCCATGAAGAAGATCAATCCTCTAGATGATGATGTACGAACGTCCACAGCAAAATGGGACCTTGAATTACATTTTTTAAGTTCAGAGAAGATTAACCAATATGGAAGCAGAAAATGCTATGGTTATATTATTATATTTCTCATTAAATTAATATTCAGTTGCTTCCAAGTTCCTTGCTCTTCAGTGCTCTCAAATACTCTTTGATGAAGGATATAATTTACCACAAAGACATCAATAAGCTCCAAGTATAGCCAGATATTTGAACCTGGATTGCTGTATCCAAGTCCAGAACTGATTATCACATAAATAGTCAAACAAATGCCACATTGCCTTATTTATTATTACAATATGGGATAAAATATGTTCCTAAGAACCCAGTCTGAAAGTACCTGTATGATGTCTGGGGACATGAAACAGGGACTCGGGCAACAGAACTCAGGTGCCTTACTCTGCTCCTCTGGGACAGATCTCAAGCTGAGGGAATTACTGACTTAATCTCCATTGTTCTGCAGCATCATGCATATGGTGACATGAGCCAGAAAAAGCTGGTTTTCAGTTCAGTTGGGACCTTGTGACTTAAGGAACCAACTGTAACTTGACTTGCCGTACATAAATCTTACTCAAGTTGGGTTTCCCAGTCTGAGCAATTCATCCAATGGAACAATAGAACTGCCTTGCCACAGGTCTGTCTTTGACTACATTCCTCCCTCCGGCAACCTGGTGCCTAGCCACCAGCCTGCCTTCCAATTGTTTCTCTAGCCCTTGTTTGTCTGTTCCAGTGTCTGAATTCCAGCCTGTTTGTCTGGTGCCTTTGACCCAGCCCTCGTCTACTTTGCCAGACAACAGCTAGGTCTCAGCCTGAAAATATTCCATGGAATTCTAGATGCTTTAAAAATGTTGAGAACAACAACAACCACAACAAATCCCATTACCTGTCTCTTGATGATGCTTGAGATGTTGTAAACAACAAATGAGTGTCAGGAGTATTGCCAAAATGATATGCTCCAGTGACAAAATTTAACTGAGCATGTAAAGGACAGCCCTTGTTGTTTTGCTGCATACTTCCATCTGTCAAATAGGCAATGGTTTTTTTCCTCTAGAAAAGAAAATGTAAATATTTAGTACTGGCACCTCTTAAGAATAATCTAATACAAGGTTGGGGGTTAATAATTTTGCAGAGTTATGCATTTCCTTGAGATCATTGAGTGTATTCACTCATTTGTCGTGCCTGAAAATTGACATCTTGTTTTTCTCTCTGGTATCTGTCGTAGATCTGAGGATATTTTTAGAACTATGTTTCAAAAATCATTGAGTCACAACTTGAGGTTTTCAAGGTTTTCAAAAGTAAATGCTATTCCTCTCCGCTCTCAGTGTGGTGTTCTTGATTAAATTATCCATCCTCTTCTGATTGGCAATCTATGTATGTTTACTCAAAAGTGACTCCCTTTATAGTAGGGATGGTGAACCACAATTCCTGTCATCCTTTACCATTTGTCATGCTAGAAGGAGCTGATGGGAACTGGAATCTATAGAAAATGGAATCCATGATGAGCTCAAAAGACGAGAGTAGCAGTTGCCAATCACCATACTCCTGATGAAGGAAGCAACACTAGCGCAAAATGAGCCCATGCAACCCACCTCTGGAACTGAACTACACCAAGTACCGTATTTTTTGCTCCATAAGACTCACTTTTTTCCTCCTAAAAAGTAAGGGGAAATGTCTGTGCATCTTATGGAGCGAATGTGTGGTCGATCGCTGGCTCCCTTTCCGGCCCCGCCCCCTTGCCCAGGCCTCCATTGTTGAATGTTCTGCAGACGGAGGCTGTTTGTTTCCCCAGCGACATGTGACTGGCTGATTAGATTATTTGTCTGGAAATTGTAGAAACTGCTCCCTTTCCTTTCTTAAAGAAGCTGCGAAACTGTGAGGTGAACCCCATAAAAACAGGATTTTTTCACTTTGCAAAGTAAGCTCAACAACTTTGAGCTGATCCTCAAAAAACCAGGGCTTTTCCCCTTTGCAAAAGAAGCTGCACAACTGTGAGCTGATCCCCCAAAAAACAGGGCTTTCCCCCTTTCCTCTAAAAACTAGATGCGTCTTATGGAGCGAAAAATACGGTACTTCTTCGGGCTATTGATCAGCCACACTTGTCCCCTTATCATCCCATGAAGCAGCACCCAGCAAGGAAGCAGAGGAGGAAGACTACATTTGCTGCATTCACACCTCACTGGTAAATGCAGCGATGCCCCCACCCCCGTTTCCTAGGGGTTGTTCTGGTTTTATGCAATTTTGCTCATAAGCACAATAGCCAGGAATGTAACCCTCATGTAAGATGTGAGCTAACTGTATGTTCTTTCCATGGTAATTACCAACTGTTATTCTTTCAAAGCGTGTACTGTATATACTAATTCAAGCACATTAGCAAAAAATTTACAAATGGCTTATTCGTTGACTACGTTCACTGAATGTATCCAAATAGGTTTCCCTTCCATGCTGAGCAGCAGTGGCGTAGCGTGGGGGGTGCAGGGGGGGCCGGCCGCACCGGGCGCAACATCTGGGGTTAGGGCAAATCCACGGGTTAGGGGGCGCAAATTACTTGCCTTGCCCCGGGTGCTGACAACCCACGCTACGCCGCTGCTGAGCAGCATGGTTACTTACAACAGATCTTTCTACAGTACTTCCTTTACCCAACTCATTTCCCAGAGTTTGTTCTCAATCAGAGCTCTCTTTCATTATGCTTCTGCTATCACCACTTGCCCTACTCAGGCTTTCATTAAAAGGTAAAGGGTAAAGGGACCCCTGACCATTAGGTCCAGTCGTGACTGACTCTGGGGTTGCGGCACTCATCTTGCTTTACTGGCCGAGGGAGCCGGCGTACAGCTTCTGGGTCATGTGGCCAGCATGACTAAGGCGCTTCTGGTGAACCAGAGCAGTGCACAGAAACGCCGTTTACCTTCCCGCCAGAGCAGTACCTATTTATCTACTTGCACTTTGACGTGCTTTCGAACTGCTAGGTTGGCAGGAGCAGGGACCGAGCAACGGGAGCTCACTGCGTCGCGGGGATTCGAACCGCTGACCTTCTGATCGGCAGGTCCTAGGCTCTGTGGTTTAACCTACAGCGCCACCTGCGTCCCTCAGGCTTTCATTATAAGGCTTAAATGCACAAGCAAGGAGAGGAGAGGTGCACAAGCTCACCTCCCACCCCGTTGCCCTCTGTGTGTTTAAGGGTAACTGTTTGCAACAAGGACGCCTCCTGTACTTGTGGAGGCTCCCAAGCATTTTGGAATCCTGATTTCTATGTCTAGAGAACTAGACATAGTTCTATAATTAAACAACACAACAATCAGAAGTTGTGTTTTCTTGTTGCATAAACTTGTATTTTCTTTTCTTTCCCTTTTCTTTACAGAACTCTGAACTCCCAACCTTTAGAAACCTTGGATGGTCCACATCATCCAGGTCTTTCAGCAGCATCAGCTTGGGTTGTTTCTTTATCATACAGGATCCTAAGGATACATCAATCTTCTTAGTGTTATCAGTTAGGTTTTGTACTTGAGGAAGCCGATCTGATCTGGAATAGATGTAAGAGAAAGCACATATTTCACATAGCGGAGCCAGCTGATAGGCTTGTAAAATACTTAGGAGAAATTCTTTTTTCTAGGAAGACAGTACAAATAAATCAATTTAGCCTAGGTTTCCCTCTAAATGCTTTGCCTCTCTACTGTGTTTTGTATACTAGGTGACACATTTGGAGGTGGCATTTTTATTGGCACTACTTTATCAGTGAAAAATGAATGCATCTTTGGGAAAGATGTTCTGAATGCAGCTGTGCTGAGAATAAGCATCCACAATATAGGTAATAACATCTATAAATTTGTAAATCTTAGTTGAATTGATGAATGTTCTGCCTTGCCCAATCAATAATACTTCTCTTTTAAGTGTCTCCTTACTTATTCTGTTAAGGGGCGATGTGCAAAAATATTACTTTCTCTCACAGGGACCTCCCACCTGGAATCTGATTTAGCAAAAGGTTCTCTAATGTTTATGTTAGAAAATAGCTGAGACACTGGATAGGTTACATGGGCTAAAGTCTACAGGGGGTAAAAGATTGCAGCCTGAGTTGAGAGAAATGAGCAGGTGAGCTCAGTATGGGTGGTACCAGAGGAAGAGGGGCAAGCGCCCCTCTAAATGAGGAACTTGCCCTCCTCTTCATTGCTGGACCCTTGTCCTTAACACATACTGTTATTTTTCTTTCAGAGAGCAACTTACCCACCTATAAATATACTTTGCCCCTCCTGTTTGCAGCCCCCAAAATATTTTTCTGGGACTCAGCAACACCAAAACTGTTATGAAAGTGTAAAAGTATCACAACTGTACCTCCGCACATTTTGGGTGGGTTCTGATAAACAGATGCAGTGCAAGCTGCACTGGGAAGCTGCAGTGTGCCTAATCTGCACCAATTTCCTGATAGTCCACGAGCTAAGCTGTATGGCAAATGCCAGCAGTACAGTCAACACAGAGGAAGGGTGATCCAAACCCTGAACAATACAGCATTGTCTTTTTCACGTACTACTTGCTAACGTTCTGGTTTCACTTTCAGGCATACAGATGCTACTTTTTCAGTATGTGCCCAAAGGCATCGTGCAGCGTATTACGATTCTGTTGTGCTCATTGTAAACACTGGTTTTGTGAGGAGCAGAAAGTACCATATTAATGGATTGGAACAGTCTGTGCTCTTGTGCAATATGTTTACCTTTGTATAAAGACATTGGAAATGCATCCTTCAAAATCATTCCCACCCAACTCTATTGGCCGACTCATTGTTTTCCTTCCAAGGGTTCCAACGATTGTTGACTCAGGCACATCATCAACTAGCATCTTAAGCCTGGAATGAGAAAAACAAAACCTAGCGTGAAATTTTGAGAGCAAAACTATTAAGTCATCCCAACATTAATTTCATCAGCCACTTAACATTCGTACAGTACGTTTTAACCGTGGTTCACAAAGCTGTTTACAGCATAAAGCACTACTAGTACATTTTTTAAAAAGAAAAGAAAACCAACCAATCAGATCAGTGTATATCTTAGTTAACTCATTTTCAAAAGCCTAGAACAATTTTTTTTGCCGACCTCAAAAAATAGGCAAGTGAGAGCCCCCAGAAGGAGGACATTCTATAATACTGAGGCAGCTACCCAAAAGGTCTAGCTTCTAATGGACACTAATCTAGAATTCACAAAAGATGATACTCTGGGCGGGTAAATTATGACTTCAAGCACAGCCTTGTTCTCCTGTTACAACTTAGATGGAAAAGGGTTGCATATAATCACCAGTGTCTATTTATTTATTAATCGTGTATTTATTAAATTTGGACTGACTGCAGTAGAGTTCCCCTTTTCTGCATGGGACCGTGACTAAGCAGAGTAGAATCAGATTCCGCACACTTTATGCAGAAGTATGTGGCCACGCTGGTGCCTCTTTTGCTCTTTGTTTTCACACTGCAGCACAAAAACTACATCACTCATTAATAGTCTAACATTTTCTGTGGCTAGCCAAAGGGCCCATGCAGTCTATGTATACCCATGTGACTAAATGAGAGCATCCAGTACAGATTCTAAAACTCCATATAGGCATTATGTTAGAAATCAAACCATTACATTTGACACATTATTGTTGATGAATTGGATTGTTGCTGCAGTGCTCTCCACACAGACAGAATTCAAGCAGCTAGTTGGTTGTCATGGGATAGGGTTATTTCCTGCCAGGTTACCTCCCAGAAGCTGGTATTCATGGAGTAAGAAGCCAATATTTGTGATGGCCAAACCACGACTGAACGTTCAACTAACCAGGTTAACCACGGTGATGATCATCACATGAGATGCACATCATCAGAATCTAATCATAGAAGCTTCTGCTCCACCAAGCCAACACAAATTATCAGTGGGCACAGGTTTCACAATTGCAGCAACATTACAGAATTTCCCCATTAGGTGGATTTATGTAAAAATAAAAATGCCATGATTCCTAGGTTGCTAGCAAAGATCAAAACAGATATGAAAAGAAGATATCTGAGCAAGTCCATACAAAGAAGATGTGGAGGCAAAAGGTTAGCAGCATCTGTGTATTTACCATAACCTGGAAAAGCTAACAGATCAATTTATACATGCTAGTTGTGATCTAGCAGTTTCAATCTGCTTGCAGAGCTCTGTGTGCACAATATTTGCTTCATTCTGTTCTCTGAGAGGGAGCACATAGTGCACACAATGGGAAATGCCAGTGAAGACTCACAGAAGAGTATGAAAAACCTTTCTACTCTTATGTGCAGAGCTGCAGAGCTCTTGATCATGCCCTATGGAAGAGGAGTGGGTTGTGAAACTGGCGTACCAAGCACAGAGATAAGCGCATACGGAACACACAAAAATAAACTGGGTCTACATTTTGTCACAGAAAATGCTCTAATATTCAATAATGGAACTGTGAAGACTTTGAAAATACAAAAAAAGTCTCCTGTTTATTCTGAGGTTCCACATCAACTGCTGGCATTAATCCTAATGCAGTTTTAACTTTCTAGATATTATATAATCAAATGTCAAGTCAAGCAATACAGCCCCATATTTTTTCTCTAACATAGTATTCACTCTGTCCCATAAAGTGTTGGACTTACGTGTCACCCTCTTTCATCACTGTTACATAATGCATTGAGCCATCTTCATATCTCTTGCTAGACTGACCTTCTTCATCAGCTAACTTTACGATGACAAAGCCATTTCTCAGGAGCACAGTAAGCACATCAGGCTAAAAACAAACAAACCAAAATTTAATTTTTGAGGTTTTAGCTTTGGCAAAAAGGGGGATATGATTATCGCTGAACAGGAGAACAAAAGAAGATATATCTCTCATACCCGTAAATTGTAATATAGCAATGTTCCATCAAGGGCCAATGTGTGAAAGCCAAATCCAATTTGGAAGTCGTTAGGAAATGGAAAACCATCATCACTCAAATCAAGTACTCCATTCTTAGAAAAAGTCGCAGCTCTCACAAGCTAAAAATACAAATGGATAATGAATAGGTTTCCTTTTTCAGAAGAGTCATCCCTACTTTCCTTGCTTCTGTCTAATATATCAAGTGCAATTAATGGATCACACATTATGGGCTCCATGGGAATGTGGGGCTCACAGATCTTATTCTGGAAAGGTGTGAAAGTCCTCACTTTGCAAAGTTTTTTTTTGGGGGGGGTCTTAAATGCATTATATGAATGAAATGCTATCATGATCAAACAATGTTGAGCTCTATAGATTAGTATCTAGTACCTAAGGAAGTTGTAATCAGCAAATTACCTTCCAGTCTTCGGGACAATTTTTGCTGACACCAAGCATCTCAGAGATGGTAGGAGAAGACTCAAAAGAAGTTTTTACATTCTTCATGCACCCACGAAATGGAGGTGTCGATATATTAAAACTGTTTCCACAAAGAAAGAAAAAATACCACATAGCCTTTAAATTTGCCATTATTGATTCCAAATGTCTCATTTCATGTACAAACTGTTTTCCACTTCTTATCTCCAGAGTAATTCAGTAAGTGCTGTTAAGAGATTGTGACTTGCCCTAGATCACTAATTAAATATCTTGGTTAGAAAAGGGTATCCCACTCTCAAATCTGCCACTCTATTCACTGGCCCCCACTATACACATGAGAGCAGTATTACAATGGCAGAATGACAAGTGCAAACCGGCATTAAACTTACGTGAAGCATATTTTTGTATCTACGTAGGAAGCTTTTGTGTTTGTGAACTGGAACTGGAGGTACAAACTTAAGGCCTTACAGTTCAACCCAGACCTGGGAAAGGACCATCTAGGTCTTTCAGTGAAACACTCTGCTTTGTGTTAATCATGCCTGCACAAATGAAACCTACCAAGCTGAATACAGCCCAGCTGCCAAGTATTTGTAGCGTTCAAGGTGATTTGACAATGCTCACACTAGGCATCAAACACAGGAGAAACATCAGACCACAACACCTGGAAGGTCACATCATTCAGCTCGGTGGACCCCAAGTTGTGCAGGCCTGACTTGACTTCCATCCATAAAACAACACAACAATCTTAGGGAGTAATCTGTAGTGTAACTCACCGTTCTCTTATAGAGGCTGGGATTCCACCGAGGTAATATGAATTGAACGGAAACATACTTATGTTAACTTGTTCTCTAGGCCTGCCGAAAGCAACTATTTGTGGGCCAATGAGTAAAAGAACCTGAAATGAATAAAACAATCAGATTTTAAACCAGCCTACAAAGAAACAAGGGAATTTATATATAAATTTCACATTATCACAACTTGTTTTTAAAACAAATAATGCTTCAGAAGTTAATCTAACTGTTGTTCCATTGGGTAGTTAAATAACTAGTAAAAGTGAGAAGACTAAGTTCGAAGAAGAAGAAGAAGAAGAAGAAGAAGAAGAAGAAGAAGAAGAAGAAGATGACAAGAAGAATTTATTATTTATACCCCACCCATCTGGCTGGGTTTCCCCAGCCACTCTGGGCAGCTTCCAACAAAACACTAAAATACAATAACCTGTTAAACATTAAAAGCTTCCCTAAACAGGGCTTTTTCCCTTTGAAGGAAAAAAGGACATAACATCTAGAAGATGCTAAGCAGAGATGTTAACTTTTATAAATGGTGTGAATTTGCATCATTTATAGCATCATTCACAAGTGATTACATAGTCGGATATTCATTTATTTTACATTTTTTTTAAAAACCTTACTATTTGATCCATTCCGTTGTTTATGACCACTTGGCTCTTTGCTTCTTTTGGAGGCTGTGAATCAACTTTATACCTGAGTACCAGCTGGCCTTTTTCAATCCTCAAACAAATGAACTTGTCCTGCAATTAAGAAATAATATGTCATGTAATATATTATAAAGAGTCATTTATTTGAATTAGGCATAATTAGCAGTACTCTGTGCAGTAATCCTGAAAATTTCAGCCTCAACGTTTTAAAGAAAATGTGCATTACCAGTTCTAGTGGCTGAATGTACAGATGAATTTGAATCTGAGCCACATTTCAGAAATCCATAACTCGCCTTTATGCAGAACACAACAGCCTTACAGAGTCAGCCTTACAATTGGCTGCATATGAGTTTCTGGATTGGCCAGAGCTTGTATGATTGCCATGGCAGGTTCCACAGCCTTATTATACATTTCTAGGTTAGGAGCTCAATATGTTGTACCACGAAAAAGCTCAAGAAAACACAGTCATTCCTTTGAGGACTTTGTTCTGCTTACTGCAGTTCTGTCCTACTATTACGTAAGTGGCCTACGTTAGAGAAAGCAGAAGGGCAACTCTGAAAGAAAATTTTATCGCTATGCCCTGAGGCATATTCATCCTTTCAGTTGATTCACATCTACATTTTTTTTTTTACTCAAGCAGTATTTCCTTTGATCTGACATGTGCAAAACTTTTGCCTCAACTCTATTTATTTATAAAACACATATAGCATTTTTCTATATGAAGACAACACAAAGCAGTGAACACAGTAAATCACAGGCTGAATATTTAGGTTGGGGGTTGTTACAGTAATTTCTCCTAATCTTTCATTCAAAACATTTCACCTGCTAACCTCACTTCTTCAAGTCTTTTGACTGTGGGCAAAGTAATTGGGCATAACCATTCTTTCCACTTCTGCCATATGTTTCTATGGTGCCTGCTGGCATCAGAATTCCTTGCTGGAATACAAAGCTTTAAATGGATCAAGAATAGTCTTCTTTCAATTGATTAAGCTTATGCCCTGGCCTGAAGAATTAGTTAACTAAGATTTCTCAATAATCATTGAAGTTACTCATCAATTTTTGCCACCAAGCAGTATGAAACACTGTGTTTTACAAGACATGTGTAAAGCACATGCTTTTTAAACATTTTTCCTAATTACATTCAGGTTCTATAATTCAATTTTCTTATCCATTCACTCTTAATTGTTATGCAAATATTATTTGTATGAAATCACTTTCTCCACATGAACAGCAATATTACCTGATTACTTGCAAAAAACACAATTCCATCATCTGTAGTAGTCTGAATGGTTTGCTCATATCGTCGAAAAGCGCTAGTTGGTGAAGTTACGTCAACATGTGCATAACCTGTGCCTTCAAAATAAAGTCTGGAAGACTGTTCTTTATATCTGTAACAAATAACGGGGGAAGTGAGAACTACTGCATGTTCAGAATCTCAAGAAGTATGTTAAGCAAAAATTCACAAAATTAGTATTTTTCAGTTTGAGATCATAAAAAGGGGAAGTTGTATTTTAAAACTTTTTAAAACATTTTTTTTGTCACAATTATTTTAAAAAAGCCTGCTTTCTCCTGTTGGGATATAAACAAGAAGAATCTACACAGTGGATTTATCTTGCACGATCTCACAGCAAGCCCACACAGATGACCTTCCTTCCCCAAGATGAGCATTCTCATCCTCTGACAGCTTAATCATTAGTATCAACCTACTAAGTGGAAAAGATTTTACACAAAGAATGCCTGAGTTGTCTGTATGGGCTTCTTAAAAACTGCATAGGACTTGGAGCAGTTCAGCACACCTAATTGTTAAGGCTTGCTGAACACATGTTCAGCTTCCTTTGCTAATTCTGTTCCATGTGGATGTCATTACAATATGATAGAAAAGATCTCTCTTGAGGCCACAATTGCTAAACTTTGACTGGGATAAGGAGAGTGTGACAGTGTTAGAAACTGAGATATGTAAGCTAGGAGCTAAATAGTACCTTAAACCTAGGTTATGGGCACAACAACGGTTTAGGCGCACTTTTTTTGTAACAAGAATATGATACGGAAAATGAATGAACTGCAGCTAAAATACTATGTTCATTTTTCATATGGTCTAGTTTTTCCCCTGCCCACCCCCCTAATATTCTTAATACTTCTCCAGTCTTCAGAGAGTAGCTGGAAGTGGGGAGGCAGAAAAAGATCCTCCTTTCCTTCCACTCTGCAGTTTTAAATCTGAAACCTTAGGCGCAGAACTGAGCCCAGAGCTCAGAAACTGCTCACACCAATGAAATTTCCTGTCGCAAAATGCACCTAGAACAATGGGAGTTTTGAACACTGGTGACAGATTATTCTGTGGCGCAATGCGTCAGTGCACCTGGCTGTTAACCAGAAGGCTGGTGGTTCGAGCCGACCCAGGGATGGCCATGGGCAGGATTCTTGCATTCCAGGGGGTTGAACTAAATGACCCTCAGGGTCCCTTCCAACTCTAGGATTCTATGTATTATAAAATTCCAAATATACAGCACATGCCATGTGGTAGGATTTTTTTATTTCTTTTACCTTCTGCATGGTTGTACTTCACTGGTATCAAGATTAAAACTCCTCTTGAAATTGTACAGGCTGATAACTCTCTCGTTCAAGCTATCCAGTTCAATGCAGCCTTCATAAGGAGAGTAGTTTAGCGTACTGGGAAGCTGTAAAAGTAAAAACAGTCTTCAGTGAAATTCAGCACCATAATTTTAATTAATTACTGTATTCAGACTGATGAATTCTGCTTTTCAATGCAAAATTTGGTTTGATTTTTTGAAACCCACCTAGGATATATATCTCATACTGACTAATAATAATTTATACCCCGCCCAACTGGCTGGATTTCCCCAGCCACTCTTGGCAGCTCCCAGCAGAATATTAATAATAACAATAAATTATGGGTTGTTATTGCTTAGGTCCTTTTTGTGAAGCAAGTATGAAATGAAAGACTAATCTGGAGTATCAGCACTTGGTTTACAATACACACACACACACACACACACACACACACACACAAAATATTTCCATAAGTTATAAACACATTACTATAAAATCTGACGGATATCCTCCAACATAGAAGACCACATTCTCAGGATCCAGGTTGAGAAGAGTATGGCTGTTTCCACTGCTGTCATCAAAAGGCCCAAAGCTTGATGGTGAAGGAGAGGTTGCACCTTGAATGTAATTCAGTTTTGCATACTGGTAAATCCTAAAAAAAAAAGGGGGGACAAAATTTGAATATCTCAACCTAAGCCCACAAAAAGATCGGGAAGGATTTTTTTTATAGAGTCCCATACCTTTCAAACTGCACACGATCCAAAATTGCATCCTTGGTATCGCTTTCAAACACCGATTCAGGCACCCGTATTTCGGCTTCATCGCCTCCTAAACTATAGGCACAAATGAGACGGCCATCGCGGACAGCCATGCCTATGTAGTCCTTGGAACTCTAAACATGAAAAAAAAATAATTCTTAATTAAGAAAGCTGGCTTCACATTTATTTATTTTTAAATAATCTTTAGAAGTATCAGTTGTTTGTGTGTGTTAGGCTGTGCACAGGGAGTACATTCCCCCCACTCAACCTTTCCTACCTATTTTGTGGTCCCAGTGAAAATTACCGTCCTAAAGCTGCCATTTGCCCCAAGATGGCAGCTGCCAATTGGTGTCATTTATAACTTGAAGCATAAACCAATTCTAGGCACACCAACTCCAAGAAGTATTGGAACTATAGTTTTGAGCCTTCTGGTTATATTTTTATTTCTTACTTGCCTTTCCCCATGGGTTCCAGAAATTTAAAAATATAGTATTCAAACAAATTACAGTCACAAGAATTGAGAATATTTATCTCATGTGTCAAAAGAGTAAAAATGTGCCTCTGCAATATATTATGTAAACTACATTATGAAGGTGTCAGATACATCTCTGTGGGAATAGAATTCCAAAACTTAAGGACCGCCACAGGGAATGCCCTCTCCAGGTCACAAAAACCCAAACTTCCGAGAGTGGCCAAATTACCAATAGGGCCCCTTCTGTTGATCTTAACATCCAAGAAGGTCCATAGGGAAATATTTGGCCAGGGAGGAATTATTCCCTAAGCCAAATTGGGCCTATCTGAGGCTTTTGCCTACCTCATAGCTATTGTCACAACTTGCTAGTGGATAAGGCATGGTGTTGGATCTTTAGTCAAGGCAAAGGAGTGGGGGTTGGGAGTCCCATCGCTTGCTCCCAAGAATCAGGGTACCCCATTAAGGGAGTCCAGAGGAACATGTTTCTGTCCAGATGCCCAGGCAGGGAATGATGGGCCATAGCTCCCCCACCCCAAATGATGATTCTGGAGGAGTCGCCCCAATTTGATATACGTCATAGGGTGATCCTTCACCTAGGATTAACCCTGCCAAATCCAGACGGGCTGGATGATTCAGAATACACACCCAATGCCTACTGACATCTGCAATCATTAAAGTCGTGGCCTGTTTAATCCCAAAATGCTTGTCTTGTGATTACTGCATCTTCCCGTGCCTTGGCCCCCACCAGCTTCAGCCTACTATGCCTGGGCCCACAAGCCACTTTCAGTTAATTTACTGTTAGATAGAATAGTCCGATGTCCATTCACATTTGCCGCCCCAAATTAAGTTAATAAGCCATGTCTGTGCATGTTTAAAAGATGTAACCGACACTCTACTTTCAGCTAATATTATAGTCAAAAAGTGGGACACATTCACACAGTGATACACAAACTACTTACATATGTGAGGTTCTAAGGTATAAGAATAAAATTATCCCTTTATTGTTTTTTAAATTCCTGAAATGTAATTTTAAATTATAACACAATGGACCTTTATTTACAATTGGACTGCAAGCTTTCAAATTATCAATGGATGGCAAATTAAAAGCACATTTGCTTTTTAAGGCTAATTTGGTTCCAAATGGCCACATAAAACTGCGTGTATCTCGCATAAAATAAAAATTGCCACCTAAAACTATATAAAATAAACAAATTGGCAGAACTGAATTCACATAGACTTTTTGTTTTGTTTGCTTTTTGCAGAGATACTCACTTTATCAAAGTAATTCAATTATTGAACAGCTGCTCAGATATTTACAACCCATTGTCCATATTGATGGGTGAACAGCGTAATAAATATTAATAAAAATAACGGAGACAAGAAACGAATACTTACATCCTTGTCACCCAAGTACATGACAAACATGTTGGACGTCTGCCGCCGTGGGCTGTCCAATCGTGAGAGAGGCCTTTGCAGATACAAAGAAAGAGAAGTATAGCCTTTCAAGTCATCAAGGTTATCTGGAGGCCGGACCTCAACCCCAGAACTGCCATTGAACCTCATGGGAACAGCAACCTATTAAAAATAAAAATGAATATAATCAGTTACAAACTCATATGGGAATCAAAACAGACATGCAATATTATTACAATTTTGACTTAAGTTCTGGGGAGCCATGCAACAGCCTTAATATATGTAAACAACTACAGTCCTATTCGGACATTTCATTCTCAGTTATCACTGTGTGGCTGGGAGAATGCTCCCTGGCCCGCACCAGCTTTTGTATCCCCATTGGCTTCCCTCTGCCACCCATGGTTTTTTTGTGTGTCTGGAGGGAGGAGCCTACCCTACATACATGGGCTCCCTATACAGTTTGTAGCCTATGTGACCAGGAACCTTATATGTGTAGAACAGGCTCCTCCTTCAGACCTCCCCCCCTCTAAAGTATTCAAGAGGAAAGCAATATTTACATTCTGTGAAACAGAGGAGAAGCAGGCAACTGAAGCTCTGTTACTGTGGGCCTGTAGGATATGTTTGCACCATGTACCCATGGAAAATACTGGTTTTTCTTGTGACTTACATTGGTAAGCACAGGAACATTTTTAAGCATGTAAGTAATGGTTCTTACTCAATTAGTGAACAATATTAGCACTTACCGGTAATTCTTGTACCCTCCTTCTCTGGGGCCATCTTGCCTGCTCCATAAGGGCAGAATCCTATGAACATTGATTAGCATCTTTGCCCCGATGCTTTTGTGAACTGACTGTTTTAATGACTGGACTGGTGCCGTACTGTGTTTTTTAATTGTAATTGTATGGATTAAACAGATTTTACATATGTGTCTAACTTTACTTCTAACAATGTTTACTTTTTTATTATTGTTTTTCTTATACTTTTAGTGGTTCTCATTTTAATATGTAAGCTGCTTTGAATCCCATCAGGGAAAAAGGTGGAGTATAAATAAAATAAGAATGATGATGATGTCCAGTTGGCTTTTCAGCATCAAACCTGTCCTGGGGAAAATTGCTCTCTGGGCAGACCTAAAGGATAAATTATTTCTCTTTATTAAAGGTTTCACTAAATACACCTGGGTAACAATAATAAAATATGTGAGCGTGGGCATGTAGCAACATTCTTGGGCAAACTTGTGATGACAAGTAGCAAAAGAGGACAGAAAGAAGCAGCTATGGAAGATTCTGCCACAAGCCACATACCTTGTTAGCAGCATCTCTTGCTTGCTGGATGAGCTCTCTGATGCGGTTTATATTCTCCGATATGTTAGCTATTGGCATAAGTTGTTCATTGATGCGTGTAATCTTGTTAAACAGATCTGGGAGGATGTTTGTCAAGTTCTTTACTGTGGATAGGATTTTTTATTTTTTTAGTGACATGAGGGAAGGATTATGTACTAAAATGCAAAATATGAGTCATGTAATCTGCAATTGCTGGAATATAATGGGGCACACTCAATTCATACCAGGGTAGTTTCCCAACAACCTATTCATTTAATGTTTATCCTGCCGGTTTGAGGGGTAGTGGGGATGGTTGTACGACATTAAGTAAAGCAATTGTCATCCCTTGCTTTCCGGTACATTTTCCTTTCATTTCCCATCGTGCTCCTTACTTTAAAAAAAAAAAAAATTGGAAGGAGCTTTGTTGCGCATCTAGTCCACTTTAACTGTATAACCTGAATTTTCCAGTCTTGAGAGTGAATCCCACTCACAAAACAGTGACAGTCTGGAAGTGCCCCAAGACTTTGGGTGAGGACCTTTTCTAGGAATTCCCAGCAATAACCAGATTTATAACATCTATATTTAGCAAGTTGTGAAAGAATATTCAACAACAGCAACATGGCCTAGTTCTCCCCTCAAAAACAAATGCCGATATCACTCCTGAAAGGCTGGAAGAGGCCCATGGAACAAACAAACTGCCTACCTGTATTGTTTGCATCATTCAAAGCCTTGTTATAGTTAGAGCTCTGTGTGCTTCCATAGGAAATCTTTATCTTTTCCACATCTTCTTTAATTGGGTTCAGTTCCGTGAGAACATTAGCAGTAATGTCATTGGCATTTTTGACCATGTTCTTTGCGCTTGTAATCAAGCCGTCTGTGTCATCTAGCAGAAAGGAAAAGATGCACAAAGATCCAAATATTTGAATGGTTTCTATACGACCACATATTTTGCTCCCTATTATCTTTCCTTCCCCATTTGGGTAGGGCTGTTTTTTATTTACAAGGCAAGGGCTGTCTAACGTTTTTGGTCTGAGGGCCACAGTTACCGTTGGCCAGCCCTCCAGGGCCTGCAAGCCACTGGTCTTGGCCTCTGCACCCTCTTGCACACAGCTCCCCTGCTCTACGTGGCTAATTCCTGCAGGTCATCTTAAGGGAATACCTCCTCCCCACTCATAAGTTGATTGATCTGATGACTGGGGAGAGAGTGCAGGACACAATCTCTCATTTATTTATTTATTTATTTTTTCTGCCAATTGCTAAAATTGGTGGGGGTTTGGGTGGTTGGCAGAAGGTAGGGTTTTGCTTGTGGGAAGTTGGGCCAGGGATTAGTTGCTTGGCATAATAAGAAATGCAGAACAAAATATACAGCAGTGGAAGTCCACATCAAATTATTTACCTCTATTTATCCCCTGAAGGTTGTTTTGAAAGCTTGTAAGATTTGCCTTTATCACATTTTTCTTGTGCTCGGCAACCTCAAGTCTGCTCTTTAAGTCATCAAGAGTGGGACTGATATCTGTAAAAAACACACACACAAAAACCACCAACCAACTAAGTGTTAAATCAGTCTGATAACTATGGATTGGATCATTTTCTGGTGAAGCTTCACTACTTTGTTCTCTAGTCTTTCAACAGGAGGAGGGGAAGCAACTCCATAACAGCCAAATTCAATCCTAATATAAGCACATTAAATGGCCACCTTTACACTTGACTTTGGAGATGGGTGAGCATTGGGTATACTCAGTAAACTTGTAATTCTGCATTAAAAACCCAATATTCTGCAACCAGATAATAGCTTTCTATGGGGTCAGGTTGTAAGGAGTAGAATACAGGAAGAATTACCCTTTCAAAAAAGCTCCAAACTGATTTTATTACTTGCCTAAAAGCAGGTAGCTGAGAACCAAGCAGGTCAGAGATATTTGGAATCCTATTACATATTACTCCTTAATAGCCAATAACAGCGATGAGGGTGCCACATGTCTTATGAGCGGACTGGAACTGCATGATTTTAATCACTGAAACCCAACTATTCTCAGAATCCCTCAATCCTGCATATAGCATCCTGGGCACTGGGAGTATTTCTGACTGCACACCCCTGATCCCTGCAGGTCAAGGGTCTGCAATAAAGTAGGTATCAATCAAGACGTTGCACAAATCCCTCAAACAGAAGTATATATGACTTCCAACAGTTTTTGAATGATACCCTTTTTCTCATGAGTCAAGAAGCATGCTGATCAAGCTACATGCAATTTCCCCCCTTCACTTTGATTTCATCTTGTTAAAATTGCTGCAGGCCAGATAAAATTTTTGCATTGCCTAGATTTGTCCCATTCCCAGATTTGAAAGGTTGTAAGGCTGTAATGCTTTCTAAAGTGGTAAAGCCCTCAGACAGTACTTTTACCACTTCAAAGCAGAGAGATCTGTTTCTCCAAAATTGTTCCCAAGTAACCAAAGCCACCCACTAGCCAGTCTTTCATCTGATACTGTTACTTTGTTATTGGCTCATCTGAAAACTGCCAGTTTCATACTAATGTCTTTCACCATTAACATTGCAGTAACAAAGATGGTGCAACTCAACCCTTAATGAGACATGAAGCAACAATACCAGAATGGTGACAAAACTTTTATGAACCTGCACATTATTTATTTGCTTTTCAAGATACCCTGTAAGGTCTTTTCTGCAGCCTGTGCTTGATTTAACAGATTGCCGCTGTTGGTCTTCAGTCTCTTGGCACTTCCAGCTAGGTCTTTTCTCTCCACTGTCTGAAAATGAAGCATTGCCATGTAAAGTCTTCATATAAGGGAGGTAGGATACATAAAAAAAAGTCAAAGGAGGCAGTGCACACAATCAGGAGGATTTAATCTCTGCCAGGTGTTTTCTATTTTTGTTGGATACAGTCCATGAACATCTGCTACTGTGCAATCTCCATTCATTTTAAAGATACTTCCATGCAAGCCCTATTCAGAATATGAGACGCTTGGAGAATTGTCAGAGTGCTGGAACCTATTGTGAATCTGCCTGGATTAGTTCTATAATATCTAAAGTAATGATGAAATGAGATGGTGTCTTTAAAAAAAAAAAAATCACAGCTAAGCTGAACAAAATGTAGGCACCCTGAGATATGTAAGATTAGGATCAAAGCTTCCCGTTCTATCTCCCTGATGAGTCTGGAGTGCTATTAACTCACTTTTCATCAATCAATCACTGCTTTTAACTGCATTAAAAAAATAAACAAACCCGTATGTGTGTAGCATATTTGCAACGGCAGCATTCCAAATCATGCAAGATACTAAGCTGTGAATTTGAATTCACATTCAAATTCTATCCAAATACCCAGTTAAGAGTTGTCTTAAGAGAACAAAAACAACAAGAAGGAGCAGGGCGGTGTCTCCCACTCTGGTGCTTCATCGGTTCTCCTTTCCCACCTGCTATGAGGCCCAATAAGAATCCTGGTGACAGCAGGCAGGAGAGAGGGGTGGGACCAAAGAGATTCTGGAAGAGGAGAGCTGGAAGCAGGCTTTCCCTTATGTTTTCCCTCCCCTTATGGTTTTGATCTACGGGCTACTATTAAAATGAGGCTGCATTTTAAATTATATTTTAATTTATTTTAATGTATTTTAAATTGTTTGGGTTTTTTTAATTGTAATTTTACTGGTATTAGCTGCCCTGAGCCCAGCTCTGGCCAGGGAGGGCGGGGTATAAATAAAAATTTATTATTATTATTATAAGGTTAACTTCAGCTAACAGGCAGGTTGTCTGAGGTTGTACCTTAAGGGCTGTGCATTTTATTTAAAATAAGATAAAATAAATCCAATGGCTAAAAAACAAAACAACAATTCTGATGTGATTTCAGAATACTCTTACTGATAAAGCTGAGTCTGCAGCACTGGATGCACTGTTGGCAGCAACCTCTGCTGCTTTGATGGCATCAATAATGTCATCGTAGGCAGTAGCTGCTGCCACAGAACAGGACACCAGCTCGTCATCGCTGACGTTTTTCTTGATCCTGTGGGGAGGAAAGCAGAAAATCTAGCAATTTGGACCATGTATGGTGAAAATACTTTTGGTTGCTCTTTTGCTCACAAATGCCCGACAGAAAAGTATACATCATATAATAACACAAGTGGTCCAACAAATGGTACTTTAAGGTGCCCTTTTTGGGTAGGGACACTCTGCTGCTGAAGTCCCTTTTTTACCTTGAGAATTCATGCCATGAGGCTGTAGATCAAAGAGACCACTCCAATCCCCAAGAAATGTTTACATGAAAACCACAGAGGTAAGCGCTTAAATCAGAATTTAGAACTGAAACACACACACTTTTATGAAAGAAGAGAAAGAATGAGAGGCTTTGGAACCATAGGTGCCAACTCCCTAGGTGCCCGAGCACCCACAAATTTCAGTGCCAGGGCCATGCACACTGCATGACACCCACGGCTCTGGGCGCCCATGGTCATGGGGCCAGGCTGGCACTCCTGGTCAAAGCAAAACACTTTCAAATCCCACCAATTCCATCTAGTTAAATGCTGGCTTTACTTTCCCACTGAAAGCAGTGAGGCTTAAGCATGCTTCCCTTTAGCTGGTTCAGGGTTTTAAGGCTGGCAAATTGACAGTGCAATGTGTAGATTTGGTCAAAAATCAGAACCCCTCTGGCATTCTAAAGATATGGTCATGTTCTGGAAAGTGACTGATACACAGGTATCATCTGAAGGGAGCATGCCTGCAGGTTTGGCACCAGTTCTATGGGACCCTGGGCAAGCACCGTCCTGGTTCCCCATCTCCACCCTACAAGTGGGAAGGGGCTGCAGGAGGCAACCCAGTGCTCTGAAGGGAAGCTCCAGGTGAAACAGCTGCCATCTTAATTTCCTCAGAATGCCTCTGGTCCCTATATCAGGAGTGCCACAGAAATTAAAGATGGAAGAGGCTGCAACTACCTCTTCTCTTTAGAATGCTGGGCCCCAAATACTTCAAAAGGCAGGAAGACACACAAAAAGAGGCTGGTGTCAGTTGTGGTGGGTCGTTTAGGACCCTGACATTTGTCCTACCATGCTGGCTGCTGGAGCTGGGTCTGAATGTTCACCTTCCTTCCTGCTGGTGTGGGCTTGAAGGGCAGGAAAAGGGGTTTAGAACATGATTCAGTATAAGAACCTCTCCCATCTGATCCATGAATCAGCTCTCACATATAAATAACAAGTTCCTCTCCTTTTGCCTTCACCGTTCACCATTAGCACAATACAGTATACAATGCTCTTTAGCAAGATGCATGGTATCTAGCTATTCATCTGCAAAAATGAAAACATACTCATCCAGTTTTCTTGCCAGGTCTTGTAAAAAGTTGGCATGCTCTTCTGCTCTCACTACTAGAGGTTCCTTGCTGGCCGATAAAGACTGGCTCTTCAGTTTTTCACTTAGGTCCTTCCTCGCGCCATCCAGCTGGGCAGCTAAGTTTTCATATTCCTGAAGTTTGAAGGCAAATGTCACTTTATTTGCTGTGACCCAGACAGATTTATAAAAGTGCAGGAAATAAATGGCAATTCTATCTTTTGTGTGCTTCAGCTTTTCATGCAAATCTTGGTGCTTTGAGCACAGCACAGAGGATTAAGCACAAAAGATTAGACAGAAATGGGGGGAAATGTTTTCAACATATAACTTGTATTTTGTGAGCAGCTATTACCGCCTACAAAATCAAATCATTACTTGCAATAGATTTTTATTTCCATTACAATGATTTCTCTCTCTCTTCACAGAATTAAAGCATTACTTCTTCAATACCTCTTTGCTCTTCTGCAGCAAGCCAAACACACTGTTTGCTTGAGACAATGATGCTTCAGCAGAGCTCAGAAGATCCAAGATGCCAGTCTGTTGTTTAGTCATTGCATCAATCCGTTTCTGACAAAGAAATGAAGAGGAGACTCAATTTTTAAATGCAGCTCTCATTGGCAGAGATATAAGTAACATAGCTTTCTGAATAGTAACAAGGGGCACTATCTAGCCATAGGCTGTCTCCAGGTTGCAAGTGCAATTTTGGGAAAGGTATAACTTGTTTAATGGTCAGGTTGCATTTACCCAAAGGCAGGCTGATCCTAAATCAAGCATGTGTCTTAGGGCCAATCAACATGTTACACCATCTACTAAATCATAGCTTTAAGTGAAGGTTTTCATTTTTGGCATGAATTGCCTAATCTGGATTGGAACCCATGCCTGCAATTTGCATAGGGAAGAAGTTCCCATTGAAGCAAACTGCAGGTATGGGGCTCTTATCCAGTTCAGAACCATAGTATGGACAAAAGGTTAGAGGCCTCCCTTTATAATCCAGGCTAGGAGTACCACCACCACTCCCACAGCCACTTTGTGTACTTTGTGCAGACAGCTTTGTATTTAAAGGCACAGCTGCATAGCTAATGTAACCTGGCATGTAGAAGTAAAGATTCTGATTAGGAGAAAAGGAACACTGGCTTCCTCCTGCAAACCCTAACTGAAGGGAGGAGGACATAGAAAATTCGTAGTGCAAGCCTTTGCACGGTCTACTCAGATTTAGGTTCCACTGAGTTCATTGGGCCTGACTCCCAGGTAAGTGCATATAGGACTGCAGCTTATGCCTATTAGCACTCTACAGCAGCCATTGCAGGGGTTCCTTATCAGTGCTCTACAGTTCTGGACCCTGCTTCCTGAAAGCCAAGAAGGGTTGGTCCCGGATTAGGGAAGGAGAAAGCCCTTCCTCACCCACATCCAGTGCCCCCAGGGGGTACTCAAGGGTACGCAGTACCGGCATCTCTTGTTGTTGTTAAAAAGTGTGTTACTTACTGTAACAACTTCATGGTGAGCACCGGCACCTATTTTTCAAGTGAAGGTACTGCTGTAAAACTGAAGACTGTCCTATCCTGAAATCTCTGGATAATTATTTCCTAAACTAGAAACGGTTACTATTATTATTAATAGGTAACTAATTAACTACCTACCTACCTACTGGTATTTGGCACAAAAGTAAAGCAGAACAGGATGGAACAATTTATGACATGTCTGTGTATCATTGGGTCATCCCAGGTAATTTCAGGACAAAGAGAATAGGTCTGGGCAGGCTGAACAATTAAATTACACCTCATATAACTGTTCCAGAGAAACTAAGCTTTGTTTCTTTATTAAGAAACAAAAAGCAAAATAAAGCAGCAGTTTCTTATTCCATCAGCCTTTCACAGTATCCTTTTGAGAGAGATTATTGATAAGGCCAGATAAAACGACTTGGAATTTCACATATTCTTCATCTATTAAAGATTTTTTTAAAAGAAAAAGAAAATAAATAAAAGTGGTATTACCTTAACATCTTCCAAAAGGAGTTGATTATTTCCATTTAAATTTTCAGCCTGCTTTGTTTGCTCTTTTGCTTCATTCAAAGATATCCGAAGATCTTCGAGCTTGGATTCATACTCATTTAATGACTCTCTTATAGTTTTAATAAGTCCCTGGTTTTTTGCTTGGTGCTTTTGTAGTTCAGTCCTTACACGCTCCAGCACTATGGAGAGAATTAGAATGGATAAAGTTTGATTATCGGATAGCAAAATAAGAACAAATTTGATTATCCATACTGCTGTAAGGAGATAGCGTCCACCTAGCTTAAGTCCTTTCTGGTCACTAGTCCTGTTCTGGTCTTGCCAATGAGTGGATTTTAATCATCTGGAACGTTCTCTTCCAACCTAGTGCTCTCCAGATCTTTGGACCAATTCCCATCAGCCCCAGCCAGCATGGCCAATGGTCGGGAATGATGGAAATTGCAGTCAGAACCATCTGGAGGGCACCTGATTGGGGCAGACAGAGATTAACCATCTGTGTCTGGAATAGTGAGACTACAGGAAGGGAAACATCCATTATTTTTCTTTAATTTGCCTGCCATAACATGATGTGACGACATTTGTCAGGCTAAAGTCTTAGTGAATAAAGAAGTGTTTCAGCTGACTTACATTAAAGTAACTAAAATAATACAATGCAAAATTATGCTACTGCTACAATTCACATGAAGACCTTTAGTGGGCACCCAGAATGTACTTTGTACTACGTGATTTTCTCGTATCATTAATCCTGCCATCATTAAGTATTTTGCATTCTCTCCACAATTTCTTTACCAAATTGTGCAGCAGCAAATGATGAATACACATCTGTTGCAGGCAAAGTGAGGAAAAAAGGGGTGGACATTACATATCACTGCTTGCTGGTTTTGAAAAGAGAAAAGAAGTTATCACCTTGACTTCTTGAAATGCAAAAATTAAAACACAAAGCTTATAGGCCCAGCTGCAGTAAGCACTGAAGTCACATCCAACCAAGAGGACTTATTTAACCTGCTCCTTGGACTTATGGACCTCAGAAAGTTTCTTCCTGGTCTAGCATTTTCTGATCTTACCATCTGTATTCCTGTCCCCAAGCCTACCACCTTCACCTTCTTCTTCTCCACCTCATGTTAGCTACAGAATGATTGTACATGATAAGACCACTTTCAGTTCCACGTTGTTTACAACCCCACTGGGCATTTACAAAGAGACAACAGTCCTCCTCATTCTAGCAAATCTACTCAGAGTCATTTCTATCCCAGGATCTATGCATACAGTCTTTATGCTCTTACAAAGCTGGGCTTCTCTTTTCTCCTTTTCTGCTTCTGTTAGTTGTTGCTCAAAATTGCGGTTTCTCATCTCGTTAATCATTCGCTGAGCTTGAGCCAGCTCTTTGGCACCATCTCCTGAAGCTGAAGGAGTTACTGCTGTAGAAGTACCAGTTATCTGATCCAGGAGAACTACGACAAGGAAAAAACACAGATGAACAAATTACTCTGACAGATACTTTTTCTCAGAGCCATGTGTTGTGTTGTTTTCTTTTCTTAACCTAAAAGGTTCTACTTTCCATTCAACACATATTGAATGATGCAGAAATAGTCCATCAAATGATCCTAGTTAAACAGACCAGGCCTCTTGCCTTTGCACCACTTTCACTGTTGTCGGGGTGGGGTGTTACACCTGCTTTTTAACATGCAGATTATATCCCACTTATTTGGTAAGGAACTGGGGCGAGTGCCTATGTCTATTTTGCCAAGAGGATGCTGCCAAAACAACTTTTCCCTGGTGAGTTGTCCACTTCTTAGCTGTTCTACTTAAAAGCAGTGGTTTTCAAAGGGTGTGGCAGGAGGAGATGGCAAGTGTGGCAGGAAGATTCAAGGACAATCAAAGAAACATTTGCACATTTCATTGCAGTATAAAATAGCATTTATTTATTTATTTATGCATAATATGGCTAGATCTCTTCTCAAAATGAGAGCAAGAGCATCAAGTGTTCAGGGGATGATTCGTGTTCTTATGCAGCTGTATTGTTTTATACTATGTGGTGTCCTATGATCATATTATAAAGTAGTTGTGGCCTATGTTATAAATCAAGCACTGCTTCGGAATTGTTTCTTTTTGTTTTCCAATGTATTTCTTATCAATAAAAAAAATTAGATGTTTATTCTGAAAGTGTGACCCAGAGAAAAAAGTTTGAGAATCACTTAAGAGTATCTTACTGCACAGATCATCCTCCTAGACACCTTCACTTTTTGGCAGCTCCTAGCAGGGCAGGGTAGCATCATGAGGGCAATCCATGGGATTTTAACTTCTACATCAGATGTAGGGAATGTTTTTCAGTCTGAGGGCGGCATTCCCCTCTGGGCAACATGCTCGTGGTGGGGAGAGTCAGAGGCAAAAGCAGTTGAAGCAACAAGTGTGAAAGTTACTTTAGGACAGTAGGGTAGTTATATACATATTCGTATACTCTCCTTTATCCTCAATCCAGACAAGGAATAGGACTATCTGAGTTAAATTGCAATTGCAATAAAGCAAAAGTAGTCTGGGCGTGAAGCAGGGCCAGTGAAGAGTATGGCCTAGGAAGAGTTTTGAGGCCTAGACAGAGAGGTTTGGGAGGTGGGCACATTTGGCCACCAGGCCTGAGGTTCCTCACTCCATTCTACACATTACAAATTGGGGGAGGAGAATTACCAGGCGCAGCCTGACTCCCTCCTTTGGCAATCTTTACAAAACTTTAGTTTATGGTTGCCATCAATTTGTATTTTAATTAATTTTTATAATGTTTTTATAATGTTTCACTGTTTTAGTGTTGTTAGCCGCCCTGAGCCCGGCTTCGGCTGGGGAGGGCGGGATATAAATAAAATTTATTATTATTATTATTATTATTATTATTATTATTATTATTATTATTACCACAAAGATGCCATTTTCAATAACACTTCTGAAGCAAGCATAATGTCAGATCTTAATCTAGGGCAATAATCATTCATAAGAATTTCTCATCAATAACCACTGCTCATAAACCCCACCTTTTATTTGTTTATGTTATTTCATTTTATTAAAGATTTCCTTGGTTTACAAAAGTACATGCCTTGTCTCTTTTTTCAAGTTGCACAGATTTTTCAAGTTTCTACAGATCTGTCACATTTGTTATGAGACTTTAGTGTTAAGTACAGTGTTAGCCGCCCTAAGCCCGGCCTTGGCTGGGGAGGGCGGGATATAAATAAAATTTATTTATTTATTTATTTATTTATTTAGTAATTATTATGTTGGGGAGGAGAGGAGGGGTGGTGGTGAAATTTATATTTTTTACAGTGTACGTGTGGGATTTTGGGTCAGCGTCAACTAGATAGGTTCTCTTTCTATTTGCTTGTTACATTTTCTTTGCAGTGAGAGAGGTTGGAGACCCAGGGTATGGTTGGTTGTCTGTAATGGGGTTTGTTTGCATTTGTGAGGGGGGGGGGCTTGTTGGGCCAAGTAAGACAGTTTGATTTGTATGTTGTTGGTGGGTTCTTGTTGTTGTCTTGTTGGGCTGTATATGCGATGAAGGAAGCCATATTGTGGGGTGAAGGCATCCTCTTCTATTTGTCCCCGTGTCAGTTTCAGTTTATTGGTTAGCTTTCCTAGCCAGGCTGTTTCCCATACGATTTGGTACCACTGGTCCATGTAAACCCCATCTTTTATAACAATACTCCATAATCAGAGAAATGTGGTATATCAAGTTGCAGTAGTGAATTAAATCAGCTGGAATTTATCTCCACAAAACAGAATTGTGATCAAATAAAATAATGTAGGAGATCAGCAATTACTCTTACCGTTAATATTGGTGGCAACACTTTGTATCTTTGAAATCAAGTCTTTCCCCCTTTCATTAGTCTTACTAAATTTGTTGAACAGTGTCTCTGCTTTCTTGTAATTGCTTTCAGCCTGACAAGAAGTAAGAGTTTTAAAACAAGAGAGCACAAATCAATATTAGTTTTTTAAAAGTATTTGCTACTACAATTCAATGTTTCTGATAGTCGCTAACAAAATCTGTTAAGTCATGACAGATTTCAGAAACTTGGTGAATTTGACATTTACTGGTCATTCTTAAGATTCTACAAGAGGAAATAGCAGAAGTGTTTGTGTCATGTTGCCCTTGGCTTTAGTGGGCAGGGCACCTTGAACCTGGTTTCATCCATATCCAGACCCCCTGAATCAAGAGGAAGCCAAGATGTAATGCTTACCAGTCATTCATTCTGATAGCTATAAATGCTTTTGTTCCCCAAACTACATAGTTCCTTCAGTTATCTATGGCGGAGTAGCCCAGACAGCATGGATCACCCCAAGTAGAAGGGCAATTAATCTTTAGTTCTGCTATGTCCTCTGCAATATCACAACTGGGACCTTCTTGGAAGCTTCCTGGTTCTGCTTTTCAACAACATATTCAGTTACAGGGATACCTCTCCACCTGTGTCCTCTGGAAAATGCTGGCTGTTCCTAAATGGGAGCTCTAGGTCTTTGATTATAAGTAAGCCCCACCAGGATACTGGCACAGTGTTCGGCCTGTAGGATCTCATCATAGGGATCCCAAAGGGGGATATCTACCCTCCAGGTTGCAGACCTACCCAATTCACCCCTCTCACCCCTTTATTTTTCTTTCATTGTGTGCTCTTTAACGTCACTGCCTTCAGACCTTCAGTTTCCAGCTTTTTTGCTGCAGCTGCAGTCTGGGGTTGTTCAAGTCAGTATGCTATCTGGTTGGCCTCCTTTCCTGTGTCTTCCTGTCTTCTTTTTCTATCCTCCTGAAGGATAGCTTTCTGTCTGTCACTTCTCCTCACCTTTCCCCTGTTAGCTCTCCTCTTTCTGCTGAGCTCTTTCATTCTTTCCTCCCCTCACACCACATTCTTTATTCTGATCACCTTATGTGGCTATTATTGTCTCTCCTCCCTGGGCATCTGTTTCTCACTTCTCGGCTAATTGGCAGGGCGGAATACCAGCTGGCAGTGCCCACACGACTTGCCATTTGTGGGTAACCCCACTCAGAATCTGCTCCCTCAGAACTCTTGAAACAAGGGAAAGGGAGCTTCCTCTGGCTGGGATCCCTCACAGTCAACACAGGTAAATGACATTTAATACCCCATACATGATCAAAAGTCTTTCGAGCAGAAATTAGGCTTTCCATTAGAATTTTAGTGAAGGCACTGACATTTCCTGACCAGCAAATTCCAGCACTTCTTATATATAAAAAATGTAAACAGCTCACCTTTTCTTTTAGAGCATTAACATTTTGGTTAAGGTCGAGCAGGTCTGTCTCCAGTTCATCCACTTTTGGGCCGTGAGTCGTAATAACGGTACGATAGCGGCTCAACAGAATCTGAAAAGAAAGGCCACCAAAAAGAGGGAGAAAGGGATGTCTGACTGAGCTGAAAACTGTATCTGAATTCAGCATGAGTTTGGGCCAAAAACATATTTTATCTAGACAGGAATCCTAAGTCATTTACATAGGAAAGAATTCAACTGAAAGACTTAGGCTGCAATTACACCCATACATGTAGGAGTAATTCTCATCACTCTCGGTTTGATGTACTTCAGAGGAAACATGTGTTGGAGCAAGCTGTTACTTCCTAGAAAAATGTATTTAGAGTTTTGGTGCCAGTCAGAACAGATTCAAAGATCTGGTGCATCCAACACCTTTAAAGTATTCGGCATCTAGCTTGTCTATAACCCACGATAGTAACAGTTTATGTGGCAGACTGAAAAGATTCAGAGTATCAGTTGAGGCATCATAGCAGGATGAGACGACAGGCAAAGCCACAATCTACTTGGACAGAGCATACAAAATCCCACCCAGCATGTCTTACTTCCCCAACTATGGGTTTGTGCTAAAGAGATGAACTGGGGCCATGAAAAGCTTTCGTACAAACAAGCCTACCTTCAATAAAGCAGAGCCTAAATAGGTCCCTTATGGCACTTCGCAGACCTAATTAATTCTGTCAGTTCCAACGCCTAGCAGCTGAAGCTAGGGGACCTGATGGGTATTGGGCGGTGGAGTCACAGGGGCTGCTAAGTCAGCAATGTGCAATCATGTGGCTGCTGATGGGCCAGCAGCAACCATCATAGACCATGTCACAGCCAGTGCTAGACACTGCTTGCCATGGTGGTAAACTAGCAGTCCTTGAGTCTCCGCCACTGTTCCTGCTCCTGCTGTTTACAGGGGCTGATGGGAGCTGGAAACAAGGAAAGGTGGGAAGCTCCTCTTTCCACGCAGGCCCAGCTCCAAAATACGGCACCCTTGGGCAGATGCCAGCATTCCAGTGCCCTGGCAGGCCCCACTGCTATGTTGACAGCTACCCTGCTGGTTGTTCCTAGGGCAGGCTCATGTGGAAGAAGGCAATCTTTCAGATACCGGGGTCCCACAAAATGTAGGTTTTCAAAGACTGCACTTACCGTATTTTTCCATGTATAACACGCCCCCGTGTATAAGATGCCCCTTAAAGGTAAAGGTAAAGGTACCCCTGCCCATACGGGCCAGTCTTGACAGACTCTAGGGTTAGCGCTCATCTCACTCTAGAGGCCGGGAGCCAGCGCTGTCCGCAAACACTTCCGGGTCACGTGGCTAGCGTGACGAAACTGCTCTGGCAAGCCAGAGCCGCACACGGAAACGCCGTTTACCTTCCCGCTGGTAAGCGGTCCCTATTTATCTACTTGCACCCGGGGGTGCTTTCGAACTGCTAGGTTGGCAGGCGCTGGGACCGAGCAACAGGAGCGCACCCCGCCGCGGGGATTCGAACCGCCGACCATGCGATCGGCAAATCCTAAGATGCCCCTTATTTTGGGCCAAATTCATAAAATGGGGGGAAATTGCCCAGAGTTTTTTTAAAGGAGGGATTGCCGAAAAATGCTCACCCACCTGACATACACTGCCACTCGCATGCAAATGCCACGTATTGTCTGTCACTTCACTGGCAGAAGACACCAATGACACGCCCAATAGCCACTGACAATCTCCGGCTCGTTGCAGCAACCAATCACATGACCCCCCCCCCCCCCCGCTATGCACTATCCGTGTACAAGACAATCCCCAATTTTTAAGAAATTTTTAAAATAAAAAAACCTCATCATATACACAGAACAGTATGGTAATTGTGCTCACAAATGGATCTGCAGCCAGTATAGCAGGCAACAATTATTCTCCCTTGCCAGTGCCAGGCACTAACCATGCAAATATGCCAGCTTTCCCCAACCTCCTGCCCTCCAGAACTTGTTGGACTACAACTCCCATCACATCATCTCAGACCACTGGCTGGGGAAGACTGAGCTATGCTATGACTAACTGAATTTCCCAATAAGGGAACCCCAAGGACGATGTGGACTGGGCTGCCACGGTCTTTCCCAAAGAACCGGCATAGGAAAGGACCATGCAACTGGCTCCATCAGTCCAACCTCAGCCACATGGGATCACGTCACTGACAAGTGGGTCTCGCCCAGCTGCTTCTAAAGGTCATCACATTGTGTAGTTAATTTGAAACCTGTTTCTTTATTTCTTCCCCCAGCCCCGTAAGGAAATGCCAGCTTTTCACGTTACCTTCAGTTCCTTGATGCGGTCTTCCAGATGCTTCATCTGCCCCAATGTGTGGGCACTGGCATTGACGTTTTGCATCTGAGACTTAATCAGACGGAGCTCGTCCCCCATTGTACTCAAATCCTTCAGCAAAGTAATTACACAGCTATCACAGGCTGAATGGGAAAGAGCACATCCAAACAGTGCAAAGTGTTAGTTTGCTGTATGGGCAGAGAATGACAGCACCAAAATAACACCTTTCCACAAACTGTCATCTACTGCTATAAATGAACAACAAAGGCAGGGGAAGCTCAAGTGCATTTAAGGCAGTAACCAAATCCTGAGGCCCTCCCTAGTATGCCTTGACTTATTTTAGAGTTACTCCCTGTCAATTTTCCTTAAGAGTAGGATAGAGGAGAACCTTTTCTTTGCCTCAAGAGCTGCATTCTCTCAGAGGTAGTCTGTCAGGAAAAGTGCACTGGTGCATCCCAGCAGTGGCACTATAAACACTCTCTCTGAAGATCATCATCACTCCCATATGTTCTCTCTCTCTCCTACACATACGCACTTATTTATTGCATTTATATCCCAACCCCAAGGAGTTCAATGTAGTGTACATGGTTTTCCCCATACACACACGCATACCACACAGAGACATCCAACAACACAGACACCATCCACAGCTACACTCCAACACTCATCCATCTACAACCTTCTCCACTCCTACCACCACCATCATCCACACAAAGCAGATGCAATCAGGAGAGAGAGAGAGAGAGAGAGAGAGAGAGAGAGATGGGCAGAGCTAATCTGCTCCTCCCCACCCCCCTACGCTTCCTACCTCCCAGCCCTAATGGGAGGTCTTCCCTGTAGAGGTCTTTCATTCTGGATACAAAGGGAACTAAGCAAACTGGAGGAGGATGGACAGACGGTCACCGGGGGGGGGGGGGCTTACAGTGAAAAAGCAGGCACCAGCCCTTTGAGTGCACTGTAGGCTGAATATCATTCAAGGGGTTCCCCACCCCTGTGTAAGCATTTCTGAATAAGTTCACTGTCAAAGCATGTGTTGACCTTTGCAGTCTCCCATTTAAAACAATGGTGACTCTTTAATGAAGCCCTATAAGCAAGCATCCAGACTGCTCATGCATTATTACTTACAGTCGCAATCTTCTTGAGGATCTATATCTTTTGGTTCTTGGCTTATGCATTCTGGAGGTTAGGGGGCAAAAGAAGCAGATTAGAATCACGTGATAATACAACAGATATCAGGCATGAGATTTTGAAATCGCATTCAGAAAACTGATACCGCTATATAATGGATGCTCTCTTTATTCACTGAAAACTAACCATAACTCTTAGTAGGTTTTCTACTACTGAAAGATGGAACTTGTCTTTTCAAGAGTTACTTTTCCGGCAGGTACTAGAGAATGCTACTCAATTTGGCTTCCTTTGTTCTTTTTTCTATCTAGGACACCATGTGAAATTAATCTCGACTTCTCTTCAGTTCTGTTGCCTACCTAACAAGGAGCTTATGTGTTTTACTTAAGGCTAGAGACAAAACGGGATGCGGGTGGCGCTGTGGTCTAAACCACAGAGCCTAGGGCTTGAAGGTCGGTGGTTTGAATCCCCACGACAGGGTGAGCTCCCGTTGCTCGGTCCCTGCTCCTGCCAACCTAGCAGTTTAAAAGCATATCAAAGTGCAAGTAGATAAATAGGTACTGCTCCGGCGGGAAGGTAAACAGCGTTTTCGTGCGCTGCTCTGGTTCTCCAGAAGCGGCTTAGTCATGCTGGCCACATGACCCGGAAAGCTGTCTGCGGACAAACGCCGGCTCCCTCAGCCAGTAAAGCGAGACGAGCACTGCAACCCCAGAGTCATCCGCGACTGGACTTAACAGTCAGGGGTACCTTTACCTTTACCTTTAGAGACCAATCAGGGTTAACTGGGGAATCAATCACTGTGTGTGCCTTTGTCCCAGCAGTCCTGGGTGCAACCTGAAACCTACACAGCATCTAATCCAACAACTTAATCCAAGCCTTATTTTAAGGCTGTGGCTAAATACAGATAATCTCAGTAAATTCACATTAAGGACGAATATCGTGCATCTATGCCAAAAGTTACCTAGGCTGGAACTAGGAACTTGTGCAGGTGCTCTATATGGTGAGCTATCAGACTGCAGCTTGGGACATCTTCCGGGCTCTGCCCTACCCACCCTCTACTTAGCTAAACTTCCAGCCTGATGAAGAATTCTGGAGAACTCGAAATCTTGCTCACTCACTGACTGTGGATTTTGGATTCCCCCAACCCCATAGGCCAACATGCCTTCGTTTGCTTTCTGAACACCTTGCTAGTTGTGGTTAGAAAAAAGGTCTCAGGCTGTCCAAAGTGAATAATAGCTTGACATCGGAAAGCAAGTTCTCACTACCCAGAGTCATTGGTGTTCCCAGGGTTACTGTTACAGACTGGTTCTCTTTAAATAACAACTTCCATTGACATGAACAAAAATGCCATGCTATATCTTAAGCTATTCTGAACTCTGCTTCTGCAACAACTGCCAGAGGCAATAACCCCGCTGTTGTTCACTTACACAATGATAAAATGAGACCAGTCAAGAGCCCTTGAACTTGCTATTTAACTAACTTTGACCCTGATTTAGCTCTTGAACATGTAAACAGAACAACGGTTAAAGTGACTGTAAGGCTCATAATTTCACAATAAAAATGTAAATGAGCCTTGAAAGTCTGCAGTGAAAAAACCCTGAGGCCCAAGAATTAATCTTTAGGCCTGTCCAAATTTCCGCTTGTCCTGTGCCTCAAAATCACAGGTTCAAGCATGTTTCCATTTGACCTGCACATTCTAAGCAGAAGTCTGAGCTTGCCCCACTTTTCCCAGGAAAACGCCACTCTTTGGTGCTAAATCGGAACAAACGACAATCCAGAGAAAGCTCCAATTGCCATTTGCTCCAATCAAGTGCTAATTAGCTGTTTTCTCCAGGGGGAAGCAGCAGGACAAGAGGAAGTGTGGATAAGCCCTTTGTAAGGATAAATCGCCCTTGGGTCAGGCCAGGATCATACTTCATGCTGAAATTTTATACATTTATTCCAAACCTGAATAAAGCATTGGAATCCACAAATGACAAAAAAATCTTTCTAAACATTAAATAAGTAGTTCCTTCTGCAGCATTTGGCTCTTTCCCATACAGATCAACAATGAAATCAAAGGTTGCATAGGATGAGTCCATGCCATGGGTTCAGACCATGCCAATTCTGCTCTAGTCCTCTTAAGGATTGAAGCATTTGAAGAAGCCATGGTATGGTACAGACTGCTGCTTATGTGACCCCAGACTCCAGTAGATCTCAAACCACTATAAGTAACCTCAAAACAAGCCCTTATTCTCACATTCCATGGCTTGGCAGAGATTCCAGGTTGTGTTTAGCCCATACTATGAACACACTGGATTAGAATACTTAAAATGGACTGAGCCTGAGCTACATGGAACAAAAGGCTTTTTACAGAACATTCATGTTTCTGCTATCATGGCCAGATGAATTCAGCCTCTCAGTGGATTGTCTGTCTGCTACTGTGTGAATTGAAAGCAACTGTTCAGGCTAAGAAAATATGAAGCTAGAAGCTCAAATTGGAAAAACTGCAGGGAATGTAATCTTTCACATTTAACCATTGACCACAATACATAGAAATCCCCTGTAGATATATTGCACGATATATTTAATTGGCACCTTCCTTTAATGCAACTTTTATTACAGCCTGTGCAGTATTAAGGACAGTCCGTGATGATGCAATTAAATGCTTCAGTAATCTAGTGGAAGACCGCAATAATGTCTGAACCTACTAAAATCACTGGTCTGCTGATTACAGGATATACTGCTGCTGATGTGGAAAAAGCAGTTCAACACTTGAAATAAAACTGCATTCTGAGTCAAGATCAAACTTGTCCTGCCAACCTTTAATTTCAGCAACATATTTTCTGCAGAATATATCCACCAATAACACAACTCTAGTGAAGGAGCTTTTGCATAATGGAAGATAGTTAACATTACCTTTGAGAAAGAAAGCATCTCAGTCAATTCATATTAAGAATGAATGAATTGCCTTCATGCCAAAAGCTACCTGGGCTAGAGCTAGGACCTTGGGCAGCTGCTACCAGACTGCAGCTTGGAACACTTTCCAGGCTCTGCCAACCCGGCTGGTTGCTGCGCTCTCCTGAAGAGGTAGAGCTTCCTGTTTGGATTGGAAACTTGCCTGAGCAGCAAAACTTTCCTGGCTCCAGCATAGGAACATAGAAAGCTGCCTTATACTGAGCCAGACTATCAGTTTAACTAGCTCATTATTGTTTACGCTGACTGGCAGCGGCAGTCCAGAGTCCACACAATTTCCTTTGTGTTGTACAGTTCAATGGAATACAGTCACTAGGAATAGCTATACAACTCTACATACCCCCAGTCAGGCGCTCACAGGTCATGAGCTGACCATTATCAGGGCAGTTGCACTTCTGACAGTAACCTCCATATTTGAGTGGGTTTCCAAAGTAACCAGGAGCACAGCTACACAGGGAAAACAAACACAATTTGCAATTAATACATTTTTCCTCAGACTGAAACATCTTCTGCTGGCATTATGGTTTGCACAAAATCCAGTCGTGAAATCTAGCCATTTTATTAGATTTAACTTGTAAGTGCCTATTCTGACAAAATTTTCACACACACAAATTCTTAACACGTCACATTGAGCATCTGGGGTTAGCTGTAACATCTGAAAGACTGCAGAAAGCAAATCCAACTGTTGACACACACAAAAAGCAAACCCTGGAAAACTTGACTGTATCTTCTTTCTTTCAGATCTCCTATGACACTGGCCTTCAATTGGTGGGTTAGGACCCACTCGTAGGTCATGGTCTGATTCAATGTAGATCACAACTAGAGCACTTTCACCACCCAAATATATGTTAAAAGGTTATTAAATGGGTCCCCAAATGCATGTTTAGGTTAAAAATGGCTCCTGGATATGAAAAGGTTGAAGACTATTGTCCTACGAGGCAAAGGACCAGTTAGTCCAGCCAGAGTTGTAGGCTGCTCCTCATTGTCTGGACATGTAATTCAGGACTCCTGGAATCTTAAAGAAAATTAATATGTGGTCATGAAATTCAATTATGTTGTCATTATTAACATAAAGAAAGAGAAATTAATTCAAAGTTATGCAAGCCAGGATTAGGGAGAAAAGAAATAATCCAACAAAGATGATGTTTCAAAAAGTCTAAATTAAGAGGAACACATTGCAAAGGGCTTAGGCACACTTCCTCTTCTCCTACTGATTTCCCCCAACAATTCTTTAGAGCTCAATTGGAGCAAACAGCAATTTGGGTTTTCTCCAGATTGACGTTTGCTCCAACTGAGCACTAAAGAGTGGGCTTTGCCTGGGAAAGGAGTGGGGAAAGGGGGAAGCCTGCAAAACCTCTTGTACCCATGCTTTCTAGGCGTGGGGCAAGTGGAAGTGTGGACAAGGCTAAAGTGACAGTACCCAACTTTTTTTACTGCATTGATTTGGCCAACAATTCCTACCTTTGAAATTCAAAGTTGATTTCAAGTTGGCTTCTTTCAAAATGAACCACATTTAATAGTACCCACTACATGACAGTTTGGACAAAACAACAAACTACAGTTAAGGCATCCTTTTTGCAGCTGCTTGAAGTGCACCTAGGTTAATTCTTGTCAGGCTTAACTATGCTTTACTGAGATGTTCAACATATTATTAAATATAGGGTTCGATCCAGAGGGGTGATGAAGTGTACTTTCCTTTGAAATTTGTAAAATTTTAGCAGAGTTAAAATTTCTTTGAACTGCACTTGTATTTCACACTACTGCTCAGATCCAAATGCTCCAAAGTACATACAAGGGCTCTCATGTACGATAGGAGAGCTGCGTAATTCATGTCAAAACCAAGAACAGTGTGCACAATTCCAGGGGAATGTGCAGACTTCCCAAAACACTGAATTGAATGCAGCAGGTTGTACTTGCAGAAAGCTTTCTGTGTGCTTTCAAACCCCACAGCGCCTTGGACTGTAGACCAAGTATGTTAATATGGCACACCCTTAGAATACACAATGGGCTGATACGCTTTTCATGAGGAGCCAGACCATGGCTTGGTGCAAACATCCATGTGTGGTGTCTACAGAAGATTGTAGCTCCCTGGTTATTATGCTGCAGACTTGTACTGAGCTAAACCACACCTTGGCTTTGTGTGTTGCTTGAACCTGGGCACATGAGTTAGCTTTCTGCACACTAACCACAAGCTATAAACAAGGCATGGTCATAAGCCTGGATTTGGACAACATGCTGAGCCAAGTCATGGTTTAGCTCATGCCAGAGCCATAAAATAGGGGACGAGGAAGTGAAGCAACCACACTCCTGTCTTCAGTAACCTGCATGCTTATATGTTTGTACTAAACCATGGTTTGGCTTAGCATGATGTGTGAATTAGGCTAATATTTTGCAATGTGCCACTTTTTAATTAGAAAACCCATATTGAGACAAACAATCACCTCTCACAGTGCATTCCAGTATAACCTTCTTTGCAGAAACACTGAATTTCTCCACCATTTTCCACGCATCCATTAGCAAAACTGGGGGGAGGGACAGAAATACAATATTTAGACAGGTTTCAATATTTTGCAAGAAGCTGAAATTTAAATTGCTGCCAAAATATCAAATAGCATTGAGAGTTCAGGTGTATTGCTGCCTATCTGCCTAGACCTTCTGAGAACAGTTTGTTCTGCTTAACAATGCAAACAACCAAATCCTTAAAAAGGAAATAGGGAATAAAAATGTGATCTATTGATGTGTTATTACTGAGCAAATACAAATGTACTGCATTTCCTTGAGGGTTCTAAGTGAGGCATTTTTATCTACAGAAATCTTTGTATTTGGTGATGCATTGCCATGGATAATCTCTATGACAACGCACTGACTGTTTCTCTGAATTCTGCACAAGATTTAGTCTACACCCACATAGCAGATCAAGGCATTTATGCCAGGCTACCAGCCCATCCCACCCTTTACCAGGCTCATAGTGGCTGGTAACCACAGTGAACTGAGCATGTGTAGTATGATGGCACCTCTGCAATTCACTAGATCTCACTCATTGCACAAGAACACTGCCTGTTGGTAAGAAAGGGGGATGAGAGGAAGCAGGAGATCTGCCACTGTATCAAATTGCTCAGACAGTGGTGCTATTACATCTGCTTCTCCTCTGTGGTGTAGTTTCTCAATTCCCTCCCCCCAAGAAAAGATCCTTGCACCTTGGGAATCTTGATACAATTTGGTCCCCCACCCACCATTCAACTATGCAACACATACATAGGCACGAGGATCAGGATGTAAAACATTCACTATTATTTGCTTTTTAAAAAATCACTTTCTACACACTCCTGAGGGAAACCATGAGTTTACAGAGGAAAAAACTACTTAACATCAACTATCTGTCCATCTATCTCTCTATCATCTATCTATAGTCTATCAGTTATTTTCATAAGGCTCTTGACCTCTGCTTTTGCACCTGGCAAACGTTTGAGGCCCTTGGCCATTAATTATCCTAATTTTAAGTGCTACAGGGTCTTGCTATTTCACAGGACCCCAAACATTTTTAGCCAAGCTCCATTCTGAAGATTTGGGTCCAATGTAATCTTCATAAATTTCTATCACCCCTTGAAATGAAAACAAACCCAAAAGGCCACTATCATACACTGCAGTGTGCTTTGTCCACACAGGCATAAATAACTGTTTTTGCACTGTTGTCATTAATTGTCCCGCCTATATTCTTTTGGCAAATGGTGGTATTTCAAGAAGATCAGACAGCTGCAATCTGCCCCATCCATATACCCAGTAGTAGCTTTCTGAACTCCTATCATAGGATCAGGTGTTTAGGGGACCATACTAACATGGGAAAATACACCATATCTAAGGAATAACATGCTCAAGGAAGCCTCAAGCATTCAAAAAAGAACTACACTTAGCAGACACAATTCGTTTCATGGCAGAATGGTCCAACACCTTTGTCAAGCAGCTGGAAGATAAGGAGAGGACAAAGAGTGAAGAAAGAGCTGTCAGTGGAAGGGGGTCCTTTCTCCATCCTCTGGACCCCCTGGAGCACTCAACTAACCTGCTGTACCTGAATTGGGTGTGGAGAGTGCAGCTGAATGGGACACAGCTGTGGGCAGCCTAAGGATGTACCGTACAACTTGGACCTGCCCATAAAAAGCAAATCTAGAGTGAGAGACTAGGGTGATGTCTGCTGATTCCAGGAACTCTTTTCATTGTGAGACTTTTGTGGGTGAGCTGAAAGTTTGTTTGGATCCTGGGCAAGAACCCAGAGCCTGAGAGGGAGGGTGTGTCAGAAGGTAGATGAATTAATATTGATGTAGTATATATATTAGTAAGGGACGCGGGTGGCGCTGTGGGTTAAACCACAGAGCCTAGGACTTGCCAATCAGAAGGTCGGTGGTTTGAATCCCCGCGACGGGGTGAGCTCCCGTTGCTCGGTCCCTGCTCCTGCCAACCTAGCAGTTCGAAAGCACGTCAAAGTGCAAGTAGATAAATAGGTACCGCTCCGGCGGGAAGGTAAACGGCGTTTCAGTGTGCTGCTCTGGTTCACCAGAAGTGGCTTAGTCATGCTGGCCACATGACCCGGAAGCTGTATGCCGGCTCCCTCGGCCAATAAAGCGAGATGAGCGCCGCAACCCCAGAGTCGGTCACGAATGGACCTAATGGTCAGGGGTCCCTTTACCTTTACTTATATATATTAGTAACTTTGTATTACTGTAACATTTTTATATGTAACTCTGTATTTTTGTAATATGTTGTTTAAGTTGTCTGTTGTTGCTTCAGTGTTCTGTACACCGCTTAGAGATATTTTTAAGTGGTATAGAAATTAATCAATCAAATAATCAGTCAATGTGTCAAGCACAAGAAAAACACAACTCTCCTTTCCTAGCGTCCCTCCCCCACGCCCACACAGTACCTGCTTGTAAAAGGACAGCGACAAGCCCTGCAGGTTCTTTGCGTGGCATCTCCAAAATAGCCTTCTTTACAGCGTTCACACTTCTCGCCAGCAGTATTATGCTGACAATTCTTTTAAAATATGTACAAATATATAAAACCAGAGAGTTAACAGCAATTCAATTACCAGCAGGAGAAAATTAGAGTTGATCAGCTCCAAGCCATTTCCTCCACACAATTATATTACCACAAGAACAAACATATGACTTTGACAATGTCTTCATTCTCTTGAATCATAGAAAAGTTGCTCGCTGGGGCCAGAGATGGTAGAATATTACAGTATCCACATATCTGGTTAACATGTCAGTGGTTTAAATAACTACACATCCAAGAATCAGACTCTTAGTTGGAAGTGATGCAAATACTTGTGAGCAACTTTGGATTCATTTCACAATCTATTCGAGTCCCTCTATAAATGAATATCCTGCTACCCATTTTTTTCTGTTTAGCCCTTTAGTTTGAACAAGTTTATATAGACTCAAATCTAGGTAGACTGGTCCAATAAAATATTTTTTGTACTTCTCACAGCCCTAGCATAGGACTTAACAGTCCCAACACCACTGGAACAACAACACTAATACAGGGAAGCAATTGCCTCAGGACAGGTACAACAACTTTTCTTAAAATTAGTTTTTATTGAAGATTTTATTGTGTTACAAAATAAATAAATCAAAGTACATATATAGCGTATCTACTTTCAATTCATACAGTCTTTTTCACCGTTCGTTTATGTTTGGTATAAGATACTAATGTCCTGGACATCTTGTGGTTCGGGGGAAAGGGGAAAGAGGGGGGGGGAGAGGGGGGATATTGTTCTTCCCTTCTGTTGCATAATGTTACCTGTCACAGCCACAAAACCTGATCAGATCATCAAACTGCCACCAATGAATTAACATTTTTTACTTTATGTGGACACATAACTGCACCCTGGAAAAACTATTTCCTCTGCAAAATGAATTGAAAGTGTCCATCTTTCAATTTGAACCAATAGTCATCAAACAGTCGAGACCACCTATGCGCACAGAATGCAAGCTGCATTAATTAGTAACAAATATATGGCACTAGCTATAACTAGCAGTTTGCATGGCTATTAAAACAGCAGGAGCAAGGCTGAAAAAGCAAACCTTGTCTTCTCTTGATTTTCCTGCCCATGTGTTTTCTTGTCATGGCCTGCCCCATTTCTCTAATCAAAATTTCTTATGATTCATACATCTCCTGGAACATGCTGATTTGGCTAACAACCCCAAAAAGGTTTGTTGAAACCAAAGTCAAGGGAAGTATTGCATAATCATCGCCAGAGGATTTCAATGCAGCCAAAATAGGTTCATAATGAAAAAGGCACCCATGCAATGAATCTGGCAGTGAATCCATGCAGTGAATAGGGGGCATGATCTTATGATAACTTTTCAGAATAAACTATTGAGACAAAAGCAGTGAAATAGAATACAAGATAACACTCCCCAAAGAGTGCTATTGATGCAAACCCTGATCCTTCAACTAGAGCTCATATTTGTGCAAGTTCTTTAGCAACAGAATTGTAAAGTACACTTTTAAAAGTGTGATTCATTTCAGATGAGATTTGTATCTTGCTGCAAAATTAGTTTGCAGAAATCAGAAATTTACCAATTATGTCTGCATTATAACTGTCCACTTCCAATGTGCGGAACTACCTTCTCTTGACATGCTTATACATGCATTCTCTAGCTTTCACTCTTTGGGCAGAACTAGTTGTTACAAGAGAAACATGCTGCAACCACTTTCTAGTCTTTCTATCAATGTGTAGCTTATTATCAATGTGTGACATGGTTACTGCCCAGAATGTTTTCCTCTCTCTGGTTCAGACAGCCAACAAGTTGAGATGGTAGTGGAAAATGCAGTGCCATGGCATCACACCACACACTACCAGGAAAACTGGAGACACAAAAGTGGCAGCAATTCTGTATTTTTTGTAAAATGCAGTTTTATAATGAGTGTTTAAAGTCTGCAAAGCAAGCAGCTGGCACAATCATACTAGCATACGCACAATCATGGTTCAGATAAATAGGATCAGTGAACTAAAGTTTCCAAGAGGAATGCACTGCTGAATGGGTTGCATTTTTAAAAGATTAGGTGCCATTTTCAAATGATTAGAGAGATGGAACAATTTATTATTGTGACACACAGATTTGTATTCCAGGTAAACAACTTGCATTCTTACACATACTGTATGATGGATAATATTTTACCTATGTTTATGAGAAAAACAACAAATAGATATACAGTGCCTTGAAGGCTAACAATTTTATTATGGTAAATATTTTGTGGTTGAGGGTGTACTCCATCAGATGCGTGGAGTGTTACTGGACAATACTCCATGCATCTGATGAAGTTGATTCTAGTCCATGAAAGCTTGCACAATAATGCATCTGTTAGTTTTTAAGGTACCGTGCAATTCTTTGGGGTGTTGTTGTTGTTTTTGTACTAATAAACCAAAACAGACACCCTTATGAGATCACTACACTTTATGAGTTCACTACACATGTGCTCATAGAACTCATTCACTTCAGAGGAGTGGTTCAATATATGCATTGCTTTGCATGCACAATTTTTTACCCTCTACTAGAGAGAAGGGCCTAGGATCTAGTCCGGTACTGGACAGAGCAAAACTACTATGCACGTCAGTGGTTAGTAACTAACAGCAGTATAAATCTCAACAATCTTTGCTATTATTACTTACAATACAAATTCCAGAACCATCCAGGCATCTATTTGCATTTCCGTGACAATTGCAAGGAACACACCGTCCTGTTAATAGGCCACTGTTCTCACGGTAGAATCCTGGGCTGCATTCCTATTGCATATGAAGGAGAGTTTTTTTAGAAGGCTATACGTTTATACCTTTAAAAAGAGGTGTTCTGTGAAATTTTAAGGTAGAAGAAATTAAATTGCTAAATATTGTCATATGAAGACCTATTATATGATTAAGAGGCATATGTTGTATTCTAATATTCATCTCAGTTTGGTAAGCCAAGACATATGGCCAAAGTTTTTCAGTTTGGACGTAGCAGGGAACTATACTTAATGGAAGACTTCTCGGCTTGTTTGCTCGCTTTCAGGAAGGGGTGAGCCAAGGGTCTCCTTGTGTGAGGCCAAAAGGCTCCTTCATAACTTGTCATACTGAGATATGATCAAATGCAGTCAATGTCAACCACGTCTAAAGTCCACAAACTGCCCAACCATTCTGAAAAGTAGCTGTATATATCAGTGCTCTGAGATCTGTCAAGAAGGATTCTCTCAACCTAAACCCCTGAAGGCTGTTCTGGCTGGACATATTTCATATCCTGTGAAGAATGTTTCCAGAATAAGTCCAGTTTAGTAAAGTATTTAAAATACAGCTAAAGGTGTTTTTGTTCTAGATCCATAGGTTTCTGTAGAACTATGCTTGTTCACTAGCGTTTAACCAATTTAAAGTTTAATTTTCAAAACTACTTGCTGTAATATAACCTCATCCTGATTTCCTCACCTGAGGGTATGTGAAACTATGTTGAAGCAATGAGAGGCATTCTTTAATATGAAGCACAATTTGTACGTACAGGCTTGTCCCAAAGACAAGTGAAGCATGAAAAGAATGTTCATCAACTAGAAGCATTTAAGAAGTAAAGCTGCTCTTCCGCGATCAGTGTCAACTGACAGAATTTTGGGGAGCAGGATAATAATTTTTTAAAAAAGAAAAGAGACACAGTTGTCAAAAAGCCATGTCCTGTTCCAATAAAGCATATCAGTTGAAAATGTGGCTTTCACCAATGAAAAGGGATTGTAAAAAATACTTTGATAATCTCTGGGCCACCACTTCAACCCTCCCCTCTTCAAAACCTATAGTCCAGTTGTGATGTGAGCATCTTGACAACCCCAGTACTGTATGCATGCTCTTTGCGCTTAAACAAATGGAGTTAAAGGAGGGGCCATATACAATGGCCCCTCCCCAGATATCACCATGCCCCCCTGGACCTGTCCTTTTCCTCCATACATGGTTTGAGGTCTGAAAGGGGCATGTACATCCCTAGATGCTCCACGTGATGGGAGACCTTGCACATTCAGACTTCCCAATCGTGTGGAACTGCTTCATGTGTCTATTCATTTCTTGTAGCATGAGACCTTACTCCTGGCTGAGACTGCAGAGGACAAAGGATTAGCAAAGGATTAATCCCCACCCCATGCTAGGGTCCTGATCCAGATTGCTTCCTCCCTCTGCCCCCAACGGCAATTTGTGTAAAAGAAAGAAAGCAGTCAAGGACAAACAATGAAATGAGTTGTCAAGTTTTAGCCCTTAGGTGTGGTTCTGGGAAACTTGTCTTGAAGTCCTATCTCTCCCATGAATACATTGTTTAGAGCTGGACAAAACTCCCTATGTGTGAAAAAATAATGAGTAACCTCACTTGTTTATTGTGAGGGCAAACAAAGGCAAACAAAATGAAGAATATAAATCACATTACAAATTAACACGTCTATGTGAATGGTTGTAGTATATTTTTTTTTAAACAACAATTGATGCTGTTCACAAGAGGGAATTATCCTGCAGCAGCTACCAGTACAGGCATTTAAAGTATGGATTATTGCAAAAACAGCTTGCTGAAATAAAGCTACTTATGACCCAATTATTAAAAATCAATTAAAGAGAACTATTTGAGATGTTCATATGAAATAATCAGTTTAAAGCTAGCTATTGTCTTTCTCGTGTAACATTTTTTTAAAAAGTTCTTCCAATAGTAGTTTCCCTGCACACTCAAATTCCATTTTCAATTGCCTTGAAGGAAGATAAGATATCCTGTGCAGATAACACTTCCATGGAGGACACTGGAGTGTGCACTGTAAGTTTTGACAAATGCATATTTGTCCACTTTGTTCATATGTCCACTTTGTTCAAATGGATGGGGAGCAAATATTTTGTTGGCCATATGGCAATACCATTCTGGCGGTCAACATTTCAAAACCATAGTAAAAGTGAATGTGCATTAAGTTTTGTGTTTGAAACAAGGACTGCAATCTTTAAAAAAGAAAAGAAAAAAGAACAGAAACAGCCTGGCTAACCATTCTATGACCTTGTACACCAGTAGAGTCTAGTACAAATGGTTAACAAACTGCCCAGCTAACGACTCAAACAGCAACATTTTGTAGCAGGTCTTCTGGACAATATAGTCCAATGGATAAAGAGATCAGCTTGCTGTTGTTGTTTTCACTCAAAATACTGCATAACACACTTTTATGTCAGGGCTATAAAAAGCAAAACAAAACACCTTAAAGCAGGGGGGTAGGGGAAGAGAGAACACACGTTACCTGACTTGGTTTAAAATCCCAGTGATTTTGCTGCTGCTGCCCTCCGCCACGAAGATAAGGGAATGCTATCCTGTGTTGTGTAGCATGCACCAAACAGTGCCTCAGGCCTATACACAACACCAGCCATCCAATGTTGCCCGGCCTCTGCATTCCGGCCGTCATTTTACTTAGCTTAAGGCTTTGCTGCTCACATGCAAGGAGGCTCTTTTTGCTATGCAGCCCTTTTCTTATACTACCCTCTTATTGTTCAGCTTCTCTGACTCAGTCGGTGTGCTGTGATATGCCCCTCCTTTAAAACTTCGTACATGAGTCAGGTTGTGCAACACATAGCAGTTCTTGAGGTTAACGAACCGCTTTCTAATTCCTGCAAATGAGCGTATATCTGCATTAAGGTGTGGCAGGCATCACCTTTTCCCTGCCTAAGACAGTCAGGCAGTACTAGACGATTAGAACTGTAAATCACAGGCTGAGTAATTCTGTGAAAACATGCAGGGTGTGTGAGCTATTTTATGGAGTACTGTGGTTCTATACCTTCCTTTGGGCTACATGTTTTAATCAGTCCAGGAAAAGGGAGCAAAAGAGGCATTTTTGTGCATGGTGTGTAGGAATAGGAATGAGAAGAGTTTAGTTAGTGTATTAAATGCAAGCCTTGGCATGCTGATCGATTGCATTTTTCATATAACAGACTGTGAAGTGTATTTTTTTTTAAGCCTCTGAAAGTATTTTTAAAAATGACAAGCAAGCTTTATGCTATTATTGTAACCTGAGAATAATGTTGATAAACTTGCACATCAATCCAAGTGCATTTACTTGGAAAAGTCACAATGAACATATCAATGAAGTGTTACCAAACAAGTAGCATTATTAGAGGAAGTAAAACAAAGAAGACAGAAGCTTAGTAGGTACAACTTTTCTCCCATGAGAAATGGCAGCTGTCAAAACACATTCTCCTGTGCAGATATCAAGGTACAGGCCTTTGGTCACCCCCATGAGCAGAAGCTTAGGCAGAGAACCAAAATACCTGAAGATCAGTTATCACCCCCTTCCCATCCATCAAATAATCAATCTGATGCCCGCAGGGGGTAATTTGCATCCCTACTAGGGAGGTGGAGTAGATGGAGATTTAAACCTCTCCAAAACCATGTCTACTTTCTTCCTATTTCTCCTTACTTCCAATTCCTTCTCCTTCTCCTCCTTCCCACTGATGCAAACATCAGTGGGTTTCTGGGAGACCTGAATATGTTGTTTGAGGATGGGTTCAGGCCCCCTGGCCACCCTGTATGTAGGATCAAACCAGTCAAACCCAGATTTTCAGATTAATAATTTAAGTACTAGGCAATTTTTTCTCTCCTTTAAAGGTAAAGGTACCCCTGCCCGTATGGGCCAGTCTTGACAGACTCTAGGGTTGTGCGCCCATCTCACTCAAGAGGCCGGGGGCCAGCGCTGTCCGGAGACACTTCCGGGTCACGTGGCCAGCGTGACATCGCTGCTCTGACGAGCCAGAGCCGCACACGGAAACGCCGTTTACCTTCCCGCTAGTAAGCGGTCCCTATTTATCTACTTGCACCCGGGGGTGCTTTCGAACTGCTAGGTTGGCAGGCGCTGGGACCGAGCAATGGGAGCACACCCCGCCGCGGGGATTTGAACCGCCGACCTTTCGATCGGCAAGCCCTAGGCGCTGAGGCTTTTACCCACAGCGCCACCCGCGTCCCTTTCTCTCCTTTACTTCTGAACAATTCTGAATATACCCATCACACAGCATTATGGGGCATAATATGGAAGAATAGTGATCAGAGGAATGTCTGGTGGCAATGATGTCTTGGCAGAGTGGGTGGGAGATATCTACTGCATGACCACTCCTGCTGATTGGCAACTGAGGAACTAGCTAGTTGGCTCAGGATATATGTGAATCCATTCCTCCTCCCCCCCAAACCCCCCCCCCCACAGCCTGACTTTTTAAAGAAATGCTGAAATATTATGCTTCACACATCTTTAGAAACTGGGTTGTATTTTATTGGTTTTACTTTTAAACGTTTCTTGGTTCTATTTTTGTCATTTGGATGTTTGAAGTTTTTTGTTCACACAAATGAATTAAAATGAAATCCATAAATGATAAAACTCCATAAATATATAATAGCTGAATTAAGTACAATTTCTACAAGAGGACTACACCGTGAAGGTGGAATGTCCCATCGAACATAATTGTTCAGAAACGCGTCTCTCCTGCGCTTTTAAGGCAATCAATAAGAATGAATAAGACTCTCTCGTTGCTATAGCTAAATCAGTACTGTTATCGTGTGTCATGAATGATGCAGAGCAGAAACAAAGACAATTTCCTACCTGACATGAATCACCCATATATTCAGGAGGGCAGGAGCATGTCTCTACATCAAAAGCAACGATGCCATTTCCTGCATTGGAGACTTCTTCCAGACCGACCTCGCCCAAGGTTAACCGCTGAGATTCTGTGAAGTAAAGTCCTCTGATTCGTAATCCATCCAGTCTAGACAGGACCATCATCAGTTCCTCTCGAGATACCAAGCTATTGCTGCTTGCATGTCTGAAGTTTCCCTGCACATTCAATATATAATTAAAGTTAGGAGAAAGTTTAATTAGCAATCTACTCAGTGTAAAAGTACTGCTGCACATGCAAAGGGATATAGATTAAACATAATAATAAAAAAACAGGTTCATGCCTTCTAAGAAGCAATGGGTGCTGGTAGCCTAAGGGAAAAGGACACTAGCAGATTGAAAACCCAAGCAAGAGACAATCTAAAGTAAAGTAAAATAAATGAGGGTCAGCCTCAGAAGTAGACATATAAGGGCAGATTACAATAATAACATACGAAGTCAACTAGGACAGGAACAAAAGGTTTCACTTGACACGGGGCTGTGCAAAAAATTCCCAGTGCTTAATTATTCCACAGAAAATTTCCTGTTTCATTAGTAACAATAAATGGTGCCAATTTTGAAAGAAAAAAAAAGCAACCATACTAAATTGCATATATGCATACTTTGTAATAAAATACATTTAGAAATCCACACTTGAGAGAAAATACATTCATAAATGTGCTATTCTATGAGAAAACGCATTCAAAAATATATATTTAAATATCACGTGAAACTGACATGGGACGGAAATACACTCATCCATCCACACTTCATTGACAGAGTTTGTTGTAGGCTGGACTACAAATGCCTGAGAGGAAACTTCATGCATCAAAATGTGATTTGTTTGGAATGGCCTCAAACCATTTGCAAGCACATATGTAATTGAAGGCAGAATATAACTCAAAAGTACTTTTATTTTTCAAGTTCAGGCATGAGCCTGACAAGAACCCAACTTGACTTTGAGACTGCGGGAACAAGCAGCTGTTTCACTGTAAATAATGACACTATTTCAGGACAACAATGAGGCACAAAACAGAATAATCTAAAGCCCTTTTCAGAGTTTGGCTTTTCAGAAGTGTTATACTTCCTCGGGCTGTGAGAAGTCCAGGTGCAGCACAACAGGAAGTATTTAATTTAGTTGAGAGAGAGAGAGAAAAATACTGGAGAAGTATTTCTGGGAAGTGGGTTGTACCATCTCCAGTATACAGGCTCGCCAAGCTCAACAGTCTCATACAAATGAAAAGTTAGGAAAATATACAGCAAAAAACCACTCACTTTCCACAACCAATGAAACTTAGAATTAATCACAACTGTAACCCACACATTACTTTGACCCCATTGCAGTACAGATTAGGGAGAGGCCCCAGTTCCTGCATGACGCCCTCATAAATCTATGCTTCAAGTAAGCACAAATCGTACCATCTAACTCAGGATACAGCAACTTCATATATACCATTTATGCTTCACATTCTCAGTTCCTTATTGACCAAGAGGCAAGGGAACTAGGCTTCACCTGGCATGCATAGTGATATTCTCTTTGTTGTATGGTTTCCGTTCCAGATTAGAATATACTTGCAACACAGTTTCTTCACATTTGTTCAATTTCAAATGTTTACAGCAGGAAGGAAACAACAGAACAATCCTACGCATGGTTACTCCTAAGCAAATTGTGTTCAGTGGGCTTTACCTGCTCATAAGAGTATTAAAAATTGCAGCCTTTAAAGTGTACTTTGAAGCAAGACTGTTTCTGATGCTGTGCTTTAAAATAAGCAGAAATGTCAGCTAGTGATTTATGAAAGGGAACTTCCACGAGTCTTACCTCAAGTAGCCGAACTGATCCATAATACTGTTTGTCGGGCAAAGGATTGTTAGGATCCACATAGATTAATTTCATTTGGTGACCCTGTGCAAAAACATTATCATTCCAAACATCAGTATAATATTCAATGTGCAGAATTAGCATGCTTTACAGAACTGCGTTAGTTGAGAGATATTTCAGTTGTTATTGGATCTCAACAAAAAGAAATGTAGTTAGCATTAAAGTACAGTGGGGGGGGGACCTTTTTCAGGCTGAGGGTGGCATTGCCAGAGGCAAAAGTGAGTGAAGCAATGAATGCCAAGTTTGCTTTTGTAGAGCAGTCTAGTTTCTACACCCACTCCTCTCTACCCTCCATCCAGGCCATCAGGAGGAATTATTAGAGTTCAGGGACACATTCCAGCCAGGGTGTGTGGTCTGATGAGAGTCCCAAGGGTCAGCCAGAGAGATCCAGGGCTCATCCAGACTTCCTTTTGTGCCATGTTTCTAGGCACAAGTCTGTGCTTTAAAGCTACATGTCTGGGTGCTCCCCCCCCTTTTTTGGCCCTATGAAAAAATCCACTTCTTACCACTGAATCGGAGCAAATGGCAATCTGTGGGAAACCTGAATTGCTCTTTGTTCCAATTCAGCATTAAAGAGCAGGCTTTCCTGGGGGAAATGGTGAGGCAAAAAAGAAAAGAAGCAGCACTCAGACATGATGCTTTAAAGAGCAGACCTGTGCCTGGAGAGCAAAAGGTAAACCCCTAGAGAGCTGCATTTGTATGAGTTCCCCACCCTGGAAGTACAGTATGGTATCTCATAAGTGATTAGCTAGCTTATTGCATCATTTTAGAATGCTGTAAAATAGAAACAGTGTAAAAACTCTATTCAGACCAGGACGGTTCTTGGAGAAAGTTTAGGAGCAGGCTTTAAGCTTACACATTTCATTCTCGACTGGCTTCAACTTTTTATTCCAAGAAATAGTAAATACCAAAACCAGGAAATCCCAGGTTTATTTTAATGTGTGATCTTCCAGTTCCTTGCAGCTAAAGCTAAAGCCATCTTTCCAGCAGATTTATTCTCGTGTGGTCACAAAGATGGCACATTCAAATAAACACGTTTCAGGCTTTCGCTTCTCCCAACAGGGGCTGTATAAAGTGAGCAGCAGGAGAGGGAGAGGGAGAGATTTCACAGGCAACTTTCACTTACAGTAAGCTGCAGATCGGGCCTTTTTTCCAGTAGAGTCATGCCTTCGCTAGGCAAGCCAAAGGATTTAACTTGATAGCTCAAGTAGCCGCCATATGAAGAAAGCTGAACAACATATTTAAAGAAATGGTGAGAATTATTATGAGAGCTTATGACATGGTTTCTAAGTATTCAGAGCACACTTATCTCAGAACCTTGACTCTTGCAAGAACATTTCCAGTGCTACCAACACAGGATTAATGGAGGTGCAGAAGAAGTCGGATCAGGAAAGGGGTAATGTATTCTGAAACATGCATTTTTAGAAGGCATTTCTACAGGCATAACCCCAAACAGAACTGATGATTATTACTTAAAATACTTAATAAAGGACAGGGAACCAAAGATTACTGTACCTTAAAAGTGGCTAAATTGTGTGCTGCTGCTATAAAATTAAGGATACAAGCTTAATTTTAATCTATTTATGTTTGTATGCTCTCTGTTGTTGTATATGTTGCAATCTGGTCAGTGAGCGAAATAAATGGATTCATTCATTCATTCACCCAGCTCTAACACACATCATGCCTTGTGATATAATGCCAGGTCAAAAATTATGAAACCAATATCAAAATATGGACTTCAAACCAGTTTTGGACAGTATATCAATATATCACCCAGCCCTACTATTGACCTTGGATGGTAACAATGTTCTGAAAACAGCTTTGAGGGTCATGTACCTTTTCTCCCAAGTAAGATGGTGGTGCTACCCAGTATAAATTGTGCACAGAGGGAGGCAGTTCTTGAACATCAGCAACGACACTGTTGCTGCCTGGATTGAAAGTTACAGGGATGCTCATGCCATTATCCACAGCTTCTAGGTGCCAGTTCCTCATATCAACAGACTAAGAGTGAAACAGACAATAAGACACTAAGAGAAGTTTCTATACTGAATACAGTTTTCCCAGAGCAATAGAGTTAATGTGCATGACTACCTGTTTTCTGGCGGAAATGTTTTGTTTTGCCTCATGTGAGAAGTTTTTCCAACTCTTTGCCACGAGCAACAGCTGCTGGTTTTGTGTGACACCACAAACCGTCTCAGGCAAGTTACTGCATTCAGTGGACTGAGGTTCTACACACCCACCAGCCATATCACAATATAGTAACCCTTCTGCAGCCCCACTACAACAAGGAATGGGAACTGGGAAGCCACCCAATTCACAAGTGCTGACAAACTTATGTGTCTGGAGGGGTGAGAGGCTTGTCACAGGGATTGCTACGGTGAGTGGAACACATAGCCTGTGTGTTATAGTGATGTGCAAAGCTTATTGCTTCTGTTCACAGTGAACAAGCAAGTCAAACTCTCTTCTGCAATCAACAGTCAGCCAAAGGCTGAAGAAAATAGTACCAGCCACAAACTCAAGAGCAGCCTCAATTATCCCTAGCTGTTCTAAGAAATTACAATGGCATAAAGGGGAGGGGAATAATACATCTGAAAGACACATGTATATACAAAGTCACACCCCCAACTTCAGACATAAAAACAGTGACTCTAATTCAGTCATATCTTGGTTCTCAAATGGAATCCGTTCCAGAAGTCCGTTCGACTTCCGAAAATGTTTGAAAACCAAGGCGTGGCTTCCGATTGGCTGCAGGAGCTTCCTGCACTCAGTCGGAAGCCATGGAAGCCGCGTCAGACGTTCAGCTTCCAAAAAAAGTTTGCAAACCAGAACATTTACTTCCGGGTTTGTGGAGTTTGGGAGCCAAAACGTTTGAGTCACAAGGCGTTCGAGAACCAAGGTAAGACTGAAATTGGAATATGTCTTTAATTTTAGGCCACAAAATTAGACGAGACTTGATCCACGATTGGATCATTCATTTTAAAGAAGAGGTTAGAAGCGGCGCACCTATAAGTTTTCCCTGCAGGTCAAGCAGCACCTTCAGGCAGAGGGCTATTTAGACTGGGGAAAGTGAAGTGTGTAGATTCTTCATGGCACCGAAGCCCAATCTAATTTCCCCATGCTAATTTGAATTGAAGCAAACAGGAAATCCAATCAGATCTCCTTAAAATAGTGATTGAAAAAAGAATAACTTACAGCAAACATACCTTAACCCTACGTTTATTTGTGCTGCGACAAATATTGGTTGCTCCGAAACAAAAGCAATTGGTGCAACCCTTCGGGTTAGCAGAGTCCAAATAAAACGACCCAGGGCGGCACATGTCACACTGAATACCTTCAACATTCTCCTATAAGTCAGTTGCAATAAGTCATTAAATGTTTCCACATAAAGCTCCTGCAGTAATATACACATGAAAAAAGCTGTAAAATACATCCAAAATAATACATAACATTGTTTCATCGCCTTGATTTTCAGTACACAGTAGCACAAATGCAAATGAGGTTGCCTCCTTCTGAAAGGAGTTTCAAGCAAATGACACACATATGCTTTTGCTGCTTTGAGTGTATAACAAGCAGCTCCGCCAATACTATGCTTGTGTGCATTAAAATTAAGGTGCTTCCAAACAAACCTTTTTTTGTGGATGATTGTCACACATTTTGACTGCTGTCAGTCGCAGACTGATTCACACTGAACACTCTTGATCTAGTTGGAAGCAGGGATGAGAAAAATCCATCTATTTCTGGTCCTTGTCGCTATTTCATGTGTTCACCCATAAGTCTGTTCTGTTTCATTTCTGCATTGATCCGCATTTTATTTTTATTTTAAAGCTCTGCACAGAAATTTGCAAAATATGCATTTTAAAATGCACTTGGATATCTTTGACCCAAGAACAACAATATGTCAGAACACTCAGGAACTGTAAAAGCTTGTGAATGTTCTGATTTGAAACTTAGTCCAAGAGGTTTGTTTTGGAATTTGCAAAGATCAACATACAATCTTTCTGAGTTTAAAGACTGAGCCCAACTGTGTGTGTGTGATAGCCACTGTGTCAGAGAATTACAATAATACCAGATATATGTGATGTGCAGCTGATAAGACAACTAAATTAATCATCCTAGAAAAAGATAATTGAAGCTCAAGGGATTGTTGAAAGTGAGCAGTTGCACTTGTACTTACTCTTGGAAATGATTGTTTGGAAGCACTAATAAAGTTTGGCAATGAACAGTTAGTACATCAAGTTAACACTTTATATACGGGACCATATTCCTGAACTGCAGGGGGATAGACTAGATGATCCTCAGGCTCCCCTTCCAGCCCCCAAATTCTATGATACTATAAGCCAGAAGCTGAATTAATGTGGGATCACAACTGAGTAACTCCTGCAAATCCATTGCTACATTCACTGAGCCCATTACTAGATGTTTAGTAGTGAAGTGGGCAGCTGGAGTGAAGTTAACAACATTCAACCAGAGTCCTAGAAATGTGCTAAGCAGTGCACACGAGATATTGGAGCAGTGTACACAAATATCCCCAGGACAACGGAAGTGGGTTTTCCTAGAACCATTTGCACTACTGGCAGTAGAGAGTAGTTAAGGGGGGTGGAGGTTTTTGCACAAGGGTTCCTCTTGATCAATCTGTATAATAACAGAATCCAGTTGAAGTGTTTCTATTGATTTCAGCAGGAGCTGAATTTGCTTCCCTCTGAAATAAGGGACGAATGGTGAAATAGACATTCAAGGAACAGCAGTGTTGCAACATGTTTCCTTCCGAGGCTTGATTGCAAACCAAGGTGTTGTACTAACAAATGTTTCCTTGGGAAACTCACAAGTATTAGCTCCATTTAAGAATTACCATTGGTTTCATATTATGGTAATTCAGACATGGAAAACGCTATACAGCTAATTAATAATTTTATTATTCCTTAAGAAATCATGGGAACGGTAATCATCACTAGTTAACTAAGGACGGACTCCTGGCAATTACAGTCGCACCAATTTTGAATGCAAAAGCACCTGACCTTACAGAGGCAAACTCCTGTCTGTGGATGACAAACATCTGGCTCTGTTCCTTCTCTGTTACATTCGCAGGGTTTGCAGTTTGGAAAACCATAGGAACCAGAAGCACATCGATCGCACCGTCGACCAGTTATTCCTATGCGGCATCTTCAGTAACAAAATAAAACCAAAAAACAATTTCTGAAAAAAGGTTTGCTTTTTTGGAAACTCAGTGAGCCAATGAGAGAGTCTTTATGTAACAGTATTAAAATCAGTGTATATGGTAGTTTTCCATTAGCAAATAAATATCACACTGTGATGTCATAAAATACTAGTGTTTCTTAGATGTAATTTAGGCATCAAAGACGGACATGCTAGAACAAACATTTAGAAGTGTCAGCTATAACTGAATGCTGTTCTTCAAGTGAAGACCTCATTATTAAAACTCATTGCTTTCTTTCACAGTGGTATACAGCAATGGCATTTTTTAAAATATCTGAATAACAGATTAACCTGAAGGACTAAACAAGGTTCAAAGCTCTGCTTGAAGTATACATAAGGCAAGTAAGATAAGAACATTGCACCCAGGTGAGGCACAATACGCACAGTGTTGAAGTGCAATATCCACATCTTGATAATAAAAGCAAATTTGCACACTAAATTGGGACTTTGAGCTTTGGTGCACTGCATAGATCTGAAGCTGTGGAAAGACAGTAGCTCTGTGCCAGCAGACATGTGGCTGCTGACCAGCCCGAAGTGCATGTCGTTCAGAAGACACATGTCTGTATGGTGCTAACCCAGCAGCCCCCATCCTATTTTCTTCTGGTTAGGTCCACAGGTAAGAGGGACAGGATCTGCTGTTTCCTCAGCTGATGCTTGATGGTGGTAGCATCTTTCTTCCCAAACACACCCAGTCACCACCATAAATGATATAGGCCAGTTGGCAAATTTGATTCATATGTGGGAAGTTCAAAACACTTATTCTTTCATCACATAATGTAATGCAGGCCAGGGAACCGTGGCTATTGGGTGGGACACAGATATTGTATATAAATAATAGACACGTACAGCCAACAATAAAGCATACTGTCTCCCACAAATTGTTTCTCAGAGTAAACCAACCTCCTAGCACACACTAAAGCTCCTAGGCATTCCACTTTTCAGAAGTTAATTAACACTGCATAGATGCCTATTTCGAAGAAAAGGACTTCTTGTCCCATCTCATGTCTCTCCCTTGCATTCCCCCCCGCCCCCGGAACGTGGAAGTTTAAACTGTAGCCTGATAATATGGACTTACTTGCACTGCCCAACAATTTTATCACATTCAGCATTTCCCGGATTAATAATGCCTTTCCTGGAGCAATTGCAGCCCTCGCAGCCAGTAAGGGGGTGATAGCCGAAGTGCTGCCTCACACACACTTCACATCTGGGCTTAACGGTTTGAGGAGGACAAATACACTTTCCAGTGATGTCATCACAAAGTCGCCGCCCGCAACTGCATGCTGGGATTGAGAGAACCATTTAACACATGAACAATATTGTATACCAGTATATGCAAGTTCATCTAAATTTGAATAGAAGTTTTTTTAAAAATCCACTAGAGCTTGTTTTGCCTCATACCAACTTTATCATATAATGGTCTTAAAAGAGTTTAAAAAGTGAAAAATGAAACATACATATGCTACAGGAAGTAGTTATTTGGGACAAGCGCTAGGCTTTTCCGTCATACTTTCTAATTAGGTTTTTAAATAACAAACACAAAAAGCACAATAAAAAACAATTAGAAAAAGACAACATCTCAGATATCTCATCAAGTACTGGGAAGAACATGAAGGTATAATTCTGCTGCCAGGGTTTTTTGAGGCGCAAGAAAGACTTGAAAGCCTTGCAGACAAGAAAGACTTGCAGCTGTACACAGACCTGGACCTCAAAACTGGAGAGGCCAGCACTGCTGCACTGCTCTCTACCTCTTTCTCTCTACTGAGATCTGCCCAGTGTGTTCTCCACAGCTCTCCTCTGAAGCCCCATCTCTAAACCAGCTTCATGCCAGCATGGGACTTACAACTTAAATCAGAAATAAGGGGAAATGGTGAGAAGACAGGATGCCATATAACAGTTACAGCTATATGATAAACCATTATTTGAAACCATACACATAATGGCTTTCTTTGGGGGACATATATCTTGAAAGTGCATGTTTGTTGCTTAGGAGCAGATATTGAGTAGGTACAGATTGTGGCATGCACTCCTTTCAAAGCGGAGATCAGTACCCAATCTCTCTCCATTTCAGAAAACGTGTCAAGACATATATTTTCAAATGGCCTTTTAAATCCGTATTAGTGCTCCTCCTACTGCGTGTAATGCTGTTAGTTATGCTTTATCGCTTTAATGCTTTTATGATACTGTTGCTTTATTGTTCTGCTTCGTTGTAAACTGTCATGACTGGTTTACAAAAAGGCAGTATAAAACTATTAACAGAAATAATGCACTTGGATGTCACATTACACTATTGTATAGCAAAACATAAATGAGCCTAGCCTCCTCTAAGGCAAGCTTAAACAAGTCAACTTTGTTATGGTTTTAAAGTACCATAGTTAAATGTTAACCACAGTTTGTTGGTCTGGGCAGCAAGACAAACTGTGGTTAACAAAAAGCAGAGGAGAAAGCTTCCAAACGCTTACATGGAGAGGAAATTGGGGAACATGTAAATCCAAGAAGATACTAGGCTCGTTTACACCTTGCTAAAACATAGTTTAGAGTGACATCTGAACACCAATAGTACAAGCATATATAATATAATAATTTCTCAAAAACCCACAAGGAGAGGGAACCAAGGCTTTCTGTGTAAATGTAATAGCTGCATTAGTATTTGCTTTGGTCATTTTTTAAAAAACCTGCATATAGATGACCACTGATGGGACAGGCTATAAACTTAAGGGAAATAAAACTGGAACGAAATACAGAATGAAACTTTAAACACTTCAGGCAACATTCCAAAAAAGTATAATGCAGCACATGACCTCTCCCAACAGTTATTAAAGACATCCTTACGTTTGCAAAAGGGAAATCCGTAATAGCCTGTTTGACACCTGCTACACTGGCGGCCAATGATGTGCTGTCTGCAATTGCACTGCCCTCCCACAGGGTCGCAAGTGCGACTGGTGGCCCCATTTCTGTGGCAATTACAAGGCAGTGCTCCATCATTGTAGGCAGCTACAAGTGACCTTGCAGACGTTCTACAGAATTCGGAGGAAGTGGCAGGGCTGTTAAAAGAAAAGAAAAAAGTAAACTGTGATTTGTAAAGCACCATGAACACCAAAGTGGGCAACCTATGGCCCTCCAGATGTTGTTCAACTACAACTCAAATCATTCTTGACCATTGGCTGGGGATGATGGGAAATGGAGTCCAACAACTTTTGGAGGACTACAGGTTCCCCACTGCAACATTACATAGACAGTGTAAGTAAAATAAATTAACTAGCTAACTGGCACCCATATAATAAATAACAGATGTGTTTGGTGTTGCGGAATATGAGGCTGACTTACTTAATGTAAAAACTGTTCCCACCACAATGATAGATGAAATCAAATGACTTGTCCACAGTATCTTTCTGAAGAAGTCTATAACTGTAGCTGTCTGCTGGAACAGCCAGGACACGTTCCTTTAAAAATGATAAAGAAATGAAATGGTGTGTTTAATCTTAAGTATCCAAGCACTGTTTCCAATTTCCATTCATTTCAACGCAATGTGTATGCAAACGGCACTTGCACTGCACTGATAGGCGCTCCAGAAAACAAGGGCCTTAAAGTATTTTTATTTTGCATACCACCCTCCATCTGAAACTTAGCAACAGCCCATTAAGCCCAATAAAATAGGAGAAATAAATGAAACATATCACAGCAGAGACAGAAAACACAACAGAATCTGGAGAAATAAAGCGGTTTTTCACTGGTGCCTAAAAGATGTTAATGTAGGGACCAGGAGGGACTCCCACAGGAGAGAGTTCCACAAGCAGGACATCACAGTCTAAAAAGTCTTCTCCTTCATTGCCCCCTACAGCCACATAGTGGTAGCACTCAGGAGAGCTCCTGAGGAACAGCTTGATATAGTAGAAACAGATGATTGGGGGGAAAGACAATTCCCTCAAAATACAGAGGTCTCAAGCAGTGGAGGGTTTAAAGGTGAGAAGCAGCACTTTGAATTGTGCTTAGAGACAGACCAGAAGCCAATGGAGCTCTTTAAAGATGTGGTGAAATGTGTTCCCAACCCAACATCTTGTCTCATTTGGTGCCATGGTGGCAATGTTTTGAATTGCTGTTTCTAAACAGTCTTCAAAGCAGGCCTTCATACACCAATAGCTGTAGACTGAAAATTACTAGAGGGTGGATAATTGTAATTTTTTTTATAATACTGTAATTCTAAACAACCAGCTCATTCAACATACATCATGGGGATGTGTGGTTATAAGCACTAAAACATTTTATAATTATTAAGTCATAAAATACTGTAATCTGCCTGTCTCTATCCAGATAAAAGGAATCTTCCCTGGTTGAAAGAAAACTGCAGCAGCTGCCTGCATGACTCAATGAAAATAGCTATACTACTGTTACCTATGCTTTGGGTAACTTCCCATTTAAACTATTACAATGTATATAGCATGTGGAGCTGTATTTTTAAAAAGTTAGAAAATCACCATTGGTCTGGAATAGGGCTACAGATTTATTGACTGGTCAGTTTGATCATATTACATCTGTATGTTGTCAAACGCACTGGTTCCCAGTCTGTTTCTGAGCCTAATTTAAAGAACTGGTTTAACCTTTACAGAGATAAATAGATTGAGACAATGCTTGCTTAAATAATCTTAAGATCTTTTTCAGAGGTTCTGTTCCAGGTGCCCTTGCCAAACAAAGTGAAGCAGGTAACCACAAGGGAAATGGCCTTTTTGGTAGTGGTATCCCAGTTATGGAACAACCATCCCTTCGAAGTTTGCCTGATGCCATCTTTGTGGTTTTCTGGTGCCAGGGGAAGATATTTTTGTTCGCCCAGGCCATTTAAATAACGTATGTCTTATGGTATGGCCTGGTCCTCTTATGTTTTTTTTAAAAAAGCAAAACTGTATTTTATATGTATTTTTAGTTTTTAATAGTTTGCATTGTTTTATACTGTAGTTTAATTTTTGCATTTGTTTTGTAATGAACTTCTGAATTGGGTGACAATATAACTTTAGTTAGTTACGGTAGTTAAATTAATATTTTTAAAATAATAATAATAATTAAATTGTCTTGAATATAACAAACCCTACCAACACAAGCATTTTTCCATTAGGAATTTTCACAGTGACTGAGATATCGTGCTGAGGGATGTCAAGTTCAATTCGATTTTCTGCCATCACCAAACCTCGGCATCCAGCAATATGCGGACAAAATGAAGCATTATAAGACCCTGAAACAGACAAATGGAAAATAAAATGAAATGAAAACTGTGAAAACTCAAAACGTGCTAAAAATATCTAAACCCATGCAAAACCCAACTCACCTGACCAGAGTTGTCCTCCATCTACAGTCACGTGTACAGGAAATGTTGGGACCTCCGGCTGGTAAAACTGTATGACAAACACGTATCTGCCCAAATGCGGCACTCTCCCATGCAGAGTAATTTGGTTCTGTCAACATAAAAAAGTTTTGTGTTTTGAGCTTCATCCTATTTATAGTCAAAGTGTGGCAATGTCTAAGCACCATCCTTGCACGCTACTGGTTATTCAACGTAGCACAACTGAAAGTGTGGGAAGGTACCCTATATGAAAAAGAAGGTTAAGTTTATGTACAGGATTGTAAAAAAAATGAAAAAAAATGCTAGAAATCTCTTGTTTGAATTCTCATCCTGCTAATTCTCAGATAGCTGCTTGGACCTAGAAAGCTGCAGTAAGGACTGTCCTTACAGGAAAATAGAGGCACAGCTAGTGGCTTCAAGAACTACTTCTTTCTTTCTGCACCAGCTTTTTGTCCAGACCTGTAGTGGAATTTAATGTCAGAGCAAAAGCTCTGTAAGAGGCCAACGTATTGTAAATCATTTAAGATAAACTCCTACAGTTGTGCAAGAGTTCGGCTGCATGCCAGATGATATTAACTTCTACAAATCAATTGACATAAACACAGCCAAGTCTGTGCTGGACTGTGACCCGCATTTAATTCAAAATGTTAAATACCTGTAAAGAAGTCAAAGTTACTCCATTAGCTGTATGAACAGATGGCAAAGGAGAACTCAGTGACTCCTGGTATATCCCATTTCTTTGCACTTCTGCAACTTGCCCATCCCTCAGAGCATCCAAGACCACGGCTGAAGGAGGAGTTTCATATTGTGAGGGGAGGCATGAAGCACTTTAAAAGGGAAACAGAATCAGAACATATACATGTATACACAGAAAAGTGAGTACAAATAAATATGAAGCCTATACATTTCATTTTCAATTTGTTTGCTGCCATTTACATTATTATATTTACAACATACCCTGTAAGTGTGCCAGAAAAACCGGGACATCCCACTTTTCCACATGAGAGCATGGTGGCCATTTTGGGTGGCGTGATTTCATGCAGAGATCTCACCCCCCCAAAACACTTGTGGGGCATAATCTCACACAGTGCTCCAAAATAAATGTTTTGGGGCGTCTGCTGTTGTGCAAGAGCACAGCCCAGAAGAAAGCATGTCTTTTGGGCTCCTTTATCTTGCGCAGGTCACATGATTCACGCATGAGCATGGCTGAGAAGATGCACATCCCAGTTTTAGGACTCAGCATGTTGGATGGTATGTTTACAACCCACAGAAATAACGAAATGCACAAACAAAATGTACATTGTTGTGGTATAACAATTAAAAATACTAGTGTGTGACTGTTTTAAATGTCCTGAGATGGAACATTTGTCAGAGTTTGCAAAGAAGCTAAAATAATTCAGACAAGCCAAATTTCTCAAGAGTGTGTGCACAGCTCTGGGCAAAGCCTTGCATATCTCTGCTAGGAAGAAAGCATAACTGAGATCAAATTATTCTTATTTCAGAATACATGGCAGCCTTGCTGTATGATGGGTACTGCAGTTATTCCCAGGTCAGAAAGAACCTTAAGCCTTCTCTTGATGGAAGCAAAAGCAGTTTACCTTGGATCAGCTGAATGGCCAGAAGTGGCAACGCAATATACTTTAGGTTCCAAGTACTCTATAGAAAAATCTTCCAGAGGAATAAGGCAAACTTTATGCTAGGAAACAAAGATGACAATGAAGGTTCTGTTATTTTCTTCTTCCAGCTAAGAGCAGCATGTGAATAAGGCAGCTACAATATGTGAAAACAGCACACCATTTGTGCTGTTAAAGAAAGGAAGGAAGCAATTCAGTTTAGCAAAGAGGCAGTGCAGTATGTGGAGACCTGTGAATGGAAGGCTTGTAAGCTACAGGATCCTGCCAAGGAAAGGGAGGACAGAGAGCTGAAAACCCCTTTCCATGACCACCGGGCCTTCTACAATCTCTTGCTTCATTAGAAGGATTTGTGAGAAGCCATGAGAGCAATGTGGTTGGCCAAGAGCTGCTACTCTACCATTATATGGGATTAGAAGTGTACGCTTTTGACAGTGAGTCACACAGCAGTGCCTTGAACTGCTCATTGGTCTTTACTAAGAATAGAAGCAAAAAATAAGCATTCAGCCTACTTTTACTGTTCAACCACAGTAAGATTATTCATTCCAACTTCATTTATTCAAAGCTGGTAGTATTCCTGTGCAACTACAAAATGTGGACTGTATCCCAGAATTTGGCACATTGAAAACCTCAATTTATTTTTGAAGAAGCACAGTTCTAATCCTGATGAATTCAGACAAATGTCTGAAAACACACAATGTGTACCTATTAGACGGCCATGTATCCTATCCATGTATCCTGCACAGGCTCTCATAAAGACAAGTTGAATAAATGCATGCAATGCAAGGACTGCAGCTGAAGGCTCAGAAACAAAAGCTGACCTCTTCTGATAGCTCCAGAATCCATCTTATGGTGAACTTAAATTAGCCTCCCTTGGGAATAGTAACAGCCCCAGTCCTGTGGAAGTGAGAGATCCTGCGGAACTTTGTTTGCCGCTTTCCCAGAGGCAGGTAAAATATTTTCTTTTTAAGAAAGCCTTTGAGAATTCCTGAGAACAAACAGCTATTGCCTTGTGTTTTGTACTGTCTACTCATATTTCAGATATTGTGCTGCCATTTTATTCCACAATTTTCCCGTTCTGTTATTTAGTTGGATTTCATTAAGTGACTTTCTATACATTGCTTCTAACTGTGTAAAGCTGTGAGAGATATCATATGAAAAGGAAGTGCAGAAAGGGTTAAAAACAAACAAATAATAAATAAATCAAATGTCTAACAATGATTCAAGAAACAGAACAGCAAAACAATCTCACTGACTAACCAGTGAGCCAAGAAATTAACTCCAGAGAAATTTTTAAAAAGGGGTGGGCGAATCCCCTGGCCAACAGGATCTGGGTACACTTCCTTTCCAATTCTGGGTAACTTCACCAACAGGAACATATGAATCTGTCAGGCCCTTGGTCCATCTAACTTAGTATTGTCAACTCTGATTGGCAGTGACTCTATAGGGTTACAGGCAGGAATATTTCCTAGCTCTGCCTGGAGATGCCAGGGACCTGGAACCTTTTGAATGCAAAGCATGGGCTCTGTTACTGAGCTATGGCCCTTCCCCTATTCAGCCACTATTTATTTTTTAAAGGAGTATTCAGTATGAATGTCCACAGTACCTTGCAACCAGCAGAAGTTCAACTCCTTCTGAATACAACCACCAAGGAGCCGCATTCTATTCTGGTTTTTATCCCAGCGTTCTCCATATGCATGCTAGACAATGTATTGTTTTGAAAGCAGAAGGCGCAAGGGGCTAAGTGAGGAAATATTTAAGTATCCAAAAGGTGGCAGCAAAGATCTTATAATGAAACTTTTAAACCAATTTACGCACAAACCTATCTTCATAGCCAGTCCCTTTGCTTTGCACTTGGGAAGGGTTGAAAAAGACACATACGCACACATTTTTGTGGGGGGGTATTATGGAACCACACAATCACTGTGATCCTTTGAAACCAAAATATGTGAAAGCCTGCATCACAGCGGCTGGCTGGACATTGATAATAATGGATTATTATTGTGGTCATTGTTATTTATTTATACCCCACTTTTTCCCCTGGCAGGGACTCACAATGGATCCAGGTGGCAAGAGATCCCTTATTAGAGACCCCAGAGTAGCCCACCTGACAGGAAAAATGTCACAGAACTGAAACTTACTAGGAGAAAATCTATTGCTGAAGCCCTGAGATGGAAGTTTGCATCAGCCAGAAGGTCATAAGCTGCAACTCGGTGCATTTCATCAAGCACGACACTGCGGCATAGAAAGCTAGAATAGATTTTAAAAGTAGTTAAAAACCATACTGGAACTCTTCCACCCCAAAAGAGTATTCTTCTTCTACCGTTTGCTTATTTCCTCCAAAGCCAAGAAACAGCAGTGAGTTATTTATCAGGATTGTACCATTTATACCTGGCTATTTTAAATCATGTTGATTGGAAAATAGGGAATGATCTGGGATAATCAATACAATCCAAAACAGGGAATTATGTTTGGAATTAAAGAATGAAGTTCTCTCTATGGATTAATGCAATGAAAATTATTTTAAAATCTATTTACGTCAGTATTTGACTCCCTCGATTATTCTGTTTTCTTTAGATGGAGACACACACGCCGCCCAATCCATACACTATAATATCATTGTCATTAGATCAAGCATAGAGCACAAGAACATAGAAATTTGCCTTCTAATGAGTCAGACCACTGTTCTATCCAGCTCAGTATTGTCAACACTGACCGGCAGCAGCCCTTGAGGGTTATAGGCAAGAGTCTTTCCCAGTTCTGCCAGGAGACACCAGGAACCTGCAAAGCACATGCCCTATTGCCGAGCTGTGGTGCTTGCATGTCAAGGTCCCCAGGGCCACCCCAATAACTCACACATCACACCAAATTTTTTTGTTTAAGGTTTTTGGCATAATTTTGGCCACAACTTTATTAAAATACAAACATGTGAGTGGCTGCTTAGGCATTGGTGTCGACTATCTGCCCCCACCATAGGGGACAGACTGACATTCCGCACGCCTGCGAAAGTCAGAAAAGGGAAATACGCTTGGGGGTAGCGACGGAGCAGGGAACCTGCCCTCAGCCCTCCCCAAATGCAGCCAGGAGCTCTTGCAGTGGCCCGAGCCCCCTTGACAGGGTGGACAAGCAATAGTTAGCCCCCAATTCCTTTAGCGGAATCCCTTGCAGCAGCAGCATTAGAGGGGCAGGCACAGCCAATTCATGCCCCTCCACCAACCAAACCATAAACCAATGCCTAACCGCAACCTTACAAGTTGTGACGATTTGCTACGCAGTAGGCAAAAACCAAATGGCCCCAGCCAATCAGCCAGATGGACAAAATTCCTACCGGGCCCCTGCCCCAAAGCAGACGACCCCATGACAGGCATAGCAAGGTCAAAGCGAACAACCCTAAATATGGAGGGGGGGACAGGCAATCCGCTGCATGGGTGAAAAGAGGAAGGCCTAGCCTCGTGCAAGGAGTTTTAGAATTTCTGGCTGTCAATCAACAAATGGCAACATTAACTTCATCCCAACAACAAGAGAAGCCCAATTGCATCAGTGGCCAACGATCAATTAGCCCGCCCCACAACTTTGGAGTGTCCTGGCAGCCCCCACCGCAACACGTGCTCTCCATGAAGGAGAACCCGCTTTCCCCTACTCAATTCCCATTTATTTTAAAACAGTATTCAGAATGAGTACACAGTAGGCATATGCAAGCAAGTTTAAAAAGAAAGACAAAACAGATATTCATCCCAAATGGATAATTAAGTTTCCACATTTACCCACCTGTATTTGCAGCTATATATATTGATTTTTGCCTCCATCACATTCCCGGGGGTGTCAATATTCACATTGCCGACATATACTCGATCATGTTCATTAGCATACTCAAGGACTACGACATAGCGGCCAACTTGGGGAACTGTCAGCCTTATCTGCAGATCCACCTAAGAAAATTCGAACCATGTTTGACTACTACCAAAATAAGGATTGCAGGGGATGCCATCCATTTCCCAGGAAACACTTTTCTCAAGCATGCAAGAGTTTCAAGGAAGCAAAAGGAGAGCTACATAATTCCTGAACGCCGAATCCCAAACCCGCTAGCCTTTCCTACAGAAAAAGCCTTCCTTACCCTGCCCCCCCAGAATGATTGCCCCATGGGTAAGTCACACAGTAATACTGCAGGGGATGCATGGAACTAAAGGTAAAGGTAAAGGACCCCTGACAGTTAAGTCCAGTCGTGAACGACTCAAAGGTTGTGGCGCTCATCTAGCTTTACTGACCGAGGGAGCCAAATTTTGTCTGCAGAGATTTTCCAGGTCATGTGGCCAGCATGACTAAGCCGCTTCTGGCAAAACCAGAGCTGTGCACAGAAACGCCGTTTACCTTCCCACCGGAGTGGTACCTACTTATCTACTTGCACTTTGACGTGCTTTCAAACTGCTAGGTTGGCAGGAGCTGGGACCGAGCAACGGGAGCTCACCCCGTTGCAGGGATTTGAACCACTGACCTTCCGACTGGCAAGCCCAAGGCTTTTAGACCACAGCGCCACCCATGTGGAACTAGAATGTACGAAATTGACACATATGATGGCAGATTTACCCACAAACAGAGCCATCTTACCTCTTGACCAGTGATATGAGACATTACGGGATGTTTGGCTGTTGGCTGTTGGGAAGCTACGTTCCTGTACTCTCTTCTGTTCAAGGAAACTCTGACTTCTGAACCAAGCACACAGCAAAATCTATCCAGTGGCAGGTGCTCATACTGTAAACAACTTTTTAAAGAGGAGGAAGAGACACCATTAAAATCAAATAAAACAACCCAAGGCAACGGTCTCAATAATATAATAGGTGCACTAACTTATCTGTCACTGCCTGTCCTGAATATGTGCAAGCCTCTGTAACTGGTATCTGCAGGATGGGGGCTTCATAGTAGTCGCTAGGCAAGAGCACCAGGTAATCCTAACAGGACAAAACAATATTAATATAAGCATATTTATTAAGCACATAGAAAAGGATTATGTGAAAATTTCAGCATAAGTTACAAACAGAGTGGGTTCCTGTTTCCACAGAAGATTAACAATGCAAGCCCATGTATTCAGATATAAGCCCCCAGTTATTTTGACTTATTCCTATGTAAATGTGTATAGGATTGCTCCCCAAGGACACAGTCCTGTACTCAAGATCTTCTAGCTGAGAGATTTTAAGAAGTGGAGGAAGTCAGGAAACAATAGTGGATCTTGATCTATGGTGCCACATGTCCAATGGATTTGTATGATATTCTTCAATCTTCAGTCCTAGGTGCTGTTGGACTACAACTCCCATCATCTATAAATGTTGGCTGGTGATGGTGGGAGTTGTAGTCCAACAACATCTGGGTGTTAGGATAGTTCCGTTCCACCTTAAAAGGGAACAGGCTGTTGTGTGTCACATGCCTGTTTAGTTCCAGCTCTCGCTGGGAACTTCCGTTTTGTATATAGCTTTTGTTCCGGCTGTTTTCCTGGACACGGAGGCAAGCAGTCATGTTTTTCCTTTGTTCTGAACTACGTTGAATAAAGCTGTAAATATGCTCTCCTGTCTGCATCCTTTCGTTGTGGAGACTCTGCTGAAAGGGTGTGCACGGGTCTTGGAATGTCTCTGAGGCTCGTGTCGCTAATTGATTGATGATGTTCCACGGGAGACCGGTGATCGCCCAGAGACAACTGGGGGCCTGCCTGATGCCTCCGTCTCCTTGACAGTATCCCAGCACTGGGAACCCGAGGTGAAAGACTAGTGGAACTCTTCCAGTGTGCTAGTGGCACCATCCCATCAGCAATTATATGCCAATGGGGGGGGATGGGGACAGGGTAGAGTTGTACATGTGAGGGGTACACTTGTCCCAAATCCTATATTCACTCAGACCACAGTCATGCTGCTGACAGCATCATTTTACACTAACCCCAGACCTGGACAATAGAACTGAAAGCAGTCCCTCTGCCCACTCTGGCACAGAATATGGTGTGATTCAGCACCCAGTCACAGCACACAAGCCTAGCACAGAGAGACCACCATTCCAATAACTAGGCACAGCTCATGAGGCTATATTTCTCTGACCTCATGTTGTGCAAACTGAGAGATCAAAAGGGGGAATGATGTGGGGGGGGCAGAGAAGAGAAAGGGCACTCTACACAAAACAGTCCACCCTCACACAACACAAATAAACTCTTAAGAGGAGCTCTGCCTCAGGACTCCAGGCACAACCAACTGGCAGTAACCTCCACTTCACCAACTGGGGTTTTCAGAACCAAGCAAGTAAGGGGAAGGGGAGCACAAGTTGCAAAACGTAATATCTGTGATAGCCTTCCACGCCCCTTTCCCCTTTTTTTGCTATATGTGAAAACTCTGTTTTGACTGAACTATACTGCTCTAACATTCTTTTCTCCTCGTAATTATAGCAAATATCTTACCAAAAGGACTCCCTCTGCCATGATTTTAAAAATCCAGGTTCCAGGAGTCAGTGAAAATGCATCTGCAAAGCTCTTCCCTGGGACAGTGACAAAAGCAGGTTCTTTACTGGGCGGGAAGACAACACCTTTGCTCTGAGGAGTCCCTGCCAGCAAACAAGAAAATAATAATAATAATAATTTTTAAAAAACACTCCCTGATGACTCAGAAACCAACATTTTTATTAATTAAAATGAGATAAGCAGCAAACTGAAAGAGCAGGTGCATCCCCTGCCTGCCCAACCATGTACAGTGGTACCTCGGGTTACATACGCTTCAGGTTACATATGCTTCAGGTTACAGACTCCGCTAACCCAGAAATAGTACCTCGGGTTAAGAACTTTGCTTCAGGATGAGAACAGAAATCGTGCTCCAGTGGCGCGGCGGCAGCGGGAGGCCCCATTAGCTTAAGTGGTGCTTCAGGTTAAGAACAGTTTCAGGTTAAGAACGGACCTCCGGAACGAATTAAGTACATAACCAGAGGTACCACTGTACCTGCAACTCAAGACAACACTTCATGTGTCTGATAAAAGGGACTGTAGCTCACGAAGGCTTATGCCATAATAAATCCATTAAAAGTTACCACATGACATTTTTTAGATTTACACTTGGGGGGGGGGCCTTGGGTGGCCAGCTAAAGATTATGTGTGAAGAGGCTCAAAGTGTGTGTCAGACATATTACTGCAATGCACTGCAATAGACTGTATGAGGTATGAGATTAAGATCCAGCCAAATCCCATGATATATGCGATCCACATTCTGTAACAGGCTGCCCTCCATGAAACCACCCTGGGAAATATCTGTCAGAAGAACTAAAAGTGGCAAGCAAGCTATTAATAAGCTAAATTTTTCAATGAACGTTGGCTTATATACTTTTTTAAGGAACCTACATGTTTTTAAGTCTAGCACCAGAGGTCTTTCTCTAAATATCCCTGCCACTCTGTAGGCTTTCATAAAAATAATTACTGTTATTTACATGCCGCCACCTGATTGGGTTTTCCGGAGAGCCATGTTTTAGACTTTTTTTTTTAAAAAAAAGATTGCCCAGGATTTAAACTGATTTTCTATCTACTGCTTTTTGTATTTTTACTGTTGCTACAGTAACTGTCTTTTTACTGAGATTTAGAGGTATGGTCTAACTTAAAATTGTCATTAATGGGCTGGATTTCCGTGATTAAGATGAATGTGCTGCCAAAGAAGCTTTTTCTGTTTCAAGCCCTCCCAATTATAGATAATGTGAAATGTTTTAAAGAATGGCAAAAAGCTCTTTCTGGATTTATCTGGCAGGGGAGGAAACCCAGAATTAAATATAAATTACTAACGGATTCCAAAGAAAGAGGGGGATTCTCTCTGCCAGACTTAAAAATCTATTTTGAAGCTGCTGCACTTTATTGGATTAAAGACTGGATGAAATTAGAAGATACAGATTTATTAGATTTGGAGGGATTTGATAATGTGTTTGGTTGGCATGCATATTTGTGGTATGATAAGGTAAAAGCCCATAAAGCATTTAAAAATCATATAATTAGGAAATTGTTGTATAATGTTTGGATAAAATACAAAGACCTTTTAGAAAGAAAGACGCCCAGATGGCTTTCACCAATGGAAGCAAAGGCCCAGAAAAAATTAAATATGGATACTAAATAGTAGAGATATTATGATTTATTAATAGAGGAGGAAGGTTATAAATTAAAATGATTTGAGCAAATTAAAGATAAGCTAAATTGGCTACATTACCACCAGATTAATGAATTGTATAAATCGAATAAGAGAAATGGTTTTGGAAATGGTTTGGAAAAATCTAAGTTGGAGACGGAGTTGTTGGATACTGAAGGTAAAAATTTATCTAAAATGTACAAGCTTTTGCTGGAGTGGCATACGAAAGATGAACAAGTTAAATCTGTGATGATAGATTGGGCAAGAGATTTAGGACATAATATAATGTTTGAAGACTGGGAAAGATTGTGGAAGAAAGGGGTCAAGTTCACTGCATGTACTTTGTTAAAGGAAACTATTATGAAGATGATGTATAGATGGTATTTGACTCCTGTAAAATTAGCAAAGATGTATCACAATTGTGATAATATATGTTGGAAATGTAAAGAAAAGGAAGGAACATTCTTTTATATGTGGTGGACCTGTCCCAAGGTGAAAGACTTCTGGGAAAAGATTTATAATGAATTGAAAAAAATGTTGAAATATACATTTATAAAGAAACCAGAGGCCTTTCTTCTTGGAATAACAGGTTTGGAAATGCCCAAGAAAGATGTTAAACTATTTTTGTATGCCACAACTGCGGCTCGTATTTTGTTAGCTAAAAAGTGGAAAATTCAAGAACTACCAACAGGAGAAGAATGGCAGATGAAGATGATGGATTTTTTGGAGCTAGCCGACCTAACCGGAAGAGTCCGCGACCAGAAGGAGGAGGAACACCACAAAGAATGGAAGAAATTTAATGATTATTTAGCTACATTTGTTAAGCTAAACTAACCGGAAATAGCTTCCAGATATTTAATGGGCTTAGGATTGTATTTATGTTAACTGATAAAATAATATGTTTAATACTATAAGGAGAAGATTTAAAGATGTTAATGTTCAATTTAAAGTGTATAAAAATTGGGTTTTGGAAAACCATTATAAGGATATGCAATGAAATTCAACTAAGGGGAAACGAGGAAGTCGCTTTACAAAGTGAATAACTGTTATTTTCAATAAGGTTATGATTTATGTTTGTTATGTTTGTTCGTTTTGTGTTTTTGTTTGTCGTTAACATTGTAAAAACCAATAAATTTTTTGAAAAAAATAAAAATAAACCACAGAACCTAGGGCTTGCCGATCAGAAGGTCGGCAGTTCGAATCCCCGCAACGGGGTGAGCTCCCATTGCTTGGTCCCTGCTCCTGCCAACCTAGCAGTTTGAAAGCATGTCAAAGTGCAAGTAGATAAATAGGTACCACTCCGGCGGGAAAGTAAACGGCATTTCCGTGCTCTGCTCTGGTTCGCCAGAAGCGGCTTAGTCATGCTGGCCACATGACCCGGAAGCTGTACGCCGGCTCCCTCGGCCAATAAAGTGAGATGAGCACCGCAACCCCAGAGTTGTCTGCAACTGGACCTAATGGTCAGGGGTCCCTTTACCTTTACAATAACTGTCTTTGTACTGTTGCAAAAACATACATGACACCAGGCAACATGTAGGGTGGACGGGTGGGCATGGCATAAAAGAAGCTTTTAGTTCAACTGAATTCAGTGCATGAAGACACATTGCAACTACCAGCTGAGTTCCGCTGCCATTTTGCTCTACCTACCTTTACGAAGCCGAGAATAAGCGATTATGTGGCCAGATACCGCAGCAGTTCCAGGATTAATATACCTCAAGATAACACGAAATAAACAGAGGTTTGATTTCTCCACGTTCAGAGTTATCCTTACTTCATTCTGTAAAATGGGAGGTTAATAAACAAGGAGGAAAAAGCCATAAAGTACCAAAAGGATAAATCTTCAGAAGCTGTGCAAGCAAAATACACAATTCCTACAGGGGAAAAAATAAGAATAACAAGTACCACACATATAGACAGAGACATTTATGCGGAAGGAAAAGCATTTTCTGGCATAAGGAAGAGAAAGACAGGCAAACCTAGCAAGAAACGTAATTCACTTACAAGTGTTATTAGGGCCAAAATGTTTCCCCTCAGCAATTGAGATCCTCCCTCTACAGCTTTTTGAAACCAAGGTGACATAGTGCAGTGCTAGGTGGAAGAGCTTAGGAGAAGCCACAGTGACAGGTACTACCACCTCTGGCTGGGGAAAAAAGGAGGAAAGAAGAGGACAGGAAAGCATATTATTTTAATACTACCACCCAAAAGGCAGAAAATGTCTAGAAACATTTAGCAAATGTAACATGACAATCTAAAAAGTTATGGTGGGTTTGGATGAAACACAGGTCTAAAGCAGTTCTCTTCTTACTGATCCTCACTGTGAATGATGTCCTGATGAATCTGGAAGGATAACAAGTTTTGGCTGTACTATGGTCTGCATTTTTACGTCTGCACTCTTATACACACTTACCTGTATTGCTCCTGTGTTTCTGAGAAGACATGTATATCATTGCTCTGTTAAGCTGACATAGTACTGTGGTGTCCATGTGGCATGGCTTAAGGGTAAGAACTGTGTTAAAAGATGTGTGCTAATGTTAAATCATGGATGATGTACCTTGCACTTCTCCAATCTATTTTAACTTGGCATTTGAGATGAAGGTTTTCCATGTATTAACTTTAGGGTTGCCAAGTAACTACTACCTAGAGAATCCAACTGGATGTCAATGATGCAATGGAAAGGTTTGAAACCAGATGACTGAAGTTCATTTGGCATATGCCTAGAGGTCTATGCATTATTTAACTTATTTGGTTTGATTCTTCCTCACCCTTTTTCTATGCATCTCCCATTGCTTTTTCATCGGTGACCACCAACTACAGAATCACTGCAGCAAGGAGAGGGAGGAGAGGTTTGGTGTGGGGATGTCAGCATTGCTTCCCTTCCTCCTCTAACAAAAGCTTCAAAAATGAAGTTGACTTAATGGGAACAAAACAGGAAATGCTGAGCTGCTCTACTATCTAAAATTAATATAAAAAAGCCAAAAATGTTCTTCTCTGGATCATCTTAACTAGGCATTTCTGGGGGCTGATCCAGGTTTCTTAAGAGCATGTTCTGTTTTTGAAGGCTAGGAAAAGCAGAGGGGGGAAATGGCAATGGAGAAGTTGTAGTTCATAAATTTATATTTTACCCTTGTAAAATTCTGACACGGTTAAAAGAATAACCCTAAGGGAAAGCCCAAGATTAAGAGGAGTAAGGCATACAAATGAATGAAGATTAACCAGAAGGAATCCATTATATATCATGCTACTCCAACAATCTTTCTGAACGCGTCCTCAAGGATGAACAAGCATCAGTTGATGAAATAACATTCTCCAAAAAGATGCCAAGACAGCACTTACTGAATACATTCCTCCAATTTTTTTCTGTAATGCTCACAAATTGAGAATCACAAAATCATAAAATTGTAGAGTTGGAAGGGACCTTGAGGGTCATCTACTCCAACCCCTGCAATGTAGGAATCTCAGCTAAAGCATCCATGACAGATGGCCGTTCAACTTCTGCTTAAAAACCTCCAAGGAAGGAGAGTCCAACACCTTCCAAGCAAGTCTGGTTCACTGTTGAACAGCTTTTACTGCCAGAAAGTTATTCCTGATGTTTATTCAGAATCTTCTTTCTTGTAACTTAAAACTATTGATTCAGGTCCTACCTTCCACAGCAGAAGAAAACAAGATTGCTCCATCTTCCATGTCATAGCCCTTTAGATATTTGAAGATGGCTATCATATCTCCTCTCAGCCTCCTCTTCTCCAGGCTAAAAATGCCCAACTCCCTCAACTGTTCCTCATAAGGCTTGGTTTCTAGACCCTTAATCATCTTGGTTACTCTACTCTACACGTTCTAGCTTGTCAATACCACAAGCTTAACATCAGTCAAAAGTGTGATGTAGCAGCAGCAGCAGCAGAAAAATGCTAATGCTATTCCAGGCTGCATCAACAGAAGTATAGTGTTCCAATCAAGGGAAGTCATAGTACCACTCTTATTCTGCTTTGGTCAAACCATACCAGGAGTGCTGTGTCCAATTCTGTGCACCACAATTTGACTGATGTTAAGCTTGTGGTCCACTAAGACCCCTAGATCCTTTTCACATGTATCATTGGCAAGCCGGGTGTCCCCCATCTTATATTTGTGCAGGTGGTTCTTCCTGCCTAAGTATCGAATCTGACGAATTTGTCCCTATTGAAATTCATTTTGTTAGTTTGGGCCCAGTTCTCCAATCTGTTAATGTCACCTGGAATCTTGATTCTGTCTTCTGCAGCATTAGCTACCCCTCCCAGTTTGGTATCATCCCCTGAATTCCTTCATCTAAGTCATGTATAATTGAACAACAATGGGTCCAGGAGAGAACCCTGTGGCACCCAACTTTTTACTTTTTCCCATGATAATAAGGAACATGAGTGAGCACTCTTTGGGTTCGGCCAGTCAACGAGCTACAAATCCACCTAACAATTACCTCATCCAGCCCACATACTGGCCTGACAGTATAAGGCAGCTTCCTATGTTCCTACTCAATTGTAACAAGCTTAGGTCAAGTCTAAAAATATTCACTTCTGCCTCACAACTCCAGCTATTACATCTAGGAAAAACTTGCTATATGGGTCATCTCAATCACATGGGGAGTTTCTACAACTACAGTGGATTTCCTGGAAGCATCTGCCCCTGGTGTGGATATATCTCCAAGTGACTGGAAGGAATCACACGGCAGACTGAAGCCAGTGGTGGTGTAGTGGTTAGAGTGTTGGACTAGGACCTGGGAGACCAGGGTTCGATTCTCCACTTGGCCATGAAACTCACTGGGTGACCTTGGTGGCCAGTCACAACCACTCAACCTAACCTACTTTACTGGGTTGTTGTGAGAATTAAATGAACTATGTAAGCCACCTGGAGCCCCATGGAGACAAAGTTGAGCTATAAATGCAACAAATAAATAATAAATAATAAACTGCTGCAGAAAATGCAAGAGGGCATGTGGAGTCACCACTTAGAAGATCTCCCCACAGAGAAAGGGTAAATGCATAAAACAGGCTTTGCTGAAGAATGTTTCCTTCACACCCATTATAAACTTTTTAAAAAGAAAAGAAGTTTAAGTATATGTGGGATTAACTTCTTCTGGCCTCTTCTATAATCCAGCAGGACCAAGGAAATGAACTCACATCTTCTTCCCAAGGTTATTTCACAAAGTAACATCTGGTCAGTTAAATACATACTTGTACTGAGGACATCTGTGCATAACCTCGCCAGCTAAAGCCAGGAAATTCTTGAAGATCATAACCAAACCGGATTCCTCTTCCATTAGGAGATGTACCGTCTTCAACTTCAAACTTCATGTGATGTAAATCAGGTAAGTAGTAGTCCTTTTCAGGCCTTTCATACATACAAAAATGAAATGGCAGGCAATGCTTTTGTTTTCTAAAAATGTTTCATTTGCTACATATGAAAAAGAGACATAACACTTAAGAACTGGTCTGCTGGATTAGACCATATGGCAGAAGTTAAGGAGGGAGGTGGCTAAACGAATCCTCTCCATACTACTACCAAGGTGAAGTCACAAAGAGCGCCCTGGCAGAACTTGGCACCCACTGTTGAAAGTAGCTGGTTAATGCCAGATTACCAGTCAAGTGTTGATGAATCAGCACAAAATCTTAAGGAAGTTTTGATGCTGTATTGTGTTTTTAATATTTGATTGGAAGCCACCCAGAGTGGCTGGGGAAACCCAGCCAGATGGGCGGCGTATAAATAATAAATTATTATTATTATTGGATTTACTGGTGCCTAAGCTTCACTTTTCCATCTTACTTACTCATTGCAGGATTTTCCAACCATGTGCCTTCTGCACTGGCAATCACCCGACAGATCATCGCACACACGGCTTATGGCCCCTCCCACGTCGCATTTGCACCCTGCGAGTAAAGGAAAGAACCAAACTTTTTAAGCAAAAATATATGATGCCAGAAGAAAGATTTGTAGGTTTTCTGGGATAAAGAGATGGGAAGAACACTCTCCGCCTTTCCGTGAATGACTTTAGTGCCGCATTGTTTATGCTCAAGATCAATTCTCAAAAATGTATATGTATGACTTTCTGCAGTGGGCTGGCACAGACCCAGAGTCATCACAGCAGATGCTCAACAAAGTACCTGTATAGATCCAAAGTCACCTCTCCATCTCTCACACACAATCAAGAGCTAGGAAAGAGCAGAGGAGGAAGAACTGACATTGCCCCAATTGCTATGGCTGTTTTACTGCAGGTCACTGTTGGAATGAGTCCCTGTTTCTGACGGGAAAGAAGAGTAGCATAAACAGAATGAGATAAGCAGGGACTCATTAAAACAGTAGTCTGTTTTCTATTTATATCCCACCTTTCCTCCAAGGTGGCTGACATAGTTCTCCATCCTGCATTTTATCCTCACAACAACCCTGTGGAGCATGTTAGACTGAGAGACTATGACGGGCTTGAGGTCACAAAGTGAGCTCCAAGATTGAGGGGGGACTAGAAACTTGGTCTCCCAAGTCTGGGTCGCTAACCACTACACCACACTGACTCTCAGAAACTCAGCACTGGCAACACAGTAAGTGCGCAGTAATCAGAAGTGTGAACACAGCTTAAGGCCATCAGTTGATAGAGTGATCTGTGTTGAAGGAAGCAGATATTTAATATTGAAAACTTGCCCACTGTCACTTACCAAAATTTAAACAGAAGGCTCACATTGGTAAGAAACAATAATAAAAGTTCATATGCAAATATGTTATATAGGTGTGATTTGAAGACTATATTTTTTAGAAACATGTCCTGTAGTAACTAAACCACACTGTACCTTGACATCCAAAATAATTATTGTCTTCTAGGCCGTAATAACCATCTTCACAAGTATCACACGAATCTCCACAAACGTTAGGCTTGCAGTAACATTCACCATCCACCTATAAGGGGAAGGGGGTGGAGAAGCTTTCAAGTTTTCCTTTGATACATTTCTTATTTGAAAAGAGTCTTTAGTAATGACCTAAAATATTTTTAAATAGGCACGAATGGATGGTTGTGGCATTAGGTGGGAGCTGGTTTGCAAACAAAGAGATCACAATATAGGAAAGGAAAGAAGCCAAATGTCCCACTTCTGCAGGATAGCCTTATGTGGAATTATCTCCCAGGTTCTAGTCTAGTGATGGGGTCCTTGAGCCACTGTTGGACTCCAAATCCCAGTATTCCCAGCCAGCACTGTCATGGATAGGGATGGAGCCCAATAATATCTGTGGGGCCCTGTTCTAATAGAAGCCTAGAGTGAGAAGTTCCTCCTGTGATTTGCCAGATTTGAAGTCAGCCAGTCACGGGTAACTTTGGCAGGGTGAGGGAGCTCATTTATACAAATTAGCTAAACCTGACACCAACTTGCTAAGCAAGCTACTTGGGATACAGATATGAACATTTACATGGGGGTAGTTCCTATTTAATTCAGTATTGTATTGTATTGTATTGTATTGTATTGTATTGTATTGTATTTATGTAGGCTATTTTTCGATTGCCTAATAAAAAAGCTTCTCTAGGAGGCTTACAATGTAGACCAAAAAATCAAAAATAAAAAGATTACAATATAAGCCAACAAATAAAACACAGCAGATCAAAATGTAGAGAAAGGGATAAACAGAGTGAGGGATAAAAATGCACAGAATTAAACCAGTTTTAAAAGAGGGAGCAGAGAAATAAAATTCACTGAGGTAAAACTAGGTTGTCATCCTGTTTGCCTGGCAATGAAAAGACATTAGGGTAGGTGCTAGGTGGGTCTCTCTGGGGAAGGCATTCTACAAACTAGGGAGTCACTACTGAGAAGGCTTTTTCACTCATTGTCATTTGTAGTACCTCACCTGGAGGGGACATTCATGCATGTCACCAAGGACTCATAAAGATGAAAAGCAAAGTTTTAAATTGGGCCTAAAAAGCAAGACTTGCACCCAAGCAACAAAGAATATTGGGATGCCAAGGTCCCTTCCCACCCACACATTTGGGGCTGTAGACCAGTGTGAGAACTGGTGCTTGATATGGATTTGTTCAGCCAAAAAAGTTGAATAACACATAAGTGAAAACTGAATATTTTTACCTGCCGACACTCTCTGAGTCCACTCAGTGTTCCAGATGCCTCACACTGGCACTCTGTAAAGGCAAACGTATCCACCTGAAACCATTTTCTTAGAAACCTTTATATGATTGACATCTGCTGGATGAGGGCTAGACAACATGCATGCCTAAAGGAACTCTCTGCCTTTTAAATTATAAGACCAAAATCCAGAAAGACTTAGGGTTCATATAATACTCTAACTTGGAATGTCTACCTGTGGTAGGATGAGCCTGTCTGCCCCCTCCATCCCTTCTCCATCCCCATCTGCAGAGCAAAACTCCAGAACTAGGAGATAGCATCTGTTTGAGTGGAAGCTCCCTCTGATTTCACAATCCAGACCCTTAATGAAAACAAGGCCAGGATTACACAGACAGGGAGATTCCACTTTAAAATAAATATGGGCTGTTCCATTTCAGGTATTAAGTTTATGATGGAGGAGGTACACATGAGGCAGAGATATGCTCCTGATTTTCCCCAAACATAGAAATTCTGGGGGGTAAGTATCTTGCATGTGTGCCTGCTATCTGTTGACTATCTGTTATCTTCCTCAGTAATTCTCCTGGGGCTATGAAAACCTTACCATCACAACCACTCTCCAGGGAATCTTTGCTGACCTTGCCACATTCTGTTACCATGTAAGTGGAATTCAGTACTAATAATTCCTTTATCTTTTGCTAGATTGGTGGAGGCACGTTACCATAAAAGTGACATTAATTTTCTTTGGGAGGGAAAGCTATTTTAAGACTCCTTTCCACACAGCAAGCTGTCTAGACCTATCAGATACACTTTGGGCATTGCTGAACATTTTGAAAATGCTTCCAGTTATTGTTGTACTTATTTTCCATGTTCTGCATCTCAACATAACTCTAGGCAGTCCATGAAAAAGGCAGGTGTTTTCCAGAAAACTACCAACAGGAGGCTTCTTGGGCAAGTAAATAAACAATTTTCTCCAGGCAAAATGGCCTCACTCTGTGCCAAATCAAACACTATATTGAGGGTGCAATTCTATAGCCCTTGAACTTGGGAGTTAAGTTTCATTGAATTACTTCTGAGTAAATATTTACAGGAATGTGCTGCAAAAGCATGCTTGCATTTGTGTATTTCTAATTTTATTTTTAAATAGGAGCTGTAGATGACCCTGATCCAGATCAAGACTGTGGTGTATAGGAACAGAGGCTTAAGTCCTTTATTCTGTGTCATTTTCATTATAATCCCGGGCCCCAAAGGGCTGCTATATGAGTTTTGCAAGTGTATGTTGCCTAACTCTGCTAAATTTACATCAAGTGATTCTGCAGAACAGAATTTGGCTATGCATCATTAGGCATCTGTGTTACTAATGGGAAACAGAGTGGTGTTTTTGGTTTTTTTTTTAAGCAACTGCAAGAATACTGGTTTGTTTGATACTCTCAGCCTGTGAGAATTGTGCTTTCACTAAAAGAGGAGGACAAAACCTTCTGCAATATACAAGGCAGCTGAATCCAAAGTCAGTGGTTTAAGACTGCACAGTGAAGGCCTTCGCAACCATGTCCACATCCGTGTCAGTCAGTGAAGCCCCTTTGGAACCTCAAATGGGTACAGGTACTATCATTTTCTTAGGGTTGCTGTATAAAAGATAATAGTCGCAGGTTTGGAGGACCTGGACTGGGCTGAGAACAGGAAAAAACCACAAGCTTTATTTTTATAATATAACATGAGGTGTGTACAGTGCTTTTTTCTTTAAAAAAATGTTTAGAGGCACTCTCATTTTCCTACTCATATTGAAATACTGCCCCTCAATGAGGCCAAACTTAGATTCACAAAATGTTTAGGGGTATGTGTACCCCTAGAAAAAAGCACTGTTTGTATCAACACAGCCTTACCTATGCATCCATACGGGTTTTCTCTGGCCAGATGCCAGTAAAGTGGTTTGCAGATGCTACAGGTTGGACCTTCTACATTTTGCAGACACCGGCAATCGTCCTAATGGACAAAGGGAATAATGCATATGTCATGACAGGGAGCTAAGGGTCTTGACAAACTAGTATACAGCTTTGAAATACACATAGGAAATGGGAGATGGAGAACAGTTTTACAGATGGAGAATCCAGACTTAGAATTAGTAAGTTGTCTGAAGATACACAATGGGCAGAATTCACCTAACGAGTTCCATCAGCAGAAGTCCTGCACAAGGGATTCTGCTTACACAACAGGACTTCCCCCCTCTCCTTCCCCTGCAGCCCCTGAAATTGGCTTGGAGAACCCCCAGAGACAGCCTACAGGGAGAGGAGAGGGGAGATTGTTTCATCTGGCAAGCTGCAACGCTTGCACTGATGGGACGTTCCACCCAATACAACCCCAATACAATGGTCTGTAGCTGCTAGACTATACTAGTTTGGATCCTTGCATGGCTCAACATGTGACTGGAGGAGCTGGAGAAACCTATCCAAACTCTGAGAAAGCCCCCCCCCCCCCGCCAACTCACAGTTGCATCCTTCCAACTTGCAGGTGTACCCTTAGAAAATGTGTTGATTTCTTCATGCTTTTTAAATTAATATTTTTATACTGCCCATCAATAAAGTCCACTGGAAAATTTACATTAAGTTATGGATCAATAAACACACACACACAAATAAAAGATTATCAAAAACCTGTTTGAGTGGGGAACAGTCTTACACCTCTTTGCTCAATGGAACTAATGAGACTTGAGCAGAACAGAGGCAAATTCACTACAGAACATTTCCCTATTATGTACGTATATTATCATCAAATCTCACAAGTAATAATATTCACACATTTGATACTAGGAGATATGACAAACATTCCTTTTTTATAATATACTTTATTAAATTTTAGAAACCATATCAAAGACAAAATCATACAACAACAAACATACAAACATCTAAAAGGTAAGATAAGAAAGACAAGAAAAAATAAAAAAGAAGAAAAGAAGAAAAAGAAAACAAAATAGCACATGTACAAACATTTGACTTCCATCCATCTCAGTTTCGGTTAAATGATCTTATAACCTTTCTGCAGTTGTATTGCATCAACTCTATACGTCGCAGATTTTAAATTCTGTCTACTGTGATTTTGGTAATTCCCAAATTGTTTTCAATATATCTTACAAATTTATTCCAATCATTCTTTAGCATTACATTTTTTTGAAACCTGATTCTTTGTGTCATTCTTGCTAACTCTATATACTCCAATAATTTCATTTGCCATTCTCTAACAGTGGGAATATTGGGGGTTTTCCAATTTTGCGCTAGTAAGATTCCATTACTCCTACGCTTATGAACTAAAGAGGGCTTACCATCCCACTCCACACAGTTCCTTATCTAAAAGTCACTTACTGGAGGAGTCTCCTCCCTGGGGCTACGGTGCCGGTGAGGACAACTTGCCCCGTGCCCATTAACTAGCAACGGAAAAGGGTGGAGAACCAGTCATTCAAGCTCTAGCAATGTGGCCTTGTGTTATAATTGTAGATGCCACAGTCAGGTTATTTAGCAGGATAGGTGCTAATGTGTTGCCAGTTATTTGTTTCTTTCTCCATATAAATCCACTGTTATGAAAATGAAAGTTCAATGAACTATGGCCTTTGCATGACAATTCTATTATGCAATACAATTCTATTATGTAATACTTACAGAATAAGAATCCATGGTTCCTGCTGGGTCACATTCGTTGCTGTTTCCTGTTTACATTTTTAAAAATGAAAAAAACCATTATTTTAAAGCTATTTATTTTCAACAATCCATATAGCACTTTTTAAGTGAAGAAAGTATTCCCTGGTTATTTCACTATACACTGAGCCTCACAACAAACACTGACAGTTTCTCTCAGATATATTTTTAATATATTAATTTAATGTTTAAATATCTCCTTTTATGTACATACTGAATAGTGTTTTATCCTCACACTGGCCCTGTAGTCAATGTTCCTCCCATTTTACAGGTAGGAAACAGAGATGGAAAATTTTAACTGAGGCCAATAACATGAGTGAGATTTCCCATTAATTTTATACATAACACTGCCCAGTCATTGGTTTTGACTGACTTGGCCACTGCCACTGAGGGAACCTCATGGCCACAGGAAAGCAGAAAGAGATGTATGTGCTTGTATCTCTCAAACTTAAATCCAGACACATTCCATTCATGGAGGATTGAGCTGTAAACAACCATTAACTCCTTTCCTGTGGCATCAGTACAACATAATTTATCTGATGAAGCAAGATTATAGCATTTGAAACTTCTTAATTTTAAAAGGCAAGTAAAAGGGGATGTAAAGGAAGTGTATAAAAGTATGCATGGCATAGAGAAAGTGACAAAGAATAGTTTTTCTCCCTCTCTCTTAACACTAGAATGCGTGGGCAAACAATGAAGCAGGAATAATGTTGATTCAGAACAGATAAAGTACATCTCCACACAGCACATAGTGAAACGATGGAATTTGCTCCTATCAGAGGCAGCAACTTGGATGGCTTTAAAAAGGGATTTTCAAATAAATTTTATTTACTTCTTTATTTAAAACCTTTTTATCCCACTCTTCAGCCGAAAATGGTTTGCAAGTGTCTGAGATAAGGTAGTATGGCTTCCTTGCCTCAATAAACTGTCCCTCTAAAACACAAAATGACATCCTTCAGGACACTTGCCACCACCTGAGCATAGCTGTCAACTTTTCCCTTTTCTTGCGAGGAATCCTATTCGGAATAAGGGAATTTCCTTTTAAAAAGGGGAAAAGTTGATAGCTATGCACCTGAGCTCTAAGATCTAAGCATCTTACACTTAGCAATTGCAGCCTAAACAAGTAATTAGCCTCACAATGAGGGCAAAACTTGTCCAACTCCCCTGATCGCATACAATTTTCTGCTTCTAAAATATCTCCATAAATAGATGTGTCTTGATAATTATTACCTTGGCAATGAGGAAAACTGTTGGCTGCTGAGACACATCTGTGACACTGTTGTCCTGTAAAGCCTGGTTGACACTCACACTGGCCTGTGGCTGCATCACATGCGCCCTGGTAGGAGCCATGGGTCGAGCACTGACAAGCTGAACAAAGGTGTTAATTTTATAAGGACACCAGGTTTCATATTACTACACACATACATATACACACACATGGATAAAAGTTTGGAGACATGCTCTGGCAAGCAGCTGCTTCTTTGTGGATTGATACATTCCATGCTTCTCCTTTTGGAGAGAGATATGTAACTTGGGGTCAGAGGTCTTATTCATCCTCCTTCACCTCATGTAGCCCCTAGCTATGTTGGCAATCTCTCTGAGGACACCAAGCCAGAGAGCAGAGGCTCCCTCAACTGAACGAGAAGAGCCATATTTTCCTCTAGTCTTCATGCCTCCATTCAAGCACTCTGGGCATTGAGCAAAAAACAAAAGGCCACACAAGTTGGTGGAATTCTACAAATATAACACGCTGAAATCATCAGCTTCTGAAGTCCACCTACTCAAACGCTTTCAAATCTTGCAAAAAAATTGTTGCGAAAAGTTAATTTTCACAAAAAGTATCAAGATGCAGCTAGTTCTACATTGAACAATACAGTGCTGAAATCTGCAATTTTGAATACAGGCCTCTTCTCCCCCCCCCTCTCTCTCCCCCCCCCCCAGTTAATCTGAGGACAGAAGTTGTTTGAAGCATGGAAAACATGTTCTCTGCTTACTGTGTAGGTTGTCAGGAATTCTGTCAGCTGCACAGCTACTATACTGTTCTTAGTTATGTAGCCTTTGCCAAGTTGGTGCCCTCTGGATGTTTATTATATTATTATCTACATTTCTGTCCTTCCCTTCCTCTCAAAACAGCACAGCCAGCCAGCAACAAAGCAGCAGAATAGTGCAATAAAAATCAATAAATTAAAACATCAAGGACATCTAAAAACATTTTAAAACAGTCACATATCCTCACACCTCATCATTTCAAGGTTGCCAGGAACAGTCTCTTTCAGTCATCAAGTGCCTGGGTGAACTGGAATGTTTTTAAATTCCTCCTAAATGCTGATATTGAGGTTGGAAGATACACCTCATCAGAGAGGGCATTCTACAACCAGGGAACTGCCAATGAGAAGGCCCAAGCAGGGGCCAACCAAGAATACTGGCTGGGACTAATGGCAACAGTAGTTGAAGACATCTTTGAGGCCACCAGATTGGGGAAGGGTAAGTGAACATCACCATCAGAGAGTCACAAAAATGTGTATTCTACCCAAGCTAAAGTTGCTGGGCACACAAACAAAACGTTTGCAATATATTGAGCCAGTCTGCTGGTCCTTATGCAATCGAGGGTCAATTTACACTTGAAATTTGTCACGTAGCTTCCCCTTGTGCAGCTGGTTTTTTAACAAATAAAAAGCTGGTGCAAGAGTGGGAGGGTGACCAAGATCAGCATCATGGCACAGGGGCAATAATCCTTTGCCTCCAATCAAAATGCTCCTCCCACCCACATGCCTGTTAGAAACAGCTTAGTCCTAAGTGGCAGCTCCTCTCTAGAGCAGGGGTAGGGAAACGTTTTTGACTCTGTGGACCAAATCCCTTATCAGAACTTAGCATCGCAAGCTGAATTTTGACAGGTGGGCAGGGCAACCCACCTGTCAGTCACCTGATATCATTTTTCTTAAATACATCTAGTAAACTAAAACAGTTTTGCTTCCACGTACAGTAATACATTGTTAAATCAAAGTTCATATCTGAGAAAGAAACGTGATTGGTTACTTACGCAAACAATTGGGATAGCTATAGTAGCCAGGAGCACACTGGCTGCATTTTGGCCCAGCATAGTTTGTATAGCAATGACAATGTCCCAAAGAGCCACACACGTTGCTCACAGACCCAGATGTATCACAGTTGCATTCTGTAAAGGGGGAGAGAATAAGAAACCATGACATTGTTGTTTGTTAGTCCTCTTTAAGTTAGAAGTTCTTGGCCATTTTTGGCCTGTGGGCACATTTGGAAATCTAAAACACTGTTGTGGGCACCACAGAATGCTGATTTCATAGAAGGAAAACTGGTGATGCTCAGAATTCCCCCCCCCCCAAAAAAATCCCACTTATACGCACTAAAGCAGGCAACCTCCCTGCCTTTAAGAAGCTAGGAACCCCTCCAAAACAAAAATTATTTGAAGAAACATTGAGAGGGACAGGTGGTTTTGGAGGGTACCTAGAAGAATGTCTTGGGGTTCTTTGGTGCTCATAGGTGCTACACTGGGGACCCCAGATTTTAATCATAATTTTTATCCCCCAAAGCAAATGTCAAGAGATGGCAGTAAAAATCCTAATGCTTCTGTTAGGAGGAGGGAGGGAGAGAAGGACCTTCAGTGAAAGGAAAAAAAATGTGTTCTTCTTGGCACATCAATATTTAAAATTGTGTCAACATTTATTTAAAAAATAATAATTCAACTAATTTCAAGCTGCAAACCCTGAAGTTTTCCAGTGGACACCAATGCACCATAACCAAATAATAATCGCTATGCCTTTTTGTCTGTAAGGTTAGAGAGATGGCTCTAGCATTAGGCAGAATGAGGTGGCAACCTCAGGAGGATGCTTTTGCATGTTATGAAAGAGCAATAAATTATTGGCTATTTAATTTAGTGTTGTCACATTTTCACTGACAGGGAGGGGAAGAGGTGGCTGAAGGATATTCTGCCTCAGGCATGAAAACGACTTGACCTGGCTTTGGTACTATGAACCTTGACTTGGGAAGGTGGGTGCAGAAGGCAACATGTGCTGCTCTCCCTTAGGCAGCAAAATGTATGGGGTCCACTTTATAACTGACATGTCTGAGGACCAGGCAGGATGAAATGAAGCTATCCTTAGTTAAGTGTTTGCGGTATTGCTAGACGATACCCTTATAGTACTAATTCCCTGAGCCTAGCAGCCGATTACTAAATATGCCTTAATTTTTTGCAATGTCGGCTATTAGCATAACCATCTGACATTCTGTGAGCATTTTAAAAATGCTGATCAGTCTAAACTCTGCAAAAGCAAACTGACAGATTAATGGCTGCTTAGAGCCAAAAGCAATGCATTTATTATGCATACTCATTGGCTTGTGGTACATTATGAGATTTAACAAACTACTGTTGCTACTTCACTTCACTTTTTTAAAAGTTCTTTATGCACCTCCAGCTGTGAGCTACTATCTGAAGACGCCCAGAGGGAGGGCAGGAATGCAAAGTACCGGTAGATGCCTCTTAAGATACATTGTAACCTAATCCACTTTTAAATATATCAGAATCGTTATTGAATTTGGCTTCAATATGGAATTTAGTTCAGATTTCTCAGCTCCATCTTGAACATGACTGTGGCAAATTATCTGGGCCGTTATTAGACTGTATGGTGAATTCTGATGTTCTAAGCCTCATTAGGTCCTCATGGATAATTACTTAGCTGGAGGCTTCTGCTGCAAAAAAAGGGTGCCCTCAAAATCACATACTGGCCTAATTCAGGCATAAGGCTAAGCCCAGCCATGGGTTGGTGTAAAGAAGTAAATATGAAAGCTCCCAGTGAGAAGATCATGGGCCCTCTAGTCCCAATTGCTGTTGTGTTGTTGTCCAAACCTGGTCTTGTGATTTTCAAGCCCCCAAATAAACCATAGAACAAACCTTTTGGTTTTTGGCTTAGCACTTTGTCAAAACCGTGGGCCAGGGTTTTGACAAAGTGCTAAACCAAACCATAGCTTAGCACACAGCAATGAAGGAGCAAAAGTAGAGGAAGTGGTCATGATCTTATTGCACGTTTTCTTAACATTATGTGCAAACGGGATCACTGATTAGTTCCATGTAACAGAAAACATTCCCCCCCCCCACTCCCCAGTACTTCAGGTGCTTTAGTAAGGGCTCTTGCACTGTCAAATCAGTTTTCTGAGCATTTTCAAATAAAAATGGCTCCACTTAAATCAATATACTGGAGAGTCTTTCATCAATTTTAATGGCTATGGATTTAATGTCTCCCACATAAATCTCAACTCTTATATTTGGGTTTTTAACATTTCCCTTCTGATCTATTTAGCTTTCATAAGATGTTTTCCTTTCTTTGGCTGCCTTTTGTGAGCCCCTCTCACCTGGGCCTCATGTCAACTTTTTTAAGCTCAACATGTCAACCAAGCCAATTTGAGGTACATTTTCTTAACAAAGCCATGAACTGACTCATTTCCAATGAAACATTCTTCCATGCCAACTGAAGGATATAAGTTATGGTTTTCATTAAATCATTTGTATGTCTTCCCGGTCCAGCAATATCAAACTCTTTTGCTGTGTCGTCTCAATCCAGCATTTTGCAATAAGTGGAGAACTTTTCAAAGTTCATAATATTTTCCAGTGTCGCATTCAGGAAGGGGCAAGCATTCTGCACTCCTGTGAACATAGTGCTGTTTATATTTTATGTTGCCTTTATTTTCCATCACTTTCCAATTACTGGGTCATGTGATAAGAAGAAACTGTCACACAGTCATGTGACACATTGCATCTTGACACCGCAACACATAATGTATGGGGAGGAATTATAATACAGTAATTGCTTAGCGGGATGCGGGTGGTGCTGTGGTCTGAACCGCTGAGCCTCTTGGGCCTGCGGTTCAGAAGGTTGGCAGTTCGAATCCATGCAACAGGTTGAGCTCCCGTTGCTCTGTCCCAGCTCCTGCCAACCTAGCAGTTTGAAAGCACGCCAGTGCAAGTGGATAAATAGGTACTGCTACAGTGGGAAGGTAAACGGCGTTTCCCTGAGCTCTGGTTTCCATCACGGTGTTCCATTGCACCAGAAGCAGTTTAGTCATGCTGGCCACATGACCCAGAAAGCTGTCTGTGGACAAACGCCGGCTCCCTTGACCTGAAAGCGAGATGAGCGCCGCAACACCATAGTCGCCTTTGACTGGACTTTACCATCCAGGGGTCCTTAGCCATACAGTACAGTGGCACAACACATGCTTTGCGGTTCCATGTGCAACTGCTAGCCTCTTTAGTTACAGGATCTTAGCTGACATGCTGGGGGGAACATTGACTGAGACCCTGGAGAGTGCCTGCCAATGAGAGTGGATAGCACCTAACACTGCAATCCTATACAACTCTATTCAAAAGTAAGCCCCATTGAGTAAGCCCCATTGAATTCAGAGGGACTTACTCCCAGGTGTGTATAGGATTGCAGCCTAAATAACCCACTGCCTTACTCAGTGTAAGGCTGTTTCTAATAACTCAATATGCTTCCCTCCCAATTCTCAAAACATAAGGATGCAGCCAAAAGGAACACACGACTGTACACATTTTCAAGTTTGATGTCCCCCTGACCAGATCAATGCGGTCAGATTTATTTATTTGTTTATTTTACCTTGACAGAAGGGGAAAGAATAATATCCAGGCTGGCAGGCGTTGCACTGAAAGCCATCTACGCCAACACGGCAAAGGCATCTTCCAAGGAAGTCACATATTTCAGGGAGGGTGCCAGCTAAATTGCACTCACACACTGCCAGGGGAAGACAGGGCACTTTCAGAAGTGATTGGTTTTTTTTTAATTAAATGATATTTATTACTTTTCAAACAATTTCAGCACAACATTACACAAAAAAAGAAAGAAGAAAAAAGAAAAAAGAACAATACAAATACAATACAAAACACCACATACAAAGTAAAACAAAAACAAACAAAAACAATTTAAAATCACCTCAAACATTTTCAACATCCCATCTTTCATTCGCTTATTTCCATCGACCTCCTCACACCTCCCTTTTTGTATTCCGCTTCTATTTATTATTTCAGCAATTCCTTTCCATCTTCCTCTGTTTTCTATCCTATAATTATCTTAACACACTTCAGAAGCTTAATTACCTCCAGGATTGTAGTGAAAACTATCTCCCATCCCACCATTTGCTAGGTCACAGTTTGACATGCAGGTCATAAAAAGTTGATTCTAAAGAAAGCTAATTATTTATGCCACTGTGGAAATCCGATTAACTTGAACTGCACTGAAAACTCACAAGTTCCATAACTAGGTCAGCATGCTCCTTCCCCAAGCCTGTTGGAAGTGATATTTATTTTTTCTTCATTGTCTGAATTTTTTAAGACAGATATGGAACATGTGGCTGTCCCGAGGTTGACTCCAACTCCCATCATCTCCAGGCAGCATGGCCAAGGATCAGAGATTATGGGCAACATCGGGGGGACTGCAGGTCCCCTATCTGTGATCTAATAAGTTCCCAAGGTGGCTAACAAAAACGCAACACAAATACCGTATAAAAATAAGCCAAAACCATGATTACTTACTTTGACAGAAAGGGTACTGGAAATAGCCTACAGCACAGCTATCACAGGCAATTCCTTGAAATCCTTCACGGCATCGGCACTGTCCTGTTCGTCTGTCGCATTCACGATCACCTAGTGCACCTGAGCCATGGCACTGGCAAGCTAGGGACATTTTTAACAAGTTAATAGTCTTGAAATTCAAACGTATTTGGATGGGGGGGGGTTAAAATTGCATTGCATTTGATTTTGGCATCTGTCAGCAGAATCAGAATCGTAGAACTTACGTTGACAACGTGGCCCAAAAAATCCTGGCTTGCAGCCTCCTAATGCAGAAAGACAGAATGACGCCATGGAATTAACAGAACAAGCAAAGGAAACCCTCAAATGTAGCAAATCTATTAGTTGCTAAAGAACTTCATTAAAGGATAAGCCCTGCCTTGCTGATTTTCAGCTGCAGAAACTGAGGAAGCCAGGAAGCTCTAAGTGAAAGATTTTCAATGCTAAGAAACAGACAGGTCTTGTGATGGATGAATTCTTGACCAGCAGAAGTCAACTTCCTTTGTAGGTGGACATACACACACGTATTAAACCTATCTTTCTTGTAAAATAGTGGGTAGACATGGCAGACGACACAGCGATTTCTCCAAAGCAGCTCTTTATTTTGTAAGCTGGAACAGAAAACTGAACAGCCAACAGCTCAGCCGGCCTGCTTTTATAGGCAGCCAGCTATCAACATTGTAGCAACAACAACCCAGGGTTTCCCGCCTAAAATAACTGACGTGGACCTGAGTGAAAAATATCTACAGTATCCCCCTGCTGGCCCAGGGTGAGAACTTCAGTACATAACATTTCTCTTCTTTTTTAAAAAGTAGTATTTATTAAGCTTTTGAAACAAGCACGTACAGTTCCAAATGTTGGTGTTGTTCAAACGTAAGAAGCTATGCGCAGTGTTGTTTATTCTGATTGGTAGTGGCTCTCCAGCATCTCAGGCAGAGATCTTTCACACCACCCTGCTACCTGACTCTTTTCTTTTTTCTTTTTTATGGAAATGCCAGGGTTTGAACCTGGGACTTTTTGCATGCAAAACATGGGTTCCTTCTCTCAATGGAGAATGAAGTGAATCATTGTGATGCACTGTCTGCCTTTGGTCATGTCCACACCATACATTTAAAGCACTCTTATACCATTTTGACAGCCATGGTTTTCTCCAATGAAATCCGGGGACTGGAGCTTGTTAAGGGTGCTGGGAATTGTAGCTCTCAACACCCTCAACACCCTTATAAACTAGGATTCTTTGGAGGAATCCTTTAAACACATGCATTTCTACTCAAAGTAAGCCCCACTGGGTTTAAGTGACAAGGCCCCACTGAGCTCAAGGCCTCAATCCTATGCATACTTACTTGGGATTATACTCCTGAGTAAGTATGCATAAGATTGAGGCGTTGAAGCCTCTTTCTCTCATCCCAGCACAGAAGTTGAGCAAGCTGCCAGAGGACGGACAGAGCAATCAGTCCCTCTCTGGGCAGTGTGCTGCGTGGAAAAGAAGAATGAGGCAAAGAGAAAGGAGAAAAGTGGCTGGCATAAAGAGAGGGAGAAAATGAGATGGCAGTAAGAGAGAAAAGGGACACCAACCAAAGGAGGAAAGTACTCACAGGTTTTAATCCAAAGACAAAGCACATTCATACTAACAATTTCTGAACATCCACATACAAACCAGGCTCAGAAAGAAAAACTCATATGCTACTTGAGTAAACCCACCCTCAGATTAACTATATTTATCGGGATTGTGCCTATGATGGATACAGGGTCATTAAATTATAAAAATGGAAACACAACAGAAAAAGATCACTTGCCAGCTATATGACCAGCTGAAGGGTCTTCTGGACTTGGAGTAACAGGATAAACAGGATTCCCTTTCAAGAGGGGAGGAAAAGAAGACAACTTTCAGAAAATACCTAGTACATTTTACTTACTTACTACATTTATACATCGCTTTTCTACCCAAAGCACTCAATGTGCTTCACAGTTTAAAACAATTACTTATAATTTCATAAATATGATACAATGGCTCAGGATCGCATTATCTCAAGGACCACCTGTCCCCATATGAACTGACCCAGACCCTGTGATCATCATAAAGCCCTTCTTTGCAACATGAGAGTGGGCCTTTTCCACAGTGGCTCCCCATTTGCGGAATGCTCTCTCCAGGGGCATTCAGCTGACACCTTCATTGTGCATCTTTAGGTGCCAGGGGAAAACTTTCCTCTTCAACCAGGCCTTTGGCTGATTAACATTCTATGACCTTTTAAATGTGTTTGTGGTGGTGGTTATGGGTTTATTTTGTCCTTGTCCTTGTTCTCATTATGAATTTTGTGTTGTGACTCACCCTGTGACCTTTGGGTGAAGGGTGGTATACAAATTTAATACAACAATAATAAAATGAATCATGACAATTACTTGAGACAATTCCAGAAGACGTGGGGGAGGGATGTGAATTGGTGCATCCTGGCTGGCAGAGAGTATCTCACTGTGTCTCAGCCCTTCCTCTAATGTAATATAGGAAGCTTCCTTACTCAGAACCAGACCACTGGTTCATAGCTCACAATTGTCTACACTCTCCAGCATCTCTCCAGGGTGACAGATAGGAGACATTCCCAGTCCTATCTGAAGATGCCAACAACTGAACCTGGGACCTTCTGCATGTAAAGTAGATAACTCTGTCATTGAGCTACAGCCCTTCCCAGATATTACATGCATGGAGCTGCATAGACTTGTTGGGATTAGGAAGGTGGGGCAATGGCTGAAAACAAAATCTTTTGCTTCTTACCTTCCTTTTTTCTTTTGACTAACTCTGGCTCCTCACTTGTCAACATTCTTTGTCATTCTTCCTCCTCCCAAATCCCCCTCCTGACACATCATCTTTACCTCTCTTCTCCCCACCCTCCACCCTTGGCCTTATGTTCTCCCTTACCCAAATCTTCTTCTTCCCCTTCCCTCATTCAAAACATTCCTCTCGCTTACTTCCCCTACCCTTGCTCAGATCAGCGCTCTGTCCTGGCCCTCCTCATCTGAAGAAGAACTTGAGCTCACAACTCTGGTTCTGCCAAAGGCTTTTGTTTTCAGATTAGATCAATGCATGAAGCGTATTACAGGTTACAGGAATCCGCAAGTACATGGGAGGTTAAATATAGGGCTAAGTGCCAGCTAAGGCATTGATGCAACAAGCAACATGCCCTTAGTGGCAAGAAGCTGCAGTCCTGAGACTTGGCAAGCAAGTAGGCATTACTTGAGGTGGGCTGGCCTTGTTCCAAGGTGACAGAGGCAGAGACACAACTAACATGGCATCAGACTTACTGCTAGCCACCTCCCCAGAAGGGGGTGGAGTCTTGAGTGACAGGAGGAACCACCAAAGGACTAGGCATCTCTTGAGGGAGAAGAGTAGAAGGCTCCTCCATCCATCTACTTGGGCCCTCCCCAGTGTCCCCCAAGATGCTGTGTCCCTCCTTGAAATTCAGACACATTTTGTACCCCAGAATTAATGATGATCATAGGGAACCTCCCTGAGGTCTTCTAGTGCCCATTCTTCAAGCCCCTCCAACTCTTCCTCCATGTCTGACCACTCCCTCCATGATACCCTAAGGGACTCATGACACCCTCTTTTGCCCACATCTCTCCCTGGCTCACCTTCTCTTGCAATCAACCCCTTGCTCTTCTTCACCCAGTTCTCTTCTTCTCCACTCTTTATTTCACCCCAGTCCACCCTGTTCTTCATCCCTCCTCCTCACCTTCCTCTGTTACAGAGAACTGAGTGAAATGATGCATTTAAAAAATATTCAAGGGATTTCCCTTGTGCTGGTAGACCTTTGGAATGCTTCAATGGCCACCTGCTTCATTTCCTCTAGCTATTTTCTGCATTTTTATCCACCTGTCCCCACCATGTTTAGGTATGTAGACGTCTTGCAGCTTTAGAAAGAGAATTCTATATACCATGACCTTTGACACCAGACTAAGATGTATATTTTTAGGACCCATCCTATTTTTCTGATTGTAAGTTGTTTTCAATTGTTTTTAATGTTGTGTTTTAAATTGTTGTACGCCGCCCTGTGACCTTGGGGTTAATCGCACATCATCATTATCATCATCATCTCATTATTTTCTAAGGGCTGTGTTCTATAAGTAACAGTAGCCTGAAACACAACTGAAATATTACGCAGTATTGGAATGGAAACAAAGAAAACAGGGTTGGGGAGGGGCAGAAACACTCAGCCAGAGAAAACATGTTTAAAAATAGAAGTTGCAGATGTCTGCTTCCCAACCCATGAGCCAACCAGTCACAGAGATATATAACAACATGTTTTGTTAGTAGAATTCAGCTTTATCTCACATTTATGACTGCTACTTCCCTCCATGCTTCATTGCAAAAACCAGAATATTTATTTCCTTGTCTTTTTTTGCAGTATAACTTTTACTTACTGGTGACTTTTGGGGAAATATGATTGGAACAAATGCATGTGTAGGGGGGATGTTTAATGAGACAGGACAAAAATGCAGAGCTGTGTGTTGATATATGGATACTCACCATAGCAGAAGGGGAAGCTATGGTATCCTTCAGCGCACCGGTCACAGGTCTCACCCTGATAATTCAACTTGCAGTAACAGCGACCAGATCCTTCCTCACAGCCATCAGAATGTTCTGAGTTACAGCTGCAGGCTGTATATAAAACAGTATCAGTCCCAAATCTTTCTTCAGCTTGAATTTATTTACAGTACTTCCTATTCAAATTAAAGGAATGCCCACTGTACTTGGGCTACTTCCTGGTTTTGATAGCACTGTTGCAATAATCCTTTCCCTCTTTAAAGTGCTGTGAGAACTTTACCTCTTCAGTTAATACAGTATGATGCTTTCCTGTCAGCAACAGCTTAGGTTGATTTTTCTCGATATATGTCCCTCGTAGGCTCATGCGGGGGAGCAGGAAGAGGCTGCCTGCCTGTCAGATTGCTTTCTAGTATCCCATTTAACATCCTGGGTCCCAATTTCTGAGCGTTATTATTGCTTTTATTTATTTAGGCAGTTATGCCCCACCTTCAATGTTACCACTTCTATTACAACTTACAGCAAAATGTTTTTAAAAATTGAAGTAAAGCATTACTAAAAAGATGGTTAAAATGGCAAAGAAATAGCACCAGAGTTAAAGCCAATCTGAGCAGTTTTTTAAGGGGCCTGATTAAATAAAAATATATTTGCTCGGTGCCAAAAAGGATAAGTGATTTGGTGCCTGGTGTTCCTTTCTGAGAAAGCTTCTCTCTCTGGTCTGACACTATCCTGACCCCCAAAGATGGGAAAACCCTAAGAAGGAGCCCTGAAGACTATCTGAACATATGGGTAAGTTCATGTGAGGGTAGGCAGTCCTTCTTGTACCCAGGTCTCAAGGCCCTTAAAAATAAATGCATCAGCCTTTTGAATTCCCCTAAGGAAGAAACAGCAGCGGGTTGTCCCATGGAATGGCTGAAAAATACTTAATACAGTAACTGAAGAGATGTATTCCGTTCAGCAGATAATTATTATTATTATTATTTATTATTTATTTATTTATTTATTTATTTATACCCCGCCCATCTGGCTGGGTTTCCCCAGCCACTCTGGGCGGCTTCCAACTGAATATTAAAAACAGTACAGCATCAAACATTAAAAACTTCCCTAAAGAGGTTCCAACTCAACAGTTCCTATGTCTCAATCCTGACATACATTGCCAAATTTCCTAACAGCAGTATTTGGAGCCAAGTGCTGTGGGTTAAGGCACAGAGCCTAGGACTTGCTGATCAGAAGGTCGGCGGTTCGAATCCCCGCGACGGGGTGAGCTCCCGTTGCTCGGTCCCAGCTCCTGCCAACCTAGCAGTTCGAAAGCACAAAGTGCTTCCCCGGCGGGAAGGTAAACGGCGTTTCCGTGCGCTGCTCTGGTTCGCCAGAAGCAGCTTAGTCATGCTGGCCACATGACCCGGAAGCTGTACGCCGGCTCCCTCGGCCAATAAAGCGAGATGAGCGCCGCAACCCCAGTCATCCGCGACTGGACCTAATGGTCAGGGGTTCCTTTACCTTTACCTTACTAAAGTTTCTGAGAGGGTTTCAGGGCTACTCCACATACAATGTATTTCAGTAAGTTTGACTGGGGCGTTCTTTGAGCATGGCAAGCAACTACTGATCTATCATTCTCCAGCAGCAGTCACAGCTGGTGCATCAGCATTACCTCTTTTGGTCTCACACCAAAAACACAAAAACATGACATGGGCAAAATCTATCTGAGCATTTCTCAAGCACATATAGCAAAAAATAAATAAAAAATGGTTCCTGTACCTTTAAGGTTTGCATGGCAGGGAGAAGTTGTTCTTGCAAAGTGAACTACGCTTAGAATCAGAGAAACTCTAGGGCAGTAGAAATAGACTGACTTCACATTCTAAAATATATTGGCATTGACTTCCCATTTTCCTATGAAATTGGAAGGTAGAGTGGAAACAAGGTCAGCCTCCCCGTGAGGTGGGGTGAGGCAGCAACCTCGAACAGTGAAAGCAGCCTGCCCCCACCGCCAGGGCCCCCGCTGACAGAAGAAAAGCACCGCTGCCAGTAGCACCAGTTTCCAGCAGCATCTCACAAGATTTCAGCATGATTTTGCTGGAAGCCAGTGCCATTGCTTTCACTTCACAGGTGTCACCATGCAGCACCAGGGAAGAGAGACTTGCGGGGAGGCAGGATGCTAGCAGGGCAGCATATTCCTGCTTTACCACAAGCAGTAAAATGGGATGCACTACCTCCGGGTGGAAATCATTAGGGGAAAAAGCAAGAGGGAAAGAACATACGTATACATCCATACGTTGCTGTCACTGGAACACCATAAGGACGGTAGAAGCCCTTCAAGCATTTCTCACAGTTTACACCGGCTGTGTTGTGCTATGCAGGATAAAATAAGGGGAAAAGGTGACACGAGAAAAAGAACAGCTAAGCAAGGAAAGAACTGAATGTGGATGTTTGAAAATATGTTACTATGGCCAAGGAAGAATGTTAATGTGGTAGAAATGCAGTGCATTCTGGGTTTCTTGAAGGGTGGTTCTTTTGCATGTTGTCAGAAGCTGAGGAGTTAGAACACACAGCTCTGGGTACAGTTACCTAAGCGATGGCCCTGAAGTAGCACCTGAAGTAGCTAGGCCCACTCAGGCTGTCTCCTGGCTTATTCCCTCGTTTGACTTCCTGACTCAAACTCCTAGTCTAACTCCCAACTTAACCCCCTTCTCTTGGAGTCCTCCCTCCAACTTGACAGCTTCTATGGCTCAACCTGGCATGTACAATCATACCTTGGTTTTCAAATGTCTTTGGAGTTGAATATTTTGGCTCCCGAATGATCGAATACTGGAAGTGATCGTTCCAGTTTTTGAAGGTTCTTTGGAACCCAAACATCTGATGTGACTTCCGCGGTGTCCGATTGGCTGCAGGAGCTTCTTGCAGCCAATCGGAAGCCGCGCCTTGGTTCCCAAACATTTTGGAAGTCGCACGGACTTCCGGAACAGATTCCATTTGACTTCCAAGGTACCACTGTATTGACAAATGCCCTATATGATCAAAATCTAGTGAAATTAATGCAATCTTATATGAAAGACTATCTTCATGGCTGCTTTGACCATTAAATGACTTTTGTTAAATACAGTGGTAGATCAGTTTACGAACTTAATTAGTTCTGGAAGTCCATTCTTAAACCAAAGCATTCTTAAACCAAGGTGCACTTTCCCTACTGAGGCCTCCTGCTGCCGGTGCCCTTCACCGTTCGGCTTCCGTTCGGCTTCCGAGGCAAAGTTCACTAACCGGAACACCTATATCCGGTTTTGCAGAGTTTGTTCACCAAATAGTTCGTTAACAGGGCTGTTCGTAGACCGAGATACCACTGTATAAGAGAACATTCACTTTGGCTCTCCTTTAATTTACATCAGAAGGGAAAGCCAGTAACAAAGTTATCTGATTTCCATATGTTGCAACACACACACACCCAGTTCATTTCAAATGCAATTGGATGAAATGTGTTTTTTAAAAATGGAAAATGTAACACCAACTTATTTGGATAGCAGAGTTATTTAAAACTTTGTGATCATGAAAGATTAGCTCTACAGCAAGGGAATGGCATCTGTGTAACAGAAACTCATTGCCTGACACAGAGAACAAAGCATACATAATATCATTATTTTGCAAAGAAACAGACTGCACACCATGTCCCAGTTTTCTTCAGTTGGTCATTTATGCAAAACTTTATAATTGTGTTTCTATGATACAAATTGCAAAAGGGTAAGCCCAATACCTGTGCCTTTTTTAGGATGGAAAAATTATAATTAGATTTCATGGCTAAGCAATTTCATGCAGCTTAATTTCCACAAAATCAAATTATGGACAATCAACATCAGTTGCAACGGACAGCGGGTTTTTTTTTAAGATACCAGTCATTTTCCTTGCTTTGATGATGTTCAGAAAAGATGGTTAGCTAACATATTCTTTCATGGGCAAAAGTGCAAAGAGGAAACGACACAGAAATGTCAAATTGGAAACAAAGAGTTTCCCTCTTTCCCTTAAAAAATATTTTTTTCTTTGATTTACATCCAGCTACATGTGAAACAAATACTGCTTTCAGTTTTAGCATGATGGTTGCACTGGATGTTTCCTATGACCCCAGGTCTCAAGTGGAAGGCTAGCTGTCCTCTGAAGCACTTGCCAGGGAAGAATGGGTTCTGCATCAATTCTGCACTGCCCGTCCAGTTCTGAACATGGCTTGGCTTCTTCAGCTACCCAAGCAATGGCCTGCTCCCCCCCTTAAATGATCATAACTAGTATGACTGCATTGACTGATGGGATAAATTTGTAGTTTCCCAACAGGCTTTTTGGCCTCCTAAGGATCACCAAAACTACATTAGTAACAGAGCAGCTGTGCTGCCTGTGATGATCCTCCAATCAGCATCCTAAACATGTGGATGAGGAATGACCAGCACTGATTTGATGTGTTTTTCCACTGATAAACAGTGTCCAAAGTATCTGATTTAAATGGCAAAAGTCATCCTGCAAATAGTCTGGAGAAATGTCTCATAATATCTCTCTTGCATCATTTCACCTTCATTACTCACGTCTCTTTAAAAAACATATCCATGTATTATTTCAAGCATGTATTATTGCAATCAGAGGTTTTGGGATGAATAAGATGAAGTATCCTATACTTGGTACAACACTTTTCCTTTAAGTGGTGTACTAAGTACAAGGTCCTTCATCTTGGTCATCTCAAAAGTCTTGTTCCCTTGATTTAAATTGCTGTTGGCTGTGCCTATTCAGAAGCTTAAAAAACAAAGTTCACAACACAATCTAACACACACACAGAAAGAAGTAAGTCCTACTCAATTCAATAAGGCTTGTTCACAGGTAAGTGGACATTGGATTGCAGCCTTATATGACTATCTCATACTCATTTACGTGGTAATGAGCCCAATTAACTCAGTGGGACTTCTGCGGAAACATGTTTAGAATTGCACTGTCAATCTTCCATTACTGAAGTTTACATATCAAGCGACCAGTGATTTCGGCTATCTCCTCTTTTGGAACATTTTTAGAAAAGATTGTGATGGGTATGATAATAAAATGTATTACATGGTTTCAAGACAAGGAGGAATGAAATAAACACTTTAATAATGGGAGTTTTACCTGACAGTTGATGCAGACCCCTCCACCTTGATACTGTTCATAAATATTTAAGCTCTCTTTACGTTGCTCAACTTCAGGATCATAATAGCAGTCCATGGCATGTCCATGGCAGTTGCAGGCTGAGAGAGATGATAAATTTCATTACAACCATCAGGCAAATGAGCAATGGAACACAGAGAAGAAGCCAGCTGGCTGTCAAGCACTTGAGAAGTGTTGTGAAAGGGACTTCGGCAAGTGGATGAGACAATTCACTTGCCAGTCATTTGATGTCAGAATGGCATAAGGCTATTGACAGGTTGGCTATCAAAGTTGGCTAGTCAAAGTTGGTCCACAGGGGTGGAGACAGATAATAATCTGCCTTGGTCTGAAAGGGCCCTTCTTTAAATGGCTGGACTAAATTATTTCAACATGTGAGGCAATAATACAGAGGGAAATTATATTATGTATATTAAAAGCACCTTTCTCTCCCCACCAAAAATTAACCTTCAGACGCTAAACTTACGTTCACAAGCATTTGTACTGCTGGTTGTTGCAGGTTGCCATTGTTTCTGGTTATATCCAGGGCAGCAATGATTGCAGGTTTCTCCACAAGTGTTGTGCTGACATTCACATCGGTACCTGGATATATAAGTAATTGTCATTTGATTTCCCCCATCAATGATTCTCTCTTTTTTTGTATTTTTCACACTCTAACGTGATGTGTGCACAAACCTAACTCACAGAATGTACCAGCAGTCTCTTAAAATTAAACTTGAATCCTTTATAACAGCCATGGGGTTGAAGTATTATTATTATTATTATTATTATTATTATTATTATTATTATTATTATTATTATTATTGTTATTATTATTAAATTTCCAAAACAACTTATATGAAGACATCTCAAGATGATGAACAATGTAAAATAGCACAAAAAATACATTACCATACATTTAAAGCACTGTTACAACACTTTAACAGTCACCGCCAAATAATCCTGGGAAATGTAGTTTGTTATCATTTCCAGAGTGGTTCAATCACTTTTCTCAAGGAACTCTGAGAACTGTAGCTCTCTGAGGAACCGGGATCTCCTAATAACCCATTTCCTGAAACTGGGATTAATTTCCACCTTGGAAACAGTAAAGTGCTAAAGATGCCTTAAACAAATTCTGAAGTTATAGAAGTAAAACCTGAAAATGATGCCATCATTGTACAGCCACAAAGCAACCGTTTTGAAAGCACAATGGTTTTGGTCGTACTGTTGTATCCTTACCTGTATGAATTTATGTCCCTTTCGGCATCACAGATATCTGCATGTCCATTACAAACACACTGTCCACCAACACTGATGTCTTTTATGCTGTAGTAATACTAGACAGAAACAAGATTTGCAGGTAAGTAGCTGACAGAGCTTATCCTCAGGGTGTTCTCTCAAAGATTATGAATTCTAGACCCAAGATGATATAAACTTGCTAGTGAAATATATATATGACCACAATAATTCCCCCTACCATGAATCTTTGACCTTGATAAACTTCTTCTCCACTAAAATTTGTATTTTAAACATATTTTGGCTATTTATTGATTGATATGGGCTGATATCATATCAAGATATCAGAAGATATCAGAAGATAAAAAAGGGAAGTGAAAAATAGAATGGGCAGCTCTAGAACAGAAAGTTATAATCATTGTTGCAGAAGGGAGAGCTAAGAGGATTGGGAGAGCCCTGCTTGATCAGGCCAAAGGCCCATCTTGTCAAGCACTCTGTTCTTCCATAGGAAACCCACCAGCAAAACCTTAGCACAACAGTACTATGGAAGCAGATGCAGTAATACAAGTATACAGCCATGAGTTGAAGTAGCTGGTTCGATCCTTTCTGATCACCCACAAATCCATTGGCTGTCTTTAGGCAAACAACTATGTTTCAACACTTCATCTTTACATTCCCAGCTTTTTAAAGGGCATTATAAGGATGATTAGATTAGCATATGACTAAACCAGATCAGGGTAGCTGAAGGGTCTCAAACCCTCAGTGAGTTAGGGGCTTCCCCTGCATATGAAGACAGGCTCTGGCAGATTGAGTGGACAAGACCAATACTGGGTCCAACAGTCAAGAAGGTGGTTTTTACATGTGCTGTAGAGGGAAGTGAGGGGCTGGTGGAGGGGAAGGTAGCCCCTCTAGGAGAAGGAAAATGCTGGTCCTAAACCTCTGCTGCCTTGCAGGATATCTTCAGGAGAAGAAAATGAGTAAACCTTATACAAATCTGGAGTGGAGTCCCTAAGATGGTTGGATGGCACCTTGTATGCCTCCTTCCAGCAACTCCTGCAGCCAAGCTGGTACCAAACATATTGCTCTGCTTTCCTTTGGACCACATCAACAAGGCCAAGAGGGGGGTCCTGTAATTTGGGCTTGCACCCCAGGGAGATCAGTTTGGTGCTGCTAACACAGTGGTTTGACTTCACCCCCAGAGGTGCACTCCATTGTCTCTCCAGACAGACAGATGCCAACAATTCTTTGAGAATTTAGGAAGAGGTGCAACACATACTTATTTCATCACATGTAGCCATACAGTGGTTTATGAGGCTTCATACAGCACCTATGCAATAACAAGTCTTTCTCCATAATGTCAAAAGGGTACAGAGCTATGCAGATCAAAGCCGAAGATCTTAGAATTATGTTAAATCCCATGCTCCATGGTTTCAAATTGGCCAACCATCTATTGACTTAAACAGCAGGAATCCAAGACACAGAGTAAGCATTACAGCAATATCAAGTAAAGTGGGAATACAAAAAAGATAATTTCCACTCACTATTCATGTCACTGACCAGGGGCCCAAAATAATGTACTGTATAGTTGTCTCAGAAACTCAAAATTGTTAGTCATTCTCCAGAACTGTTTAGCCTTATTCAGTGCATGTCTGTTCCAATATAACAATTCAGGGATTAAGATTAAGGCTGCAGTCTATAGGAATTTACTTATCTTGCAGTGCTCAGTTGAGTCTTACTTCTGAGTAGACATCCACAGGATTGCACTGCTCGGCTGCAATTGAGCATATGCTTATTTGGAAGTAAGTCCTATAGTACACAGTGGATTTATTTCTGAATAAATATGCATAGGATTGGTCTTCTAGTCATTTGCAAGCACTACTAATCCATATGGTGTCCTGAGAGCTTAAAAGTATGTTATCTGAGCACCACTCCCTGCCACCAGCCCATGTATGGCAGATAAAGCCACACTCAGTCAATAGTTATAATAACTTCTGTGTACATTTAAGAAAGAGAGAGAAAGATTCTCCACCCTACCTGAGCAGTACTGATGTACAGTGGAAGGAAGAAGGCCAATAAAGAAATCAAGTTTGCTACCTTATCCTCAGTGACCAGGAAAGGCAAAAAGTTGTATCTGCAGGGGAATTATTTTATCTTACAAATTCTGCTTCACATATGTGTAATGATTAAAAGCCTACTCCATGTTTTCCTAGCAGTTCTAGCACATCAGAATCTGGAGTAAGTCAAAAGCAGGTTTTATTTAGGAGTCACACTCTTTTTCTCTAGTAGAAGATTCTAGTAGAACTCTGTGAAACTACCTGCTTGATAAAGGTCAGAGTGATAAAATCATACTCTGCTTAGACCACTTTTCTGCATCTTCCTGGATCCAAATTTCCTGAAGAAATTTACAATATGCATCCCACTTTCCCCAGAAATCCTTAAAGATGAATGCAGCTGGAGTAAGGAGTGGCTTTAGACCAGAGGTAGCCAACATGGTACGATATTGCTGAATAAAATCTCCCTTCAATACCAACCAGTATGGCCACGGCCAGGGTTGATGCTAGTTGCAATCCAGCAACATCTAAAGGGCACCACATAAGTAGGAAGGTTCCTTATGTAGAGTTAGACCATTGGTCCTTCTTGTATTTAAGCAGAGTTTGGATGGCCATCTGTCATGGCTGTTTTAGTTGAGATTCCTGCATTGCAGGGAGTTGGACCCGATGTCCCTCAAGGTCTCTTCCAACTCTACAATCCTATGATTCCTCCCTGCCAAAAGATAACATTTACTCACTCTGCGCGTCACTGTGGGATCCCGTTGAGCTTTAGATATCAAGTGCCCAAGAAGGGTATTGGTTCTGAGGAAATGTAAACGAATATTTGTTGCTTTAGTAAATTCTCTAAGTATAGGAGAATGGGTGAAGTTATTTGCTCCTGGACGACCGTTTACCAAGGATATCACAATCTAATATGAGAGAGAGAGAGATCAGTTTTAAAACATGGACAAATTAATAGAAAGCAACTTATAAATATCTAGGACATGAATAAGAAAACTGAGCTCCTGGTCCATTATTGCAACCATTATTTCAAGGGTGGCCATTGTTTCAAAAGGTGAATAGATTCCAATGAAATGTTGTTAGAATTAGTGTAATGCCACCCACTACAAGCATAGCTAAATGCAAATGTGGGCATAGGCAATTGGTGGCCACACAATACAGCTACAGACTAGGGGAGTGGGAAAGGAATTACAATAGGCTTCATTGTAGAAACACTCAAGTAACTTGCAGCACAAGCCTAGACATATCCTCTCAGAAGTGAAATCAGTGGGCTTACTAACAGTCAAGCCTGGAATGAGAAGGCAGAGTGGGGGCAGCACTTTGATGATGATTTGGAGGCATGTTGCAGCCCTGAGCTATCAACCATAATGTTTCAAATAAGCCCTCAACCCAATCTTCTTTATCAGATTTGGGGACAGGGGCTGCAGAGAGAAGGGAGAATCAATGAAAGTCATCTCTTCCCTTTCATCTAACAGAAGCCTCCAATGGATCAATGAGCCTTTAATCAGTGGAGCAACATAATAATAATGTATTTTACACCACCCTTCAATCATATTCCAATAAGAGTTTAAGACAGCAATTCAAAGAAAAAATGGTCTTAAGCCATGAATTACACGTGTACAGTATAAAAAACTAAGTACAGTGCTACCTTGGTACTCGAATGGCTTGACTCCTGAACAAATGGACTCCCAAACGCCACAAACCCAGAAGTAAGTGTTACAGTTTGTGAACGTTTTCAGAAGCCGAACGTCCAACGCAGCTTCCGATTGAGTGCAGGAAGCTCCTGCAGCCAATCAGAAGCCACACTTTGGTTTGCGGAAGGTTTTGGGAGTTGAACGGACTCCCAGAATGGATTAAGTTCAAGAGCCAAGGTACCACTGTATTCTAAAGGCAACAATTGCCTAGGCTCTCAATCTAATAAGACAGCCAACAGTCACAGCTTCTCACAAAGGATAAATAACCTTGTCCCATTTGTTATATGAAGGAAGCTCCAATATTAACTATCTAATTGAAAGAACCTTTATGTCCGGCAGATAAACTAGAATAAATGCTTGAACATTCAATGTACTTTAAAGCACTTAGAATTATTGGAAATATCAATACTAGTTATTCGTACACCCCTAACAATCAGTTATGTTGTTAAAAGATGTGTAAATACTGAAGGATTTGGCCAAAATGAATTATTATTTTTAGTTGTAGCACAAGGATCCATGACATAAGAGATTGCCGGCAGCAAATAAGCTTTTTAATTACTCTCTCTTTACGATAGAAAGAAAATACAAAATGTAGTTGTGGAATTTCCCCATAAGCCAGAGCAGGTTTTTCTAATGATTAAAGAAAACTCTTCAAAGCCCTTTTTAACAAGAGCTCATTGTAGACTAATAATCAGCTCTACTAACTCAGAACCCAGTTCTTGGAACTATAATATTTTAGGAGCCAACTGGAATCTTTATCCATGCCTGTAAGCACAGTAAGTCCTACCAATAGGGGGAAAGAGATTATTTGTATGAATGATTGCTAGCTAATTCAAGAGCAAGGTGTCTGCTTGTAGTTTTATAGCCTACAAAATGACTTATAGTTTTTAGAACATGGTGGCCAGAAAGGAAAGCAAAAAGCACCAGTAACTAGGGCAGTTGTCAGTAGTGGCACTTGTGGTGGGCCAAGAAACATAGAGGAGGTGGATATCTGGTGGGAGAAAGTGTTCTATATGTCCTTGGAAGAGTGGAGTGTAATTCAAGAGTGCTCATCTTCAGGTCAACCCATTCACCAATCTAACTTATATCAGAATGCTGGAGTGGAACAGGGAGGTACGTAGACAAGTGAAGTGAGTTTCAATGGTGGTTACAGACAGAAGAGAGAATGACCACTGGTCACTAAGAACCCATTTAATGGTACTGATCTGCCTTATAGTTTTGTTATGGTACTATTACTGAGGTACATTTGAAGTACTTTCATGCAAAACTCTTGTCTAAATGCCAAGTGTTATTATTGCTGTCGTGTCGTCCCCCCGTCCCCTGCCCTGAACTTACCTCTCCATTTTCTAAAGGCACAATCCGAGAATATTCTGTAGTGCAAATGACATCATCATCTTTTCTAACACGGGCATTCGCTTCCTTCCCAAAACGTTCCCAACAGCCTTGCTTAGAATCTAACAAAAATAAATAAATCACAGTGTGCAGTTCCTGACCTTCAGAACATTACTCCAACAGTTACATAGAAAATAGCATAAACCGCCGAATCTAAAGTGGAGTGAATCCTGGTAACTCAGATCCTGCGCCGTGCCTTCCCAAGACTCTTTACTGTTCTTACAAAGTTATGCCGGATAGTCTGAGTGTTTCAGTGAGTCTGAGAAAGGGAAAAGGGAAGAGCAGGTCTTGCATACCCCATTTAGCAGGGAAATATCACCTCTTTCTCAATATTGGGGTGTCTAATCCACCTCAGTGGTTGTTTTTAAACCTTGAGACACAATGTGCAATTAGGCACTGACAGAATCTGGTCTTAAGTCTGCCTTAAGTGAGCATTAAACTACAAACTTTCAGTCCCATCCTATGTAGCATTCAGCATGCTCACTAAAATCTATTGATGTATATAGTACACGTTTGGCTCGACAGGATTATCCACAGTTTCTAAAGCTTGGGCATAACAGGAGGCTGGGGCTTATTAAAACAGAAAGTGAAAGATTTCCTTCTCCTTTACTCGCTGGTGAAGGAAATGGGAATGGGAAGTCTGCAGCCTGATGAATCAGTCCATTAGTGAGTGACATTGAACTTGTTCATGAATTCCTTAAGGTACCACATATTCTTAGAAGTTAAACGCCCAGCAGGAAATAGTTGCTATTGTCAAAATAAAAAGTTATAAGAGTTTTAAAAACTGGTACTTGGGGGGGGGGGAGAGACTTGTTCATGAATTCCTTAAGGTACCACATATTCTTAGAAGTTAAACGTCCAGCAGGAAATAGTTGCTATTGTCAAAATAAAAAGTTCTAAGAGTTTTAAAAACTGGTACTCACAAGCAAAATATTGCCATGGCATATAAGTTTTTCCAAAGTCTGTTGATCTTTCTAATACCCACAGATCTGGGCGAGGAGAATTTGCAAATTTGATGAGGACATAGGCCACGTGAAAGAACTGGTAATAAAATAACATGTAGAGAAACATTAAAATATACTAAATTGTACAAAGAGAAAGGCAATCCTGTTATTTCTGCTAGAAAACAATAGGGCTGGTGAGGTTGTGCCTCCAGTGGAATTCAACATTTAATGTCTAATATTAGTAACCAAACAATATCATGCCTATGCTCATGTTTGCTCTTCTATACCAGTGTTCTTTAACCTTGGGTCCCCAGCTGTTGTTGGACTACAACTCCCATCATCTCTGACCATTAATCAAGTTGGCTGGGGATGATGCGGGTTCAACACTGTTTTGGACCAATATTGTTCAGTGCTCAACTAACTGGATGTTTCAAACACACTTTAAACAGCAGAGGTAATTAACTATAAGTTACTTTGGGTTGCCTTGGGCAACATAGTGACTGACAAATTTAAGGGTAAGGGAAATTCCATTGCCATGCAACACCAAAAAATGATAACCACAACAATTTAGTCACGAAGACAAAGTATAACTATGGTGCCAGAACTACAATGAATGCAACTTCACTGGAGCGGATCTAGAGTAAGCAATTTTTACACTATAGCCATAGGGTTCAGTCTTCCTAACTCTTCTGTCAATGTTCATATTAGTGGTATTTTACTTGGAACAGTGTGTGGAGGCTTGGCCTATTTATTTCTTTAACATCAAAGAGAATGCAGTAATTAACAAAGTTGAAGCCTACACTTGATGAAGAGGAGTCAGTAGGCCTGTCCCAGGCCTTCGAGCACTGATGTTTCTTGGTACCCACTTCCTAAATGAATAGAGCTGTATTCTGGCAAAGCGCCGACAAAGCAATTGTTAGCAACAGGACATAGTACAGTTCAAAGAGAGATAATGACAGAAGATTCATTCTCACAGCAACTAAGAGCAATTTGTAGTTCAGGGTGGGCCAACTTTTCATACCAAGTGGGCCACAAGAGTACTTTGACATGGAACCCATGGGCCACACACTGCCTTGTTCTATGAGGGGTGAGAGGAGCTAGGCCTCACTTAGCTGGCTTTAGGAAGGCAGCCAAGACCTGGGGGCATGTGAGATGTTGGCCTTGCTCCCCCCCCACAATCATATGCAACAAGACGGTGTGTGTGGCCTGTTGGTTCTGTGTCAAAGTACTCTTGTGGCCCACTTGATATGGAAAATTGGGCCGCCCTGGCCTAGGTACTGGCCATTATGGGGGAAAAGGAAGTGGCTCAGCACTAGAGGGCAAATGGGTGCCCCCCCTCCATCTGGCTGGTAGTTAGAAAGACAAAAGGACAGAACTGAGAGTTGAGTGATATGAGCTAGAAGCTAGAACTAGAAAAGCAACAGGCTGAGAAGCCAGAGGGTCAAAGCGATGTTTGACTTCTGTTTGAATCCAAGGGGAAAGCAAGGGCCTCTTGGGGTGTTAATGCTGTGAACTCCTCCATCATAGGCTCAGGTTGTGTATATATGTGTGTAAGTAAGCCATATATCATATAGACACAACAGTCTCTGCTGTATCTCATTCCAAAAGCACCACAAAGCCTGGGTAAGTGCCTGGAACCCCTGGAATCTCACACAGCTCAGAGACTGAGGTGGAGTGCAACAATACTGTTCCTGAAAAATATATCTAGCATAGTAGCCAAGAATCTGAGCTATGAATAAGGGAGCTTCTGGTTAGAATCTCACTAAAAGCCCTAGGCAAGCCATACCGTCTTTCCACCTCAGTTGTTGCATCTAAAAATGGAGGAAATACTGGTGTACCTTACAGGATTGTTGTAAGGATTACAGTTAAAAGAGTGGAAGTGAAGTTAAATAACGCTTCAAAGAGCTTTACAAATATTATCATCACACAATTGGCATTAGTATTGCCTAGTTATATCACACGGAAATGCATGCATTCTCTATCTTCCTCATAAGATAGGCAGTTGGGAAAATATGTATCCTGCAAATTATTTTGGTTATATCATGGGTTCAATCGATCCAAGTACAGAGTACCTTAAGAATTTTTAACCAACTTACTTATGAATCACAATGATTCATTGTTATTATTAAGTTCATACTGCTCTCTAATAGAAAAATGTTTGTAAGCGTTGCCTGTGGCACTCAAACGATTCTGACTTCATCTTTTTTGGCTCCAGCTGAGGTTCATCCAAAGGACTTTTGATACTGTGGTTAGTATTCGTATGCCATAGAAATGCAATATCTGAAAATATTATCTTAATTTGATTACCTGAACATAAATAATGGAGGAGGAGCATACTCAGTGGCCACATTTGGACTATCATATTTCAGTTTAATAAATTAATTTATGAACAAGTCTTATTCTCCTACATGCAGCTTTTTTAAAATATTCCCTGTGGGTGATCAAACAAAGAAGCCCATAGTAAACTATTGCTTCCAAATCAGGAAACTAAAATTTAAAAATCACGTGTAATCCTGATTACTGAGTGGAATAACTTACCTTTGGTATTTTAAAATCTTAACTAAATACGTAAAACAGCCTTGGAACACTTACATTTCACGTATTTTTTTAGTTGGCCATACCTACTCTCGTCAAATGCCAACGGCTAACTGGTGGGCAGCGTGGTCGCAACGGTTGTACTCACACATGTATAGACACGTTTTAGTGATGTCGCAACACAAATAATGTTTATCGATATTGAAATATTGTTGGTGTATCAATGTGCCGCTTGCATCAATATGCCCCACCTCACCCTATATGAAACCATGGTTTATTGTTGCCATTAATCAGAGTTCCTTGGTTTGGATGTAACCAAGTGCAGACATCCTGCCTTGTTTGCTAGGCTGAGTGAAGGGAGAAGCAAAGTGGGTGGATGCTGGCATATGAGGTTTGTTTAGAATGGGCTTATTTATTAAGCCAATCTTAAGTCCAAACACAGCAATTTTCTTATATACCTTTCAGTGCTTACAAGTTGTTGAAATCTCCTTTAAAAAGCTAGACGGTCTCCCTGTTTGCCTTGAAATATAGAATATATCTTTAGCATACTAGTAGAGAGTCTCAGTGAATTCACTTGAAGCTATTTCTGAATAAACATGCTTATTGCTACCGGAATTTTGATCCCTTTATTTAGAAAATCAGCCATAACGAAACAGTCATATTAAACAAATAGGCATTGTCCTTATGTATAGTACATAAAGACAAACAGATTAACAACATTTGACTTTCCTGGTTGTATATACAGCAATTTCTATTAAAAGAAGTTGGCGCATTAATCTTCCAGGAAAGAATAAAGCTGCTGACATCTGGTATGCAGTTATTCAAAATGAAATGTTCAAATTAATCTTAAACCACACATGCTTAACCTATCAAGCCACTTTAAAGTTTTTAGATTCTGGGCCCCTTCACGTGGCCATTTCATTATTTAAAAGATTTCTGTGAAATAAAGAAAAGCTCCCAGGTGAGAGCTGGGATGGTCCACCGCTTTCTATGTGAGACAAGGGTTAAGAGCTACCTTTCAGAGAGGACTCGTTTTATTTTCTTTCTCTCGGTGTTTGTTTCTATTTAGACTATTTTCTTTAATCTTATCATATTATGAAAAAAGCTTTAATTAAATCTTTTTTTTTATTTAAAAAATAGAAATGCAAATAAACAAGCAGAAATCAATACACACAAGCCCAGCCACAATTTACCATATCCAGCTAAATGCTTTTAAAAGGTTTTTCTGTTGCATAAAAAATGGTGGTGGCACAAATTCAAGGCAAGCTATCTAGAAGGTCCTAGGATATGGCTAAAGACACATATTTGGCTCTGGTCAGCAGCTGGGTGGGTGGCTGACCGCTTGGTAACCATAGGTCCACAGCCATGGCTAAGTAAAAGAGGAAACTATAGTATACTGTATTCCTGGCTGTGGGGGACATTTTCTAAATGGATTCATTTACTTTTAACCATTTTTAGCAGCTTATAAGCTAGTGTTGCCATATTTCTAAAACTGAAAATAAAATAAAAGTTTTTGGCAGCTGTTGAGCATTTTTGGCAAAATTGCAAAGAAAAAATTAAGTTTTTGATTTTTCCTGATTTCTGCCCATACACTGCTTCTGACTGCAATATTCCATATATGCCCAGAAAATTCTGGACGTATGGCAACCCCGTTATAAGCCAACCCTACATTTGCTCATAAATCTCCACATATCATACTTCTTGCATTCACTGCTTGAAACTGACTGATCCATCGCATGAGGGGGACACAACCAACCAACCAACCACTACCAGTTAAAATTTCAAATACCGGTATGTGGTTTGATAAACCATATGTTGTGGTTGCGAGGAAAGTACCACAACTACAAAGAATACTCATTATCTATGAAATAAAAGCAGAACTAATGTAAAAAGGAAACCTATGAGGTTTGCCAAGCAATGAGTAATGTTAAAGTCCATGTTATCAATAGATCTTGCAACAGATTCATTATGGTCTTTGGAGCATTGTACCATTTGCTTAAGGGTTTTTAGTTAAAGGTCATTTGCATGTCTATGTCTGCTAAGCAGCACTTAACGTTATCTTTGCAATGAAATAAAAGCAAAATAGGAGGCCAATAACTATCCTAAAAATGATCGTGTCCCACTTGTGAACTCCTGGCTAGTCCATATGGAATACTAGGCTAACATGAAATGGGGGAGAGGCTTCCCAAATGGGAAGGCTTTGAACTGGTCTTCAAGAAAGGAATCTATCTAAGGTATTGAATGTACCCCACATATTTCAACGTTTAGGAAAAACCCATAGATCTGTGATAAGCAACATACAGCTTATACTATTGCGACAGTAAAGGAGGTAAGGTAGCCATTTTCAAGATGCCCCAGGTTCATACAGTTCACGTAAGATACAGATCTGAGAAAAGGAAAACTACGGTAAGTCAGGAAAAAAACGTTTCCTTGATCTGGAGACAAGCAGAGACCTGAATCACCCATGAAAGCAGCTGCAATGTCTTCGCTGAAGCAATTTCATTCATTAAGAACAATGTTCTTAGGGTGGACTGTAACATTGTGAAGCTAAAATGGCACATC